TTTTAAGAGAAATTGAATTGAATTGCCAAATGAATGGGCGCAGTGCATGACAAAATATGTTAGGTCATCTTTTTTTGAACTGATACCCTTCTAAGATATGAGATCTATTAGAAAAGGCGCATCATCACCAACGTGTAATTTAAGTCTATGTTTTTGCTATAAATCGGGCAACAATGGTCTACACGACCTGTAATAAATAGGTATAAGGGACGTTATTATCACAATACTAATGACATTGCTCACTTTTTTTAAGTTAGTTTCCATGCGTTATACAAATAAGCCACACGGTGAACAGAATCGCACCCTTGAACAGAATACACTTTTCGGGATGGAAAATCCAAAATGGCCACCTTAACATTTACCCAGAATGCCGAAAAACTAATGAGTTATAAACTTTCATAGGTAGAAACATCCCTGGAAATTTCAAATGAATCCCTCAAACGGTTTGGCTGGAAACCTGTAGCAAGCCTTCAAAGACACGATTTTAGGACGAAAAATCCAAAATGGCCGCCTTAACATTTACCAAGAATGACGAAAAACTAATCAGTTCTAAACTTTCATAGGTAGAAACATCCCTGAGAATTTCAAATGAATCCCTCAAACGGTTTGGCTGGAAACCTGTAGACAAGCCTTGACAGACAAGATTTTAGGACAGAAAATCCAAAATGGCCGCCTTAACATTTACCAAGAATGCCGAAAAACTAATCAGTTCTAAACTTTCATAGGTAGAAACATCCCTGAGAATTTCAAATGAATCCCTCAAATGGTTTGGCTTGAAACCTGTAGACAAGCCTTGACAGACAAGATTTTAGGACGGAAAATCCAAAATGGCCGCCTTAACATTTACCCAGAATGCCGAAAAACTAATCAGTTCTAAACTTTCATAGGTAGAAACATCCCTAAGAATTTCAAATGAATCCCTCAAACGGTTTGGCTGGAAACCTGTAGACAAGCCTTGACAGACAAGATTTTAGGACGGAAAATCCAAAATGGCCGCCTTAACATTTACCCAGAATGCCGAAAAACTAATCAGTTCTAAACTTTCATAGGTAGAAACATCCTTGAGAATTTCAAATGAATCCCTCAAACGGTTTGGCTGGAAACCTGTAGACAAGCCTTGACAGACAAGATTTTAGGACGGAAAATCCAAAATGGCCGCCTTAACATTTACCCAGAATGCCGAAAAACTAATCAGTTCTAAACTTTCATAGGTAGAAACATCCCTGAGAATTTCAAATGAATCCCTCAAACGGTTTGGCTGGAAACGTGTAGACAAGATTATTCGGGACGCCCGCCCAACCGCCCGCCCGGCAAACTGATTACAATATAGCACCTTCGGGTGCGATAAAAAATAATCGATATAAATTAATATTGGATGGAAAAGTACATGCTATAAAATATAATGACTGAATGATATCAACAGACTTACACTTCTAACATGTCTAACCCCCCTATCACACCAAACTAGTTCTTACCCGTTCTTGCCAGTCCTACGAAAATGTCTTAAAACGGGCTCAATCTGGCTGCGGTCGGGATATATGTCTAAAATAATTAGCTACTTCGGTCATAAACAGTCTTCAATACGTCCATCTCATTCGCAGTTCGTTCAGGTCGCACCACGTCGGTGGGCAACGTAGTATAAACCGTCCCTTAGTCTAGAAGGTCATCATGACCTGATTACAGAACGGTATGGTCGCCATCGAATTTTGAATCGATTCAAAATTTTAAATCACATTCCCCGTCCGGGAAAGTCCATGAAGTTCGTAAACAGACCGTAGAACGTTGTAGCTACGTTCATCCAGTTCGCACACAGTTTAAAACCGATTGACTAAACGATCACAAGAAAATTTTGAGCATGCTCTAAGTTCTGGAGGACCTACTCGTTCTAGTAGTTTCATGAAGTTTGTAAACAGATCCCAAACGGTTCTTAGTTGGTTCTTAGTACGTCAAATCCGTTCGTGCACAGTTTAAGCCCGTTTTCGAGAACGTAGTCAGAACGAGTTTGGTGTGATAGTAGGGTTACATAAGTATAAGAAATGCAAGAAATTGTTAACGTTGGGAAATGATTGATGGCCATTCAAAGTGGATAAGTGAACTTACCAGTGTAACCAAATGCCAGATGCATACATGGTTATAAGCATAAGTTACCCATAGCAGTTTAATGCGAATGGGATCTCCACTAGCACTGTCCCACTACAACTAAATCTACAGTTCTGGCTCCCAATGAACCGTGCATCTTATCCTCTCTATTGTCTTTCATGCACCGTGATCTTTACGTTACGGAGTAGTGATTAGAGAGGTTTCGCACAACGGGTTAGCTAACACGTATCCGCATCCGTATCTCGTAACTTTAACGAAAAATTATTTCGATAATTGTTTCGCAGTTAGTTTTTTGAAGTACGTAATTATAAACGCATCTCAATCCGTGTTTAATAGTAGTGAAAACTAGGGTCAAATAAAAGAATTCATCTGCACTAGATTTTCAATACACCATTGAGAGTGTCAGCTTTCAGTATCACAACTCCATAAGTATTATTGGTGAATGCAAAAATACATATTAACCCTTTCATCCCCAAGGGGTCATTTATTAATTTCATGAAATCAATTTCAAAATGAAGAATATCCCTTAGGCAAGAAAATATAATTTCTACGTTTTGTCAAACTATACTTTTGGGAATATTTTGAACACAGATAGGCTGAAATAGTGGTTATTGAGTGAACTGCATTATGCTACAAAATGCGTAAACATTTCTGTTTTCGGAGAAATGATATTTGATATTTGAAATTAGTGTGTACATTTGCGTTTACTTATTTTTTCCTGAGAATATTAAGAATGCAGCAAGTGCGTTTTGAAAGATATATTTGTGTCACTTTCTATGATCAAATATGTTACTTTGCTTCCACCAAGTCGGTATTTTTTACTTATCTGATCCATGGGCTTTCAATGAGAACAATATGTCACAACCCAATGAAACAAACAAAGACAAACAATGCAACCAATTGTTGAACTAACTCAACACAATTGTGCACAACTCAACACTAAACAATTTAAACACAATCGGGCACAACCAATTAAACACACCTAAAATAACAACCACGAAAACACAACGAACTGTGAAATTATCACCACACAATTTGGCACAACCCAATGATAAACCAACAAAAGCAAACACAGCCCATTGTTCAAGTAACACAACACAATTTTCCAATACCCAAAACCAAACAATCAAAACAAAATCAGGCACACGAATATACACAACTAACTTACTCCAATTACTCCAATTGGAGGCAACGCCAATCACACAACACAATCAGACACAACCAGACACCTCACCCGACTAGCTACAACCAGCTACCCAACCAACATAACAAATTCACAAGAGAACACAACCCATTACAAAATTAACATAACACAATTGGGCACAACCCGATACATAATCAACAGACTAACAACCATCAAAAGACAACCGACTGTCAAACTGACACAACACAATTCGGCAATATCTACCTGACAGTAACCCACCATTACACAACAAGGCTCAACTAAATACTAATCGATTTAATCAACCCATCAAAACACAATCAGGCACAACCAATAAACCACAATGAAACGTTGATTCCGAAATTTTATGATCATCCTGAGCACTTTTCGGGAGTTCTTTTAGCCAAAATTGTCAAAAAGCTCCCCCTTGACAAAAAGCTGGATACGAGACGCCACATTTAGACTCAATATCACATTCACATTCGAGGACAGGACCAAGCTGCTATACTCAAACAAGTCCAAACCCTGCGCTATATGAATTTAGGGCGTGACTTGGGGCACAAAATATAAATTCAGGTGGCCTATATAGCTGCTAACAACTGGTTTGATGTCCCTAAGAAAATGACTACGGTATTACTATTGACCCTAGAAATTATAGACCGTACGGCTGCCTATCAATAAGTATGACAAAGCTTTATTCGTAAAAATGGCAGGCCACCCACAAATAATCAAATTTATTGACAGATAAGCCTATTGCTTCATCAAAATTGGCATGATATACATGATAACATATGTGGGTTACTAAAATTATACATTTAGGGAAAAATTTATTAAGATTTAAAGGACAAAATAGTTACGGAAACAAGTACGCACAGAAAGCGTTAGTTTACGTACTTTCGGTATTGCTGTCGGTTAAATGTATTAAGTGCACTTTTTCTCCATCGATACGTTACGGAGTTTGATACGGGTAGCTAAAACGTCGTGCGAAACATGTACACTGTAATTATTGGCATACCGTTCCACACAGTGTAAAATGAATTAAACATAACATTTGAAAACCTCGATTTATGTCAAACAATAAACAAAGTCATTCACCTTTAGTCAAATTATACACAACATACTGTGCTTGTTAATTTGGTGATACCTTTAGAACTAAAATCAATATGATCGAAGGATAAAATGTGATACGTAAATGACCAACGTAGAAAAGCCTCATTTTTTGTGTTTTCTGTATCCCTTCACGTAGAAATTGAACTGACTACGCATAAATCTGGTAAATACGTTACGGCTACGGATCCGTTGAGCTAAAAATCGTTTTGCGAAACCTCTCTAGTACTAGTATGTCCGGGTTACGCTAAACGCCAGTGATATATGGGTGGAACAAATAGTGATTGCCACATTTTCGGGAAATAGTGTAAAACTTTTCCCCTCGGGAATATCCTGTCCACTCGCATGTTCCCTCGGCCTGCCCCTTGGGAGCATGTCGGCAGACAGGATATTCCCTCTGGGAAATTATTTTGCACAATTTCCCTCAATGGCAGTCACTATTTGTACAATAGAACGATTCGTGATACCATTTACATCTCCAATATTGAAGAAACAATTCAAATGTTGATGTACTGATTACGTAATTTGCTTGTTTTTAGAAAAATTATGTCAAATTTATAGCTGAGAAACCTAAAACATACACATTATAACACGAAGTCTTTAACAAATACTGTAATTTGTCAATTTTTCAGGTGAATTTTACGGTGGATCAAATCCGTGCGATCATGGACAAGAAGAACAACATTCGCAATATGTGTGTTATTGCCCATATGGATCATGGTAAATCAACGCTTATTGATTCCCTTGTGACAAAAGCAGGTATCATCGCTCAGGCAAAGGCGGGAGAGATGAGATTTACTGATACCAGGAAGGATGAACAGGAAAGATGTATCACAATCAAGTCAACGTAAGTCTAAAGACAAATAACGAATTAAAACAGCTTCCACCAACAATAATGATTGTGTTTCTAAATGCATGCCAGCAATTTTTCAATACAAAAAGAAAATTTTAGGCCATCGTTTGAATATTACATGCCCAGGGTTATATGTCACGTCATGGTTGTAGATTATGTAGATTTCTACTGTGGCATGGTTATTTCTATCACTTTGTTCGAATGATTTTGCTACCCCGGAGAGATGCTAGTGCATTTACAATACAGAAATAAATACGACCAGTAACATTGATTGCTTTTATTAGCATTTCTTTTTCACCAATTCTATCCATTTCAGCATTCTTTTGCAAAACGAAGTCTTACTTTTGATCTTCATAATATTTCCAATCGATTGATAAGTATTTGATCTTTCATTAGACACCAAAAAACAACCCAGGCAGATCACACCAGGGTTTACAATAAATTATAGAAAAAAATTTTCGATCTATCAATCTTTATACGTCAAGTTTTTAGTAATGTCAATGAATGATGGCGATTTATTCATTTTTGATAGAATTGTCAAGCGCACGCCATCTTTTAAATCAACAGTTAGTGAAAAACATACACTTTGTGAATAAATCATGCACTTCTATAGATCTCTGAACTTCAAATGCTGTTTTCTATGCGTGTTATATTTTTTCTCACTTCAGTTTTAACCCAAATTAAGATTAGTATCATATTTGATTAAGTGTGCGAGTTACCTGTCTCAAAGATTGTTTCATCCTTTTTCTTCAAAAATATGCACAGTTCCTGTTTAATCAGCACACATTGTGACAGTTCTCCATGCCTTTGTATATTTTTAGTGCTGGGTCTATGTACTATGAATTGTCTGAGGGCGACATGAAATTTATGAATGAGAATACAGACGGCAATGCGTTCCTGGTCAATAGCATTGATACTCCTGGGCACGTTGACTTTTCATCTGAGGTTACTGCAGCCCTACGTGTCACCGATGGTGCCCTTGTAGTTGTTGACTGCATATCTGGTAAATGTCATGTTCTTTATATATTGAAAAACTCATGCACTGCACTGCCTAGGTTATAATTTCAATTTTCTGTAATAAAAAAGTGTCAAATTGAATAGCGACCCGACATATCTATATTATTTTGGTTTTGTTAAAATTTGATGAGACCAGCAATATAATCATGCTTTGAAAAAAAGGCGCACTCAATCTCAGTTTCATTTACATTTGAATTTTCTCTCGCTGAAATAATTTCTTCACTTGATTTTATTTTGAATTTTCTCTCCATAAAATACTTTCTTCACTTGCTTTTATTTTGAATTTTTATCCCTCTGAAATATTTTCTTCACTTGCTTTTATTACCGGCATTTCCCTATTAAACTTTTATAACCGTTCCCAAGGCTTACTCCTACATCATTTGTGTCCCATTGGTTTTCGAACCTGAGAGGGACTTTGTGGATGTTAGGTGACCCGTCTCCTAACCCTTGACGAACAACTTCTACATGGGTTTCATTGTAAGACGATGACTGTCTTGTCCCAACAAGTTTGATGCGTCGTGGTCACGTTTTCTGCTGTTTCTTTGGACGCTTCTCTCGGGTTTCTGTTTTGTGCATTTCGCTTGTCGGAAAATTTCTTTTACTGCTGCTTTACACCGGCGGATAGAATATGGCACTGAGTGAAGATCAATCGGTAGCACTGATATGATTTTTATATTCGGTACATTAGTCGATTTGCTCGGAAATGGGCCAGCTGTTTTTTAAAAAATAGTTTCCAACATTTTACATTTTGTATACGTTACTGCTACTTTAAGGTGTGGGTGTCCAGACTGAAACTGTGTTGCGTCAAGCTATTGCTGAACGTATCAAGCCTGTCCTTTTCATGAACAAGATGGATAGGGCTTTATTAGAGCTACAGCTGGAACAAGAGGATCTCTACCAAACATTTCAAAGGATAATCGAGTCTACAAACGTAATCATTGCTACGTACTCAGATGATGATGGTCCAATGGGGCAAATTCAAGTGGATCCTGCCAAAGGAACCGTTGGATTCGGATCCGCTCTTCACGAATGGGCTTTTACCTTGAAACAATTTGCTGAAATATATGCTGGTAAATTCAAAATTGAGCCATTGGATCTTATGAAACGATTATGGGGTGACCAATACTTCAGTGCCAAAGAAGGGAAATGGAACAACGTTGGAGGGGATGGATATGTTCGTGGCTTCAACCAGTTCGTTCTTGACCCTATCTACAAGGTAAGTTAACATAACTTTAGATGATCTTTCCAATGGTATATCACACTAGGTACCATCTATTAAGGTTTTAGCTATAGCAGGGGGACGGGGCTTATTTGACACCCTGTAATATCTAAGAGGTAACTGCAATTAATCGCCTTGCATGTATCTTCCGACGTAACTGATGCATATCATCACATTCCCTGATGATTATATCTTTTTTGACTTTACTGCTGCATATCATCACATTTTTGATGAATATCAAAACCATTTTTTCTCAACGTTTCTTGAATTCGGCCAGGTCTTGTTGGTGGTTTTATAAACAACTGAGCAATATCTAACGAGGGGCAAAATCATTTTAGCCATAGCCACAGTCAGTCAAGGAAGAGCAATAAGTCCTCTTTTATCGATACCTGACCCCTGACGATGACAGTTCATATCTTAAAACGTATTAGGACCCATTTTTAGCATATGTCATTTTCTATTATAAAAACTATTCATTGACTCCATTTCCATTACCAATGTTTATACATTTATAGCTGAGAAACCTAACGACTGTTTTATCGTTAAAATTACATGGCATGCAAAAAATTAATATCCTTCACATTTAAAACAACATATAATCTGAAATAATTATCACGGTGTGCTATAGAAATAATTTTTGGTTTTTAGTCGTCGTTGCTCGTCTTAACCACTACCATTCGAAATTGGTGCTAGCACTACGTAAAGGGTGAAGTCAAATAAAAAGATGCTAACTGGTAATACAATGATGAGAACTTTAGTAGGAGCATAAACGAATTGAATACGACATATTGAAGGGGTTTGGATTTGTTTTCTTAGCCTGATGTGTAGATCTAAGGGAGAATCCAAATAAGACAATACAAATTAATGCCTTACAAGGCAAGGTGTTAAATCCATGATCCAGAATAAATTCATAAATAAGGTGCATGGGTGTGTTCTAATTCCAGATGACCGATGCCGTAATGAATTTCAAAAAAGATTTTACAAACAAATTGTTGGAAAAGCTTAACATAAAATTGACTCAGGAAGAGAAGGAGTTGGAAGGAAAGCCTCTTTTGAAACGTATAATGCAAAAATGGTTGCCCGCAGGAGAGACACTGTTGCAGATGATATGCATCCATCTTCCCTCTCCAGTAACAGCCCAAAAGTACCGTATGGAGCTGCTTTACGAGGGTCCCAAAGACGACGCTGCTGCTCTTGGTGAGTTCTGCCCTCTGGTACTTTATTCTGTCTCAAACAACGCACATATTAATATTATTTCAGAAATGATATCATTTTAACAAAGGAAATAAAGAATGTAGTAATGAAGGATATATTCTTCGGTGCATAACATTGTCAATTGTCTCAGTGATGCACAAATAGAACCTACATTTGATTACAAAAATATGAAGGGCCCGATAGCAAACAATTTTGCGTAGCTTAATTTTGACTATTAAATCACATTAGAATTACACTACATAAGGATAATATCAACGTGCATAAAATACTTGTTATTGAAACTGCATAAATGACGTTGGATTATACCAATGTGTCATGGATTCGAACCAATTCCAAACGATTTGTGAATATCTTCATAGATAATGTTTTCCAGCTCCAAAAAGGTAATGGTATTTTAGCATAGTAATATGCAATTTGCATGTTATATCATTTTTATTTTGTTTTATTAATTGTTCGCTTAAATATTGGATTTATTTGATTGTTTTCAAGAGACAAATAAACTATAAACTATCAATAAGCTCTAAACTAATATGATAACGCAAACTATGAAATCTTTTTTAGGGATCAGGGATTGTGACGCCGAAGCACCTCTAATGATGTATGTCTCCAAAATGGTACCATCTTCAGACAAGGGAAGATTCTACGCCTTTGGTCGTGTTTTCTCTGGTAAAGTAGCTACTGGCTTAAAGACCAGAATTATGGGTCCTGCTTTTACCCCAGGAAAGAAGGAAGATTTGTTTAACAAGAGTGTCCAGAGGTAACAATAAACATATTTGTATATTTAATTTTTTTTTTTAATTTTGATAATTCTTTGGTTAATTTTTCCTTAATCGTCTTATGTATGTAGCTATTGACTAGACATAATACAGTATAATGACTTATTTAAAGGACCATTCTCATGATGGGACGTTACACAGAGCCCATTGAAGATGTACCCTGTGGCAACATCTGTGGTCTGGTTGGTGTAGATCAGTTCCTTGTCAAAACTGGTACGCTCACGACATTCGAGGAGGCCCACAATATGAAGGTAAAGAGTATTAATGACATATCTTCTCCCATGTCTCCATATTGGAAAATACTATGTATCTCATACTTGAGTGGGTTTGGGGTAGATATCACCCGGGAATATATATCGTATCTGAGGAGCGGGCAGGATATATTGTATATGTCCCGCTCCAGGCCAAATGCGGGCAGATATAATATATCCATCCCGCTTCAGGGAATTTTTCAAAAGTTTTAAAAAGTTTAAATATCAAAAGTTTAAATCTTTTAATTACAAAATTATTTTTTTTAAGTTTAAATGTTACAATTTCATTGTATTGAACAAAAAGAATATTACGAAAATGTTAAATATAAATATCTTGTCATTTGAAAAGGTGGAAAAGGTTATATCTACCCTAAACCCACTCAAGTATGAGATACACCAGTTATTCACGGTCGGTTTGGATACATGGAATATCCCTTGGGATATACAATACATCTTCCCTCGATCCCTTCGGTCCCTCGGGAAGATATATTATATATCCCTCGGGATATTCCCTGTATCCAAAACCTCCCAGTGCATAACCCCTATATATGCGCTATATATGCGCTACCGTAACATCTTGGATTTCCAAGGTATGATGTGTTCATATTGAAAATCAAACTGGGAAACGAGTACGCTACCGTAATGTACTAGATAAGATCTCACTAGCTATAAATGATATTCAAGTTTTTACAGTAAGATCTAAAATCTGCCATTCGGTGCTATATATTTTGTTCATTGATATCGTTACTATGTTCGTGTTGAAGGCAGATAGTCATTATTATAGGAGGGGGTGTATAGGGATATTGTATATCGTATAAGGGGGTGAAATTTTATTTTATATTGTGTAAGAGGGGGCGAAATTTATGGTATATGGTATAAGAGAAAATATATGGTATCTCAAGGCTCCTATATATCCGTATAAAAGTATTTTTGGAAAAGCGCAGTCACGCCGAACTAAACTAATTACTGCCAAGGAAACCTTTTATCAAATAACTCACTTCACGTTTTCTGTAGATGATGAAATTCAGTGTATCTCCTATTGTACGTGTTGCGGTAGAACCAAAAGACCCCCAACATCTCCCAAAGCTTGTGGAGGGCCTAAAACTGCTCGCCAAATCGGATCCCATGGTATTAACCCTCACTGAAGAATCAGGCGAACATATCGTTGCCGGAGCTGGAGAACTCCATTTGGAAATCTGCTTGAAAGCTTTGGAAGAAGATTACGCTGGAATTCCCCTGAAGAAATCCGATCCTGCTGTATCTTACCGTGAGAGTGTCGAAGAAAATTCCAGCATGACTTGTCTTTCTAAATCTCCAAACAAGCACAATCGTCTTTTCTTCACAGCGTCTCCCTTGGCAAAAGGTCTTCCCGAGGATATCGACCAGGGAAAAATCTCTCCCCTTCAAGACAACTTGGCCCGTGGTAAATATCTTGTTGACAAATATGATTGGGAACCCGGAGAAGCAAGGAAAATCTGGTGTTTTGGACCTGAAGGCACAGGGCCCAATCTGCTAGTGGATGTCAGCAAAGGAGTGCAGTACCTCGATGAAATCAAAGACAGTGTTGTTGCTGGATTTCAGTGGGCAACTAAAGAGGTGAGATGCATATAAGTTGTAGCGACAAGAAAATATAAGTCTTGTGTCTGGCCGTCTAGTGGCGGCTTATCTAAAAAATAAAGAGTTGGCCATGTGACTTCTGTTAACTTTTATACATATTTGTAGTTTCTCTAAATTGGCTTTTTTGTTTAGAATTTGTTGACCCGAAAGGAAGCCTCATAAATTATAAAATCTTGAAACCAAGTCATATTATTAAACCTTATATCCCATCCACCCTCTGAGCATTCTGATACTTTTTTTTTATTTTTTTTTATTGTATTTCTTTATTTCAAATTATTACAATAAACACAAATACATTAGCGGCTTTGTAAGGTACATTATAAGCCACTTTTAGGATGATGATTCACAAAACTAGGTCTGCAAATGATCTGATAGTAATGATACTATTAAGCATAATAGGTCACTAGACTGCCTGGGGTCCCTCAACACAGTTCCTGATAAACACTGCACTCAACTTCAAAATATCAATGTTTTGCTCTTTCTTAAGTGTTTCGTGGCCATAAAGAATAAAGTTTAGTTTTTCCTGCCTGTTCTTACATAAATTTCTGTATCCAATATTTAGATCACAGAGTTGTTGTTCAAAAGTAATAAAATAATTCTGTCGAATGGGACAGGAGAAAAACACATGAATTGTGGTTTCATTTGTGTGGCCACAAGCACAATCTGGCGAAAGAATATTTACAAAGTTATGTGCATGTAAATGAGCTTTAAATATAAAATCCACTCTTATTCTGTTTAAATAGATTTCAAGTGATCTACTGACATTGATATCAGATGCCAAAGTTATGTTTGTGCTCATCAAACTCTTTGTCAATGCCCTCTTAAAGGAATGTATGTTAATGCACTCTCTTAAAGTTGGCTCAAGTGAGTTCCACTCTCCTAAACAAGAAAAAACACATGATCTATTTTGGATTGATGATCTTTTCGCGGGGATGTGATATGGTAAGGTTAATCTTAGATCTCTTATAGGTGCTCTTTTAAACTTTGCAAAAATAGAGCTAACATAATTCGGAGCATTACCCTTATTAACTTTAAAAACTAGGAACATCCTATGTAATTTCCTACGGATTTCGAGTGATGGCCAATTTAAAGTATGGAGTGTTTTGATGGTGGATGATCCGTGGATGACACCTGAGCAAATCACAGCAGCTTTATAATATAATTTATCCAGGCATTTTAGAGTCAAGGAGTTTGCACAGCCATAGAGTATATCATAGAAGTCAAAATGTGGCAAAATGTAAGAATTAAACATGAGTTGAAGATGTTTTCCACTGAGTTTTTTTGATAAACTTTTCAAGTGGTTAAGTAGCTTGTCAATTTTGTTTGAGGCCTGAATAATGTGCGGTTCAAACGACAAATTTTGGTCAAAAGTAAAGCCAAGGTGCTTATGTTCATTGACTTTAGGAATTATATCACCACTAAGTAACATTGGTGGAGTTTGTAACTCTGATTTTCTTTGGTCAAAAAAAGTTAGTTCTGCACTTTTGCTGGCCTTAAATTGCAATCTCCATTTTTGTGACCACTCATAAATATTATTAAGGTCAGTCTGCAGTAGAGCCATCTTATTATTTAGATCATGCTCTTTGAAGGATTGATAAATAGAAGTGTCGTCAGCAAATAAGTAACATTTTGAGCTAATATTGTCGGTAATATCATTTATATACAAAAGGAACAGTAAAGGGCCTAAAATAGACCCTTGAGGCACTCCTGAATTTATATAGTTCTCATCAGACCATTTAGATTCTTGGCCATCGATCACAACTCTTACCCTACGATTTTCCAGGTAAGATTTAATTAGGAAACAGATATTTTCCCCAAACCATAACTTGCAAGCTTACTTAATAAATGAATGTGCGGCATTGAATCAAACGCAGCTGAAATATCTAAGAAAATACTTTTAACATTGTTACCATTATCTAAGCAATCTGTGATATAGTCAATTATGGTTAAAAGCTGGAGCTGGGTTCCATGACCAGGGATAAATCCACTTTGTAAGTTGTAAAGAAGGTTCTGATCCTGAAGAAATTGAAATAATTGATTAAAAATAATTCTTTCTGTAACCTTTGAAATACAGCTTAGTAGTGTGACAGGTCTGTAATTTGAGGGAGTATTCTTATCGTTCTTTTTGTGGATTGGTGTGATATTACCAAGTTTCCAGCATTCGGGGAACTGGTTGGTCAAAAATATTTTATTGATTAATTTAGACAAAGGAAATGCGAGAGCAGGTGCTGAAAGTTTAAGCATCCTATTACTGATCTGATCAGGCCCAGATGCTTTATTAATATTTAGAGACATCAAAGCTATATAAACCTCATCTCTATTTGTTGAAAGTATATCAAAAGATGCATTTGTACGTTTTTGGTCAAGAACAACAGGGTCAAAATGATCGCCGATGTGAAAACTTTTAATAAAATGAGCTAAAAATATATTTGCCTTCTCTTTACCAGTCATTACATTTTCGCCATTTTGGTCGACTAAGACAGGAATAGAGCTTAAACGTGTCCCTGTAAATAATCTTGAGGCAACATTCCAATATGATTTAGATCCAAACTGTTGGGTTTCCATTTTATTTATCATGCGTTTTTCATGCTCATCTTTTGCTTTAGAGATTGCATCATTGACTATGGCACACTGATCTTGATACTTTTGATAATGTTCTTGACTGTTAGAGTGTCTGAATTTGTAATGGTATTTATTTCTTTTGTTAATCTGAGTTCGAATTTGATCATTAAACCATGGTTTATCATTTGATTTAACTTTAATAAGCTTGTTGGGAATACATTTGGAATATATATCAAATAAACAATTGGAGAAATTTCCACCAACATGGTTCATGTCATTTGAATTTTCGATGATATTGCAAAGGTTACTGTCGCGTATAGAGTCATTTAACACATTTACATCAACATTAGAATATTGCCATATTCTCCGAAAATATATTGGATTTTTCACAGTGCCCATTAACATTTCAAAACTTAGGGTACTATGATCTGTGTTGCCTACTGGAGGCGTTACGGTTTGAGATACAATCATGTTAGGAATGTTAGAAATCAGGAGATCAATGCAAGATCTGCTCGTTAACGTAACTCGCGTTGGTTCATTTATCAGTTGTGTCAGGCCAAGAATTCGCAATGAATTTAGTAAAATGTCACCTTCATATTTGTCAATGTCACCTGATACTGATACTCATAGCATCTTTCCGTTTCACCTGAAACATCTCAGGGCTGAGAAGAAATGAGATGTCATGGTTTATCATGATGCCCTCTGAGAGCATTTGACAAAAACATATAAAGAGGACAATGCATGCATATCAATATATTAGAAATGGGAACGATTTCAAGCTCAAATACTATTTTATTTTACTTTCTGATTGATTGACATTTCTTGATAACTGAATTGGTGTTAATCTGGGTAATCAAGGGATTATAGTTGCTGAGCATCCTACAATATCTTTAAATGACCCAGATGATGAACGGATAGAATCAGTAAATAAACTAAACCGTTATACTGTGCTCAACTAAAAGTAAAGCATTTTTCTTGTATTTCAAACATCATATGTCAGCCATCTCGTTTTATTTCCCTTCATGTTAAAATTGCAGGGTATAATGACTACTAACTTATACATAATATATTTGTTTGCTTATAGGGAGTACTCTGTGATGAAAACATGCGTGGTGTGAGATTCAACATTCATGATGTGACACTTCATGCTGATGCTATCCATAGAGGAGGTGGTCAGATCATCCCTACAGCAAGAAGAGTCCTCTATGCCTCTGTACTTACAGCCAAGCCCTGTCTATTAGAGCCAATATACCTTTGCGAAATTCAGGTGAGCCAATCAATAACAATGTCAATTAAAAGAAAGAAAGATCATGCGCACGTTCCATTTCAGACCACAAACGGAGCAGTTTATGTAGCATGATCCATACATAGGCCCGCATGTAGGGAACCTTGCATTTGACTTTAAAGAGTGACCTTTCTGGCTAAGGGTGAGGCCGGGCCAAAGGTTGAAAAGGAGTCTTACCTAGTAAGCATGCAGTACAAATTCCAAAACTGATAAAAATACACATTTCTATTTTAATAAGGCATTCAATTTTTCATTTATCTTTTTGATTAATTGAAAGATAATTTTTTTCTCTATTAGAAAATACTTTTTCAAGCTTCCAGAATGCACAATTATTTCTAACCCTCTATTCTTTGAGCATCTTTTGATTTGGCATCTAAGAGCTACCATCATATTCCGAATCACAACAGTAAAGAAAATGCAATCTACCTCAGCGCACATACCTTCCACTGGCTTCCTCTATATTATTCCATCATATAAATAAAAAGCCATAGTAGGAATACAAAATAAGGTGATTCTAACAATTCTGACTGACTTTGATATTATACGAATCACCTTTCTCTACTTCTATGTCCAATTCAACATATTTCACCCGACCTTGATTTCAAGTTAGGGTTTTTTCATTCATTTTCTTCAATGGCCACAACAGGTCAGTCTTCATAGTCCTAGGAAAACTTTGAACATGGATACATGAATCTAAAACAAGAGGAAATGGTGTCATTGTCAGATTGCCATTGCCAAACAATGTTATGCTATTTTGGCTCCAAGCAAAGTGGTCTCGTAAGGAAAGAAAATGACTTCCCAAGATTATGACCACGACCTTCATATTTTGAGTTTTGTAACCATTTTAGGTCCTTTACCAGAGAGGAATGAGCTAATTCGAAAATAACAATTCAAAGGTCATTCGATGTTATCCAGATGTCATATAACAATCATGACTTCAGATTAATAATTTTCAGGAAGTTTTCCTTCATTTTTATTGATCAATTTTATGAACTTTAATTTTGACCTATGCTTTGGCACCTCTGATATCTCAAGATCGGTTAGAGCTATTAAAGAATTGGTGCCATATCATAAAAATTTTAAAGAGTACAAATTCGACACAATTTGTACTCTTTTTGACTTTCCAAATAATATTTGACTTTCCAAGTAATGTTTTGAGTTATTTCATCAAATTTTCAAAAAGATGCTTTCAGAAAATTAAAGGATGAGTCTGGGAATGAGTCTGGGTATCGACTTAGAAAATATTGAAAATTGTAATGTCTGAAGAAGCAACTCAATCACACATATTATTAAACTTCAATATCTTATCCTTCTTCTGAGAGTACAAAAATATCAATTTGTATCACAATTAATGAAGAATATTGGCATCAAAGACAGTGCATATCACTTTGTCAGAATGGAAAAAAAATCAATTGCAAATATTAAATGAATTATTTATACAAAAGGCTTGAAACATATCCTCCAAAACATTGCTTACTTTCTTTGTATAGACATTGAATGGCATTTCTGGATAAGTGAATTGGTGTTTATCTGGGTAATCAAGGGATTATAGTCACTCAAAGTTACTGAGCATCCAGTTTTGAGACTTCAATTGTGTTGGTGAAGTTACACATATTTCAGTCAAATTCATGCTGAGCACAACATTCCGGTTTCAATTTTATAATCTCTATACATGACCCTGGTGATGAAGAGTCAGAATCAGTCAAAAAACCTAAACCGGAAAACTGTGCTCATTGTGAAAACTAAAAGTGAAGCAACTTTTTTTCTGATATTTCTTACATCAAATGGCAGCCATCTTGTTTTTTCCCCTTCAAATTAAACTGGCGGGAAATTCAAAAATTTGAAAAAAATTAAATATATTTCAAAAATATGATTTTCTTTTTAATTCTTCATGGGTCTAAAGTTATTTCTTCTTTGTATGTCATATATGTTGCCATTGATGTTTTTTTTCTATGATAATGACTATTTTTTTTTGTTAAGATACTTATTCTGACTCTCAGCAGGGGGTTAATTATGCATCAAAACTAGTGAAAAAGTAAATATACTTATCAAATATAACTAGGACAGTAATAAAAAACATATTTAATATACATTTGACTGAGGGACCAAAAGGGCATATACCCGGACACATCCTTTCCCAATTATTTGGATATGATTTTATAACTTATTATAGCAATGAATAAGTTCGAATATGAGTATGTCATTGTGTGATACCAGCACCTTTATTAGATGTCCTAGAACCGTGGACTATTAATTTATTGATTGTTAAACTTTCGAAAGGCACGTTAAAATTTTATTTTCAGAATATAATTAGAGCAATTGTTTAGCTTATGTATTGTATTGTGTTATAATCGTGAAGTCACTCAAAGCTGCTCACTGCACTGTAAAAATCACAGGCATAGGAAAAGACCGTCGTATCTTGCAGTTACTAGACTTGACCCTCTCCTCCATGTTTCTTTGCAGTGTCCACAGGATGCCACAGGTGGAATAAACTCATGTCTCAAAGGAAGGAGAGGAGACATATTCAAAGAGACTCAAATTAAAGACACTCCTTTGGTTAATGTGAAGGCCTGGCTGCCTGTTAACGAATCTTTTGGTAAGACTGCTTTTTAACACATTTTGAATGTCAAAATTATAACGAGGTCAATGGTCTGCTTTACGTTAAGTCAACGCCCGTTACCTTCTATTTCAAAATGGCCACCTCTATTGGTCACCTCTGTATGACTCAAATCTCCATTTGTGTAAGTATCTGTTTGATCTAGGTAAGTTTCAAACATGGCAGCCATAGAGGACAGAATGACAAATAAATAAAATAATGATATATGCCATAGGTATTTGGGTTGATACGACCCTCGGAAACGCTTTGAACAATCCATTTTGACTCATATTGTGACTAGTTATATAATCAAGCAATTTTCTCTATTTCATATGAAAATACGGACCTGCCTTATTTCGATTGATGCAAGATGGAAACAATGCAACATTGAATGTATTTGAATGCACCGTTGCTAGAAATGTTTCATCACCTGCGGAAATCATTGCGGATTTAAAAATACATTTAGGTTATGTTCATTTACCTTGCAGGATTCACTGCTGATCTTCGTTCGAGGACACAAGGAAAAGCCTTTCCGCAAACTGTTTTTGACCATTGGCAACTGTTCAAAGGAGACGTCAATGACTCTACATCCGATCCAGGCATCGTTGTCATAGAAACAAGAAAAAGGAAAGGATTGAAGGAAGGAATTCCGCCTCTAGATGACTTTTTTGACAAATTATAAATGAGGGAACAGTATCATTATGAAAAAAATCTATGGCACATTAAAGACAAATTATGTTTTTCTCTTATCACACACTTCAAGAAATGTACGTACGTTCTCTTACTACTGCTCGAAACACAATCATTAATGCTGATTCATAATCATAAGCACAACAATAAGCAGACATTTATAGAGATTGAAATTTGGCCAGTCACTTTTTTACTGGGCCACCCTGTGAGAGTTCTATATTCTTTGACTCTCCGTGAAATATTTGTTATATTAATGCCACATGGTCATTCATATTCTTATAGTCTATAGGGTATCCCATGCCCCCCCCCCCCCCCCTAGGCAGACTTATACCAGTGTCGTCATAATATGTATGTGTCAAATAAAGTTTTAAAGCGTATTCAAAATTACGTTTGCCTTGAAGACGTGTCGCAAAAAGGTGGCGCATTTGTTTTTAAGGGTATCGCGTGAATGTAACTTTGATTCCCCGGCATATTAGATATTATTCTAATTAAAGTTATATATCATTTTAAAGCTGTTTCGATGACGTTAATTTAGATCAACTACACTCCGTCCACGATTCTTGCACGTTCTTTTTTAAAAAAGAGTTTTTTACCAAATCATCTGTCAAATATCCCCTGTTGACACGTTACATTTTGAATTATTTTTCGTCTTTTAACGCTCATAACTCAAACAATATATGACTATTATACTTATTTTTCGTTTTGATAAAGGTAGATTGAAGTTTTATTTCAAAGGATGAATTTTAGTAAGCGTCCCATATTTTGACGTCATAGAGTTTGAAAAATAGAATCTGTTGACAGCGACCTTTTTTGCTCTTTTTTGTTACCTTCAACTTTTCAGGTGTACATTAAACAAAAAATACGAGATCAATTTTTAATAAATCATACATGATTATTTTGCTCTTAAACTCTAGTTTATTAATAAATAGTTGATTTTGTTCACAAAAGTATGTGTTTTCTGTTGTATGTGGAAAAATGGAGGACGAAAGGTTTTCAAAATTCATTAAAATAGGCCTAATTTACGCCATTCGCTTATTTTCAAGCACATCAACACGTATATTTATTTCATCTAAAATATCAATTGATTCGTGTTTTATGATGCTCCTATCCCATTGTTAATACATATACGATATCAGAGTTATTCGCCTTAAATATTTTGAGATATAGAGGCAAATGTGGAGGACGAAAGGATTTCCATATGTGTACATTTTTATCAAAAAACGTCACATTCTGTGGTTTTAAAAAGCGAAAATGTGTAACAATGCGTGCGCGACCTTTTTGCGACACGTCCAAGTATTATGGTTCAACTCTCATATGGGAGAGAGTTACATCGTCATTTTAAAATTTAGTGTTTGGTCAAAATAAAGTTCAATTTTACACCACATTACCCCTTCCTGGGTCATGTTAACAGCAGCGATTCTTTCGAGATATGACCTTAAAAGCCCTTCAAATAGGGGTGTGGAATTTGTAATCCTCTTAAAACCTTTTAAGGGACTTTAGAAGAGTTTCCTTAGAGTATCTACCCTCATCGTTCTTTTTTCCAACTTAATATCCGTCCGGCCCGAAAAACAATTGCTGATGTTAGATGGCCCGGAAGGACATATTGAGTCGTGATTTGGTGTTAAATTGAACTTAAGTTTGGCCAAACACTGAATTTTGAAAAGTCTGTAAGGTACTCGTAAATAAAGTTGTTATCACTGCACATAAGAATCTCAGACTTTTCTTGTTATTATGTATTATGTACATGTACCAGAGGTCATAACTAAAACCACGACAACCGAAACTTTGGTCATGTTTGCCATCCACGATGGTTTACTGCAAAATGTAATTTATAAACTAATAGCCAAAACACTAAGTACTCCTACAATAGTAAAGCTATATTTTAGAACGTTTCACAGTCTGTAAAAGGATCGAATCTTGCCCTACAGGTGCATGCAGAAGGTACTCGGATATTGTCGAATTCGTTGCGCACTGACGTGTGATGCGTGCCATTCCAACTCGACCGATCAACTAGAAGAACTGGGACCCAAAGCCAACGGAACTCATTCGTACACGTCCCGATTGCCCTGCGGCATTTCTTACCCCTGCAATCGGAGAACGTATTTATGAATTCAACATTAATCGCACTTGTAAATTATAATTTTGAGTGTAGAGAATACATATGGTGTCTTTTATATATCTACCCTGTTGAGAACGTTAGAGAGAATTAATGTCAAGTTACATCTTCATTTGAGAAGGCACTTTTGCCACAATCACAATTCTAAAACATCTTGTTTTTTCTGGAAAATATCTATAAGCGATTGTTTTCATAACAATTATCGAAAAACATTGTGTCGCGAGGCGAATTAGGCGTTAGGAGGAACTACGAGCCTTCTGCAGATTGTATTCGATTGAGAAATGGAGAAATAATAGCTTGAAATCTATACAAAATCCAGAAGGGGAAACGATTGTGTGTCCCTCTATTGATGCACATCTGTAAAAATTGATGTTGTATACAACTTAACAAAGGATCGTTCTCCTTACCAGTTTCAATTACGTCAACATTTGATATACCAATCATGTTTAAAACAAAAAGTTACTCGTAAACTTTCGACTCTATTTCAAATATTTATTCGTAGTCTATGCAGTATATTTCATAAAAGTTTCCTAAAATGGCTACCTGATATTTCCGAAATAAATCCAGGTGCCACTTGCAAAATTAATAGTTCACGCGTGTATGATACATTGGCCTCCAAATTATGTTAAAAGTGTCTATACAAAGACGAGTGTACCTTTACATATGACTTACACACAAATGGTATGCTGGAGCCTACTATTGAACCAGACTTCACCAAGTTTCTGTCCCTCATAAAATCCAGGCTCTGCCCACTTGACGTCTTCCTGACACAAATCGTATGTAACTACTGTGTTGTTATTCTCATCGGTTTCATCAACCCTGGAAAAACAATCATCAACGTGATGTTTTGTTCCACATTCATACATTTTCATCTTTATCTTCAAATTAAAATTAAGCGTTTGGAATTTGGACTATGGGATTCGGACGAATGGCATTCGGACCATTGGGATTCGCACCAATGGGATTCGGACCATTAAGATTCGGACCAATGAGGTTACCTCCGGGTTGACCTCTTTTAAATTTTGACTAGAACGATATTTCACTTTTGATTTTTCGTAAAATTTTGATAAATGACACTAGAAATTCAATGTGTTGGAAAATGCTCACAAACGCATCTTCGAATTCCAAATGGTTTTAGCCTTGAGAATCAAAATGAACAAACGCTCATAAACATAAAGCATGATATCACTATGTATATTTTAATAACCCTCTCTGCTCCATGACCCCTATCATTATCCCTTCCCTTCTCTACACGAATACACAAAAATAGCCCCAGCTACATATACACGCCTGTTCTAATTTATAAGCTATAAGTATCTCACTGTCTTTTGGTTCGAACCCTAGCATGTATGGAGTAGCTCTCTTCAAGTTTTGTTATATACTGTCTGTGGGACTCGCCCATCCAATTTAGCGCCTCTTCCGACCTGAAAAACATACATGGACTTCGAAAACGTTTTCAGTTTTAACTGTTGATTTTAGATATGACTGACCAAATGAAATTATACAATGAGGGTCGCTACCTTTTCATTCAAAATGGTGGAAGAGTATCGACTAGCATCGCTAGCTACTCTAGCTTTGTTGGAAAATATCGATGTTGCATTCTGGAAGCTGCGCAATAAATGATGACATTATCAAACGCTTCATAAGTTATATAGCCTACGTTATACGGGAATAATTAACATGCTATAAGTGAGTTGCGAAATCTCTCTATTATTTGGGGGAATAACTTATTTCTGCACACTTGGGTGTTATTTTATCAAAGATCATTGTAATGATAGTATTTTAGGTGGTAACGAATATATTGATAAGTCATTGTACAAGTTGAATTTGTTTGCGATCTTTTCGCTACATACATCACCGATTATGAATATAAAAAGAAATAGGAAATATAGACTAGAAGTTAGTCTACACGAAGACATACGTGAAATGATGCTCTGCAGAAACCCGGAGATACAGCAAAGCTAAGCCAACCATCTGAAATATGGAATTTGGTCAACATGTTGAGATTTAGGTCGCAATTATCAAGAATCATTCTTTAGGTCCGGGCCTCACTTAGCTCAGCCCTCAAAGCCATGGCCATCCTTCATCAAAAGCTTCATTCAAAGCATTGCTCACTCAGTTCATTATGAAGAGAAGTGAAATACCATTGGGCTAAGGAAGATCAAGAATACTGAGTAGAATGCTATAGTAAATGGAAAATAGTTTGTTTTCCGTAATTTGAAAAGAGTAGTCCAAGGCTAACAAGGCACTTACATGCAAAATGTCACCACCTACCATTTGTTTCAGACGCCGAACGTTAACCGCCAACCAACACCAACCTTCGAACACCGTCCACAAAAAATTAAGACGATGACATTGTGTTGAAAATAAGCTGGATAAGTGGTTATTTAGATAAAATTCAGCTTTGTGTCAACTTCTGACAACTTCTGACTTTAAAATCCCAAGATTTCAAAAAACAAGTTGCACCCCTACAAGTTTGGGCCCCTTAAACCAAAAGTTGGGCCCATATTTTGAAAATATAAGGCCTATTTTTGATAAATTGGCCTAAAAAGGCCAAATAATGCCCAAAAAGATCCATTTTTGAGGCCCCATAAACTTCTAAAAATCTTTAGGGCCCTAGTCTCCCGTCTGCTATGGCATCTTAGACCCTTTAAGAGACTAAGAATACCATTTCATTACTTGAATATTTCATTTTCATATTATTTCCTGACTAATCCGAAATGATACAATAATATATAGTATCTGATATTTGAATGATTATCGATTAGCTATCATTTTGCGCATTGCCTTTAAATATGCATCAATCCGATGCATCAAAGTCAAGTTCTGATCCCAAAGAATCTTTATGGTTGAACCAATTGATTTTAGAGTAGGCATTCTCACGTTTTCGGGAATACAATCGCTCAGAATACTACACGAGTACACGGTGCCCATGTCAAGCTGCGCGCCTACTTAGGCGCGCAGTTTGTTTCGATCACAAACTGCGTGCCTAAGAACATTGCATCATTTAAGTTGGAGTCTGTATTTTGAAACGTAATTTAAAGACATTTATCCTGCATTGTTTTCTTGTTCAATGCGTTCATTCTGTGGCGAATATACGAATCTTGCAAATACTAGCAACAACTATGTGCAAATGAATCTAAGTTTTAAAACATAAGCATATTAATGTCATTTTCGTCACTGATTTAACGGGAATGTATATACGTAAATCGATCTAGCACTTTAAACATAAATGACAAATACTTTAGACTCGTTTTATATTTAGTTCCTTACACATTTATCATGTATAATTCAAAATATTTCGAGATAAAACAGATAATCAGGAGATTAAAAAGAAATAAATCACAAACTGCGCGCCTATTTTAGCCAGAAATTACAAACTGTGTGCATACACTATTAAAACTATACATATTATCATTGGAATTTCTACAGAGGCACGTGTAGGTGTTTTTCACATAGCTTTGGAAATTTTACTTTTTCGTCAGATTTTATGAGATTTTCATATTGAAAGTCAAAATGTATAATAGAAGTGACAATTAAGTTGGGAACGAAAAAAACTTTTATTTTCAGAATCTTGGTGGATGGACTCTCATAGTGTTTCAATTATAGGGTTCTACTATTAGACACATATGTGCCTTGTATGGCGCTTATGTTTTCTAATAATACAAAACAAGCTTGGATAGGCACGCAGTTTGGGAAATACATGTGAATATAGGCGCGCAGTTTGACAAGAAAAATGTTTAAATCACGTTTATGGCGTATTATCGTTTTGAACACAAACTTTGCTGATTTAATCAGATGGAGGGATCCTATATATTCTATCATACACAGACACAATGGCTGAATAAACGGCAAATGACGATAAAAAGACATAGATATAACTTTACACTGTAAATTTTGAACACAGAAGTTACTGAAGACCCTTATATTGAGATAACTAGGTTTACATCGGGAAAAACATTGAGTACTATGAGTAAATTAAGTTCATCTTCTCAGAATGGTACTATCTTTAGAACGAGACTAACCTTGTATTTTTCGTATTTTGGCTCTTTTTGGGAGTCGTGTCCTCCCCGTCTTCCATTTTGAAATATGCACGCAGTTTGTCAGAGTTTCAAACTGCGTGCCTTGTAGGCACGCTGCTTGACATGGGCATCGTGTACTAGGTAACAACAAATACACAAAAGTCACGATACAAAGGCCCTTAACCAGGATAGCTATATGAATGTTTTCTGTACCATGTGATTTCAATGATAATTTTAAGCGCTTTTTCAAGAAACAAAATCAAACATACAAAGGATAATCTGAAAACAATAAGTCAGGACTTGAACATATTATTGTTTTTAATGAAGCGTTTAATGCATTGGTCTGGTATTCAATCGGTATTGATCAACTTAATTATAGGTTAATCGGCTATTAATGTTGAATAGGCTTTTCCGAGCAATGTCCTTTCTCTAAGGATAAACATGTCTCTTGACAATATCCACCAATCTTACATTTGAAAGTCTCCGCCATTTACTTCCCTCTTGCAGCTTGTAGTGGTGATGTATGTATTGTACGGGGAGTCACAAGGGCTAAGTGAAAGGTTAAATTACCAAAAGTATCTAAACCTTACTGATAATTTCTGGTTCCAGTCGTCCAAATGCATGGACGGTAACCCCCTATCACACCAAAACTAGTTCTTACCCGTCCTTGCCAGTCCTACGAAAACGGGCTCAATCTGACTGTGGTCGGGAAATATGTCTAAAATAATTAGCTACTTCGTTCATAAACAGTCTTCAATACGTCCATCTCAATTGCAGTTCGTTCAGGTCGGACCACGTCGGTTTGCAACGTTGTATAACGCGTCCCTTAGTCTAGAAGGTCATCATGACCTGATTACCGAACGGAATGGTCGCCATCGAATTTTGAATCGATTCAAAATTCTAAATCACATTCCCCGTCCGGGAAAGTCCATGAAGTTCGTAAACAGACCGTAGAACGTTGTAGCTACGTTCATTCCGTTCGCACACAGTTTAAAACCAGTTTTGAAGAACGCAGTGGCAACTTGCTTGGTGTGATAGCTATATTTTTGCTAACTCGTTGATAAATACGTTCTTAATCAGTTTGCAATTAGTTCTACCTCGTTCTCAATACGTCCTCAGACAGTTCAAATCGTTGTAAAAACGTCCCTAGTAGGATTGAAGTACGACGGTTTCGTTCGTAGTACGTCCAGCTCGTCGTTAGTAGGTTGTCACTCGTTCTAATTTGAGAACGTGACGACCAAGAGAACATTTTGAGCATGTTCTAAGTTCTAGAGGACCTACCCGTTCGAGTACGTTCGACGAAGTTTGTAAATAGACCCCAAACGGTTCTAAGTACGTCCAGTCCGTTCGTACACAGTTGAAAACCGTTTTCGAGAACGTAGTGAGAACTAGTTTGGTGTGATAGTAGGGTTAATAAGATTGACTTTCCAAGATGACTCTCCTACTTATCTTTTTTTTAAAAAGCACATCTTTAAAAAATATATTTATATGCTAGAGCTATTTTATCTAAATGAAAATGATACATTTCCTATTAATCAATCAGTATTTCAATCGCATCCAGTAACATACAATATTTAAGTTTAATTACGTTATGGAGGGAATGTTGTAACAGGGACGTCCATACACTCCTCAATAAGTCTGGTAACTCGAAGTCCCTTTTGAATGACGATCTCAACAAAATAAATCTAAATACTAGTATTGTAATTAAGGAATACAATTTCAAGCACTGACAGGCGACAGGCTATGCTATCCAATAAAAACAATCGGTTCCCAAACTTATACAGAGAGCGTATCTGCAATTTTGTACAGTATTTCCTTAATGAGATCCTCATTTAATGAAAAATACACTCAAATTAAAATATCAAGCAAATGTGGATCTGGTCCATATATTTCCATAAATAGGCATCTTCACCTCGAATACTCATGCCATGTAACATATACTAGGATGAAATATAAAATAGTTTAATTAATACTTACATGAAACATCACGGAGGCATCCATCTTTGTAATTACAAAACCACACATGTGTCGCCACCTAACAGTAATGATATTAACGAAATGTAAACATGCCAATCTGCATTAATTGGGACATTAGATGTTAAATCAAGCTTGACAGTTTATAATGTCATAATATGCATATGTACGAAAATGATAATCAATAGCAATTACATGTACGAGGGTGGTTCATAAAGTAAGGTGCACTTTGATCTAATTTCAAGAGTTTCTAATATTTATTCTAAAAACTTCAGACACTTATAAACATACTATTAAGGAATCATTTCTACAATTTTCAACAGTGAAAGTCAAAAACTCCTCAAATGAGGCATGTTTCCGTGCTTGGGACGCAGGTAGGTCAGGTATTTTCAAGTGTGCTAGTTTAGCAGCTTATCATTCAAATATTTTAATTTGAATGTTTATTCAGCTCTCCTTCATTGGTTTTCCTCAAATTAAGCACCTCCATATGATATACATTTTTTGGGTTTTACTACCCAAGAACTGAATGCTGAGGGCTCTAACTTCTTCATCAATTCTACCCTATTGATAATTTCAGGTGTGGTGATAGTGGTCCTGCCAGATATGGGCAAATCTTTAATTCTTGTGCCTCCTAGTGTTTGTACCACCTGAACACATTCTTTATAGCACACGCTTTGTCCTCATGCATTGTCTAGACACGCTCAGGGTATCCAGTTGTGTTTTACCTTTATATACACAGTGTCTTATCGGTCATCTTTGTTTTCTTCTTGGTTGGCCTTCCATTTTGACCCAAAATGGCTGATTTTCTGGGTCAGGTGTGTAATTTGGTGTCTGTTTGCCTTAAAATGATATTCCACACACAAAGCACCTTATGACATTATAGTAGCACATGGTTACTTTAGAAACATTGAAAACTATAAAAAGAAATAACTGTCATCATATTTGAATATAATAAATAACGTTTTATATACTAAAAGCAACAAACCATACATGCGACAAATGTGCGTGCATTCAAATGAGATCAAAGTGCACCTTATTTTATGAACCACCCTCGTATGAAATAAAATTAGCATCCAGAATCAGCATACAGAATAAGCCTCTGTCAACAAAGCATGACATACCAAAAACACCACGACAATGAGGACGTCAGATTCCGTTGTCCAAAATGGCGGACGTAACCGTCGCACCAAGGTATGAGTACCGTAATCCAACACCAAATTCGAAAATTCAGAACAATACTTTGCACATATGGCGTTCCTGATCAACTATAAAACGCTTACCCCCCCATAGTGTTATATATCAAAATGTACCTGTTCATACAGGAGTTCGATTGATCTACATCAAATTAGAGTCGGGTTACTTTTTGAGATATCAGCGTCCATTTATTGTAACTCGCGTTTGCTACCATTTCTTCAATTCCGAGATGACGAGCAAACGCGTAGTAAACACGCTCACGTCGGAACTATTTTTGACCTACATCGCTATTTTCGTAATTCAAATGAAAGTTGAACTCCTCCTCTTTATTTTGATACCAAATAGTGGCATACTCGGTACCCTAAAGCCAACTATGGCTTTATTTAGAACAAAACCACAAGTTTTTAAATGGACTATTTTTGCGGATGGATATGGAACCTCAAACCCCAACTCTATAATCGCCTGGTTCTCATTTCATGCCACCTAGTTTATCGGTACTAATTCTGTGCACGTATTTGCTCTTGTGATAGTGTAGTATATAAAATGCTGATTTAGAGATTGAACAGTGGTCGTGGATCGCCATAATATACCGTTTTCCATATCAGCAAAGACAACAGATTCTGAATTAAGAAATACAGTATAACAGGGACAGCGGTAGATGCTACGGTAGTATCAGAATTCGATCTACGGATTCTATTAAACACGCAGTGGAAGAAAATCGAATCAATGCGAATCTTCGTCCGCCATTTTGGATAACAGAATCTAACGTTGCCGTTATCAGGGTGTCCCGACGTGAAAATGTGTTAAACGTATAGTTTGATTACCAAGAATGAGTGACATCTTGTGATTAGTCATAAGTTGAAGTGTTAAAATTTTGACAATAAAGTAAGTTACCATGTCAACCAATAATGGCACATGGTGATAGCTTAAGAAGTTCCAGTCAAATTGACTTGAAATTCGTATTGATCACCTACTTGAAACTTATATTTATTGATAAATCAAGCCTTCGATGTAAATTGTTGATAAGTTAATTTTATTAATTCAGGCGTCCATTTTTACAATCGATAAAGCGAGACAAGGATTATGTTGTCGGACTAACTCCCCGTTGTACATTTCATGGACTATTGATATATTGTATTATAATTCGTATAATGAAGGTATGTAAAGTACATTTTGTTTTAATTCATATTTTGAGCAAATTTGATTCACAATCTTTTAAAAAAACATAATTTAAATTGAAAATATTTTCAAAATCTGAATGATCTGTTTTGTAAATAAATGTGGCCCAGTATTTCAAATTATTAAGTCTATATTTCTGAATGTTACGTAAACCTGAGATTGACGCGTCAAAATATAATCTCAGAGCGATTATAGTCCTCCTAGAGTACAGACCTGAAATACATTTACACCAATGTTTCGACTCTTCTAAATCGATGCCACTGTGACCAAGAATCTTAAGTCGTGTCCGGGGAGTCGTGTCGTGTATCGTCTTATCATGCATGTCATGTGTCATTGTAACCTCATTAGAATATGTGACCTCTCCAAGAGGCAAATTATGCAACTCGTGCAAATGTAAATCTCTCATTTAGTCGACCATACATTTCATAGAACCCCAGGTACTATAGCAATTTATTAAGGGCCAGGTATAAAAATCATTTCGAATTGTGTTATTTTCTAGTTCCACGTTGTCTTATTGGTGGTTTGTTTAGAATTCTATAAAGTAAATGGAAATGGGGATGATGAACAACAAACGAAACATAAAATAAAACCAGATCTGCCTCCATCGTAAGTACAGTTTTATTGATGATGTATTGTCATATCACCGGTGGGATGCAGTTGTCATGACGATGGCGTAGTCGGGCTTTGTATAAAAAACCTCCTACCTCATACCCACCTACCCACCTACGTGGAACATGATACAGTCATTGAAGGGTTCAATTTTAAAGATTGTTAAATCTCAAAATAGCTCAAATTATTAACATTTCTACCATTCCGGCTTTATTTTATGACTAGACAGATAACAGATCCATAAATAAAGGCATATGGATGCATTTTAATTTGTTATGACCCGAGGGCGGCCAAGGGGAATAAATAACTTACGACCGCGAGTAGGTCCAACAAGCCAGATAAAGAAATTGAAAGAAAGTGTGTTAAATTCGATGCCACGAGTGTGAATCGAACCCAGCTGGGATGTAGTAGCAACTTGCTATCAAGGGTCGTTACAAATGCATCTATAATTCATCATAAACTAAGATTTAATAAATTAAGATCTTAAAAATTGAACCCTTCAAAGACTGTATCATGTACCACGTACTTGGGTAGGTGGGTATGAGGTAGGAGGTTTTTTATACAAAGCCTGGCGTAGTCGTGACGATCGTTATCGAGATTGTTGTCTCGCTTTTTTTGTCATTGTACTTTCAGGAAAACCACCTATTACTTGGGGTGGTGATTTCGTGGCCATTTACCTTGTTTTTATTTATTGCAAGTTTTTGTTGAGATACGTGTGGTGTACATGGATACAAACTGTAGATCAAAGAAATGTATCGTGACATTTGGAGTGGTGGGAAGAAAGCATTGGTCCAAATACACCTAATGATGACTCAGCAAAGACTTTTTGGGATCGAAGGACAGTTTTCTCATAAAGAAATGTCTCACTTCATTCAATTGAGTTTCATACACTTTCTATTTCGATCAAGTCATATTGATTCTTGAATTCCAAGCCCCTGAATGAAATCATATAGAATTCAAATTGTTGAACAAGAAAAGCTGACATTTTGCATCTTATTCATGCATGTCATGCCAATTTTTGATTCATCAGCTGTTACTTACAACTAAACACCCTCTAACATGTATATACGGATTCGATCCGACATATGGTTTTCCACGAATCACGATAACGATCACGGGGCATGAGGACGCCGTCATCATGACGACTTTACCCCACTGGTTATGTGATCAAAATCACAACACATATTATGAAGTGTTACTAGTTTACATTGCAGTTTTGAATTAGAATCGGGTTGATCTCCATCAGAAATCATAATTCTCACATAATTGTCATTTTACAAATACAGACCATCCCAGATTCAGGATGCAATCAATGCATTGACAGAGGACGCAAAAGATTTCTGGACTACGCACGCCCAGCCACAGCCACCTTCCGGTGTCCAAACAATCCATGAGCGAAAAAAGCGTCAAGTTAAGTAAGTCATCTGAACTGATACAATTTATTAGCATTACAAAAATCGGTTGTGTTGATACTCATGATAGATTTCTGGCTTAATATGAGTAGATTTTGGCGTATCTAGTTATATTAGGGATGGTGTTCAAATCAGTGGGTCTTTAACTATTTTCTCCTGTGTAACCCTTTCTGTCCTCTAAATTCACTAATTGGCCAACCGGACTAACACTATAACTTTCTTTTGGTAAGTGTGCGTCCGTCTTATTGTGTTTATTGTCACAATAATTCATTTGCACTCCTAGAAACCAGGGGTCTTGTCAGGAATATTTTATTCCTCGAAAAAGTTGTCACAGGTTTACATTGTCTGCGCGGTGTCTCAGTGTTACAGTGTCTTACATTCCAGTGCTACTACTCGTGCAGAGAAAAGGAAAATCCCCAAAAGACGACCTGACGATACATTCTGTAGGACCCTTGTTCAATTCACCCCTCGAGAAGACTGGCGAGATTCGTTGGAGTATGGCTACGTTTACGTGATTGCGGGATTCACAGAAGCGAAATGCCTGTATGTAGACGATTTGGGGATTTTTATAACGTGTTGTAAAGTTTTATTTTCTGGTATTAAATAGGTACACTTTTCTCACCATAATAGAATGTAATGATCAGATTTTGAGATTGGCCTGACATTTTCCAATAAAAACGTATATAACGTGTATATTATAAGTTAATTCATGGTGGTGACTATAACGTGATTTTGTCATATTTTATTTCATTCTGACAACAATGTTAGGAATATCATAAAAACAAAATCTGATCCTTCTAATCAAAATCCTTACTTATATCTTCATTCAAGTTTTGCCTTTCACTTCAGAACTCGGCAAAGTAGAATAGTCTACGGAATCTGCAAACAAGAATACCAATGGATCTTTTTACCAGTCTTGAACTGTGAAATCTTCGCTAATAAGACTATAGGTGAATGCAAGGCTGATTATGCTAGTATACGTTACGCCTCGGGTTGCACGGCGCATGCCGTAGACGTGCCGTTTTGCGGAGATGTACATAGTCCGTTACAGCAGCTTGGACCCACAGCTGACTCTCTTAATAAAGCTATTGACATTTAATCAAAATTGTATACAAATTAAATTGAAATTCATAGAGTGGATGCATTCATATTTTCTTAAATACCTTGGGACAATACACTGAACGAAACGACTATGTAAAAGTGGGAACTTTCATTGGACGTGAAGATATACCTATCTCCATAGATTTGGCTACTGGAATTTGATTGAAATCTTTTGATTGCATATCAAAGCCTGCCAATGCTTGAATCTTAATTTCGCTTCTTAATTACTTGAGTTCGAAAATTTATTACAAAAATGCTTTGATAAGTATTCCAAAAAGATGACTTCAGATTGCCACACGTAAGGAGGGGGGTGTATATCTTCATTTATGAATTCATAATATTGTAATAAGGATTTCTAAAGAGAAATGTGCAGTTGATTTGTACGTATTTTGAAAGAAGTTGAAAGCTAAAAGTCTTACATATCCATTATGGTCCGCTTAATGGATTTAAAGTCCCCGTCTAAAGTTTGAAAATATTTTTTTATCATTCATTTACTATTTATCAGGACTTAAAAAGTGATTTTAGAGATTTTTGAACAAAAAAATTTTTTTGAAAAAAATGTTGTGAGCATTTCATTTCTCAAACATTCAAATTTCCCGCCATTTTTCAAAAAAAAAATTGAAATTTCTTAATCATCAAATATTTCTTGATGCATTTCAAAAAAGATTATATTTTTAACACCAATGCAAAGATTGAACAAAAGACACACTATTTCAATAATAAAATGTCATATTTAATGGGCCACTTCAATGTTTTAGCTTATCAAAAATATTTTGAAACATTAGTGATGTCACTAAGGTAACAAAAACTTTTTGAAAAAAATTGACTTTTTTTTCGATGTCAATCTTTTCTAAATATGCTAGACTTTCATAAAAAACCAATGTTGATTGTCTAACCAGGTTAAAAGGAAGAATAAATTATGTTTTAGATATCATTGTACCATTGGTTTCTATGAGAACTAAAATTTTGAAATGCATTTTTTCAGAACCATTTTCATGCACTGATAAGTTCATTTCTCGCTTGTTTATCAACCGATTTTCTTAATTTTTCGGCAAAAAAACATGGGAGGATGTATGCTATGCATTGGTATGAATTGTAGCTAATTAGAAGATATGAGTGACCTCTAAAAGTTGGTTTTAAATAAATTCACAAATTTTGAGACAAAAAGTCTATCAAAAAACACTTTTTGAAATTAAAAAAAAAAGTTTCACATATCACACTTTGATAACATTGGGTAAGACTACAATATAAGCCAAAGTGGTTTAAACTTTACATGGGGCCTTTAAGTTTATTTTAAATAAACATTCAGCTCAGTAACTTCTGTTTTATAAAATGATTATAGTGTTTATTAATGGTGTCATTAAGAAGTTTATTACAGAATCAATACTTTGGCATTTGATTTATAAATTGTCAATGACCTTAAGACAAAGAGTGACGTTATCACAGAGAATTATGGTTTCATAAAGAACTTGACAATGCGTCGTATTTTTAAAGAAGTGATAGCATATTTGAATTGCAATAAAGATCCTGTATCATGCTTAATTCATACAAGCATGTTCCAACCCATCCTAGTAATGTACACAGGCTCTGCCCTCGTGCATTGTGTAAGGGTTGTTTTAATGCACTTGTGCTTTTAAATTTCCAATAATGATCATGGGCTTCTTTAGTACACTTGGTGCAGTCATAAACAGTAGAGGGGAAACTTGTACAGAAAACATGATAACAGTTCCATTTTGATAATGAATGGCGATTTTGTTTCCGAAATGTGTCTATCGTCGTATCCAACGTGCAACAGATGAGATGAACATGCAATATAATATTGGCGTGCTTTTGAAAATTGCTTCGGGTTTGGGAGGGCTGCTACCTCTTTTTTACTATTTCGTCTTTTTATGGATTTTAGAACAATTGAAACTAATTCACTTATCTTAATGTCTTAAAAGCATATCCCTCACCTTATAATTCTACTTCAAAACTATGCGAAGATATGCATTATGTTTTCATACATATACCCATATGGATGTTGTTTTTAATTAACAATGTTATTATGAAAGTATCTGCAAGTAACTTACATAACGCATCTATATTACATGATTATCGTATCATGTTAATTAACTTATTGGTAATGGCAATCAATTACAAATTATGTACACGAAAAACAACTACCTTTTTATGTCATTTTTGTAAAATCAATTATTTCCATTAAAATGTAATTAACTATATATGAATATACATGTGCACCGATATCACATAGGTTTATATAAGTAATATCAAACAGACAATTCGATCACATGCTCACTGAATTCCCGTTCAAGCCTGTCAAGGTTATAATGATAATTCTCATGAAAGGTGGATACATAGTCTTTAGATGCACCCCGGAATAGCCTGACAACGGTAAAGTCAGATACTGTTGTCACAAATGGCGGACATAACCGAAGTTTCAATTGATTTTCATGAACTGTATGTTTAATAGAGCACCTTATAGACTAAATTCCTTTAGAAAAACAATTAATCAAAGTGTCTTAATACTCATTGTACAGTTAATAATGTTCTACCATCGAAATAAAGTCTTTAAATGATTTAAACGATCAAAATTAGATATGGGACAACGGACACTGTAATTACCATATGCCGTTGTCTTTCTAAATTACTCAAATTCAGATTCTGTTGTCATTGACGATATCGAAGACGCTATATGGTGGCGATTAACGACCCAATTTGATCGAAATGGGATTTCATATGATACATTATCACAAGAGCTTAATACACGTACTGAATTGGCGACGATAAAAAGCCATGAAATGAGGACCAAGTGATCAAAAAGTTGAAGCGACGGTTGTGTCCGCCATTTGTGACAACGGTATCTGACTTTACCGTTGTCAGGCTATTCCGGTGTGAGATGGGCAAATGGTCTCGAGTTGGATAAATGGTCTTAGGGTGGGTAGATGTTTTTTTGGTAAATGGTTTTCAGGTGGATAAATGGTTTTCAGTCGGATAATTGATCTTAAAGTTGGTTGGTAAATCGTCGTTTTTTGGTAAATGGTCCCCAGGTGGATAAATCGTCAAGATGGCAGCTTACTGGAAATTAGTACTACATTTTCAAATGATCAATATTGACCATATCAAAACAATTCCCTTGTTTTGCTGAACTAAAGTATATAATTGTATGATATTATCTAACGATAGCTACCATATCAGGAGAGAAATAGTCTGTGAAAGAATGTCCCTTCAAGGCTTAAGGTCCAGATGTGCAAGGCTTGAGGTAAACTATCGATGTTTAGTGAAATAAAAAAAAGTGTTTTTTACATTGTTTATTCATTCCGAATGTTGATCATCAGCATTACATAACATATTACTGTGTTCTTATTTTAGTTCATTCATCTATAGTAGTTGTATCAAGTCCGTTCCAAGGTATCGACTACAGCATACATGGCCTCTACTAGCTTTGTGTAATGTGCATCAACCATACAGTTGCTTATATGGTTTGTAGTATATGACCAGGCCAAGTCCTTCTTTACATCCATCAACCCAAACTGTCCACCCCAACCTGGATGACCAACGATTTTGGTACCCTGAAGTATAAAACAAATAGATTAGAAATAGTCATAAAAATAACAATACACATAACTTTGGAACTTTCAGAAATCATCGAACAATGTAACGCACTGAAAAAGTCATAGCATGGACACACAAAATGCCATCCACATAATGTTTAATAACGTCTTTGTCTCTATGATATTTGTATTCTTGAGCACATTACAACTAAGCTCTCCATATAGCAGCTTCACAATAAGATTCAGATGATTAGTTCAACTAAATACACTTTAATTAGCCTTACAAAATTACAAATTGTCAGTTGATGTATAATTTATGTATCATAGTTTGACAATAAAGTATGTAACTCACAAAAAACTAAATACTGATAATTTTTCCTTGGACTTTCAGGGAAAAAAGTCCACTTAATTTATTCAAAAAATGATATAGTTGTCATCGATAAAATAATTATAACCTATTTCCAAAAGTATGTTACAAAACGTGTGTATCGTTTTTTGTGTAAAACCTGGTGTGCCTGCAAAGGAGTAATGTAGACGACACATCTTGTTACGCTCATAAATCTGCATTTAATTGAGCTAGTAATCTGAAACTAATGTGACCAAAAACAAGTTAGACTTTTTGCTGACAAAAATGTTATCCAACGTTATTTTGGTGAGGTGGTATGTTTGTGTGACGCGGAATGTTCAAAGTGATACCTTTGACCTAAAGGCATTCTGATACTCACATATTTCTGATTTTCAAATGGGAAAAAATATTGCTAGAAAGAAACTGATAGAGGGTCATGATTTCTCACGATGCATCAAGCGACCTTAGACTCAATGGCTATAGTATTATAAAATTGATTGATGATTTTAAAAACACCCGATCTAAAGATTTTGTTGTTAGGGATATATAGATCTTGTACCTGAGGGCTGTCATAAACCACATAGCCCGTTGCATACGTAAAATTGAGACCAATGACTGCATCTGAACCTCCTACCAGAGGCTTAGTCATGGACTCCACAGTTGCCTTGGATACTAGCGTTTTATTAGTTGTCTGATCGTTTCCATGGGCTACGATGCTGAATAGCTTGGCCACAGACGCTGCATTACTAAACCCATAAGCCGCTGCATTAATAAAGGATCTGAGGTCTGGGTTGTTTCCTAAACTCTGTAAATGAAGAATATGTTGAATAAAAAAGTGTCCAATATAATTGGCATCCTCCTTCGCATTTAACAAACGAAAACTCACATCCTCCTCAGCAGGAATGAGCATATTGTTATCATAAAACAACATAAGCCGACTTACAGGGTTATCTATCATTGGCATGGTCTCGAAGAAAGGCTCACTAGCTTTGGCGTAATTGGTCCCCAAAGATTTCATAATTGTGTAAAACATTTTCCATGATTCCCAGGACTGTGTGAATATTTGACTGAGCTCTCTTTTATACATCCGGGCACATCTGTGGTTCTCTTCTAGAGGAAGCCCAATAAAAAAATCAATACCTGCAAAAACATGTATATTAAGTAGCACCCGAATGTTCAGATATGGGTTTATACATGTATCTGATGTTTACTGGTTTGGTTAAATAAAGATTACTTTTAAATCACATCAACACTGGTGATCCGCTCGATTACGCTGGTTACCGAAACGGTTCGTTTTGGGAACAAAATGTCGAAACGTCGAAGGTTCGATTTTTTCCTTATTTCACATGTCGTAGGCAGAATCCCCACGACATTTTTTCTCACAAACGTGTATCAGTACCATATGTTTTAGAAAATGTACATCTTTGCGAAGAAATCGCTCAGAAGACAACAGAATCGTCGATTTAATTCCTCACTTATGTTACATAAACGGTAGGGGTTAAAAGAGCTGATTACCGTTTATGTAACTTAAGTGAGGAATTAAATCGACGATTCCGTTGTCTTCTGAACTATTTGTTTAGCGAATGTGTACATTTTCTAAAACATATGATACTGATATACGTTTAATGAATAATGTTTAGTGCCTACAACGTGTGAAATAAGGAAAAAAGAAAAATCGTACCTTCGACGTTCCGGCATTTTGTTACCGAAACGGTTCCAACGTAATCGAGTGGATCACCAGTGATCAAAACATATTTACTGAATGGATGGATTAAGCATGGTTTGAAGAATACAAACTTACCAAAAGGTTTTGCAATTTCCTCTTGAAAGTATTGTGATAAACTTCTTTGTTTACTGTCTACTCTTCTCACCAACTGATCCAGATACAGCCCAATGGTAAACATGTGATAGCCATGTCTAGTACCTGAAGAACATACATATACTATTTACAAAATTGAAATCGTAAAAGAGCACAAAGGTTAGGGCGATTGAGAAAAATTGTCAAATTGAATTATGCATTCGAAATTCTTTCAATTGGCTTTAACTTATTTGTATTTGAATCTTTGAAATCATCCTAGGAAGGCTTGGGTCCAGACCTCATCCATTATACGTTCCTTTACGCTTTCCTTACAGGCAAGAAGTAGTATGGGGATGATTTGCCATAAATTAACTGCTGCTGCTGTCGAGTTGAGCACAAAACACTTGTGTCTCTTTGTTATCAGAGGACGAGACAAAAACGTACCTGGCTCCCAAACTGGTTTTTGTCTGGCTAGTATCCTTCCCGCCTCCTGCCAGTTTGATTTAAGGAGCTTCTGCGAGAAAGGCACATCAACTGTGATCAACCCAGCCTAAAATTTCAAATTCTTTAAACATGCTGTGTATAATAACTTTTATATATGAAATAAATTTGTCGGGAAAAGATATCATGCACGGCAATAGTGCAATTGGTGTTGGTTTTCAACAGTTTGAATATTTTGCATTTAGTTGAACTCAACATTATACCTAAAGACAATTACAGTGATACGGAATCACAAAGTGTTGACCTTCCTTAAAGCAAAAATGTTCATTCTACCCCTTTTGCTTCTTATACTATTATTTCAGAACAACACTTTGGAACAACGTATTTGGCATAATTGTACTCGCCTGATGACTTAGGTATGTTCTTAACGTTATTTTCTCTTTTCCATTCTGAGCAAACTCTTTCCAGTACTTAGCTATTGGTTCATCATACTCAAGGAGTCCCCTGAAAACAATGTAAAAAAGTAGTCTGTAGTCTTACAATTTTGCAAAAAAGATTCTTAGAGAGGATTTATCTCAAAATGATAAATATGGCCATACCATTCTGTTAAGATAATAAATATGTTTGTCAATACATATGTGAAATTTGATTTATAATGTTATAGTATTACAAAAGATTAAAATGAGTTTCATTGCTGGCTAGACTAAGCTTAAACTACTGGAGGTTCATTTTAACCATTTACTTTTGTGCTGTACCTGCATAAATTACCTGTCAACTAGTAGAGCAATAGTAATTGAAGCAATGGCCTTAGTGGTAGACATAACCTGTGTTATTGTGTTCTTATTCCAGGGGATTTCAGCTTCAACATCCGCATATCCGCCTCTCAGGTTAACCACTTGCTGTCCCTTATAATACACAGCAAATGCTCCACCCTTCTCCAATCCACTTTCAACATTTTTCCTAAAGTAAAACAATCATTATAGACAAATACAGATGCCTCACATCGACATTTGCTCCTGTTTTCAAAAGTTTGACTTCATTATCCGATAGTAATAATCTAAAAAGGATCGTAGTAACTCCATTTACAAGGTCAAGAAACTTTCCTTACCTAAAAATATCAGCCAATGGTTTCCAATCTGCTTCTGTGTCTCCCTCCCAGACTGGGGGTAGTTTTGGTTGTAACCAGGAGGACGCAAAAATAGCAAATACTGCCAATGCTAGTACTACCACGGATCCAAATAACAGCCCCATGCTCATAAAGGCCTATGCCATTACTTAGTACTGAGCTATACTTTTATCCTCAAAACAGAGAACCCACTGTTAAAATATTAAGATCCTGTGTGCATTTATAAAGGTCATGCGATTATTTGATTACATATAAATAAGCTTAACCCACCATTCTATTTATCTGTAAATGCATCCTTCTTCAAAGGACTTCATCTATGCTTATATAAAAAAATACTTGTAAAATACCGTTGCAGCAAGGATGCAGAAAATGACAATAAGTGAGTTTAGTCTTAAGCTTATAGTCATTGAGTTTTAGTAACAAATGATACAATGTATAGTTTTACTTACATGTGCACACCTTTTGATTGGTGTTTTGTTGAGAACTAAGAGAAACGGGGTAACTGACGTTAAAATATCAGTCAAATCACAACTGTAAATAGACGTGACTCAACAATAAAGACTTTTCGTTTAAAACAAACTCCATATATGGAGGCAATGTTTATTGACTGTGGTCCAACATTCATATGAGAAATAATCCTATGATAAAGTGATTATTATTTAATCATTAACAAATTGTATATACAACTGGGTGAATCTCTTAAAAGAACCTATATATTGACATTGATGGCCCAATAGGATGATCATAGGCAGGAATAGGAATAATTTTTAAATAAAGATGGCATGGTAATCGATCTGTGTTTATTTATATATATATAATGGTTATTTGCTTGCAAATTGACTTTAATGTAATGTAATGTTTGAGATAGATGTCGCATCATACATATTGCTAGTTTTTGAAATAGCCGTCAGAGGCGGGGCATAGTGAACAAAATTTAGGATGATAGGATGTACACAAAAACAGCTTTGCGCAGTTTGTTTGACAGAAAAATACTTAGAACATAGAAGTGATAATAATGAATCTTTGTTTGTGCTCACTAATGGGTGTTCATTAAACAGATCTTGTTTCATAGATCACGTGAAAATATCCATGGCTATGTTAGGGTATGACTCGAGTAAGTACTCGGGCCATTCGTTTAGAATTGGCGGAGCAACTTCAGGTGGCAACGTTGGTCTGAAAGACTGGGAGATAAAAGCCATGGGGAGGTGGTCTAGCCAATGTTATCAACGTTATGTGCGTACGTCAGTCGACTACTTGAGCAAGTTATCAGCTAAATTAACTGAATGTTGATATTAAAGGGTATAATATTATTGATATGTGATAACTCTGAAATGATATGTTATGGATGTAAGTAATTGTTGGGCGATCTTTGGGCGGTTTTTATAAAAGTGTTTATGTTCTTGTTATTTTACGTTTACTTAGTATAATAAAGCATCCGCTCATTTTAAGCCCAACACATTTCTTACTGTTTCAATATTTGTTATTATTTTGATATGCAATAACATTAATGGTTATTTGCTTGCAAATTGACTTTAATGTAATGTAATGTTTGAGATAGATGTCGCATCATACATATTGCTAGTTTTTGAAATAGCCGTCAGAGGCGGGGCATAGTGAACAAAATTTTTCCACGCCCACCCACCCTGTACATGTACTTCATTAATTCATTCTATATATATTGTACAAACGTTTAAAGGGCGGTTTTTATAAAAGTGTTTATGTTCTTGTTATTTTACGTTTACTTAGTATAATAAAGCATCCGCTCATTTTAAGCCCAACACATTTCTTACTGTTTCAATATTTGTTATTATTTTGATATGCAATAACATTAATATCTTTTAATGACTCTTTGGATGGCATATCATGACATATTAGTCACTAAGGTAGAGCAGTTCTTCCCATTGTCGAGTTGAAGAACTGGTATCTTTATTCTGGCTAGAACCATAGACAATTCTAGCCAGTGCCAGCCTTTTATCGAGTTAGCAGCACTCTAGTAATCGCTGGTATAGGTCAGCAGTCATAGGTCAAAGAAAAAAAATCTCTAGAGATAATACTGGATTCTGTTGGTGCTGCCATCTTTATATCGGCCCAGAACCCATAAAGATAATATACCCTCTTGTATGTATCCAACAAACCGAATATAGGTCTGAATTTATTCAGACGAAGGATACAGTCTACGCTCCCCTCCATGAGGAGGTTGTCATTAGAAAGCATATGGAATTCGAAACCTGTCAATAGTTTAATCTTTAATTTTGTTTCTTAATTACAATAGTAAGAAATTTATGACAGCAATTTTTAAGTCGCCAAACAAATAGGGGGAGGTGTAAATCCATACACAATATTTTTCAGCTCTCTTATACCATATACAATATTTTTTCACCCCTTCTATACCATGTACAATATTTTTCATAGCTCTCATACCATATATGATATTTTACAAAAGTTCAGGTAAAATACAAGATACGATAATTTTGAAACTGCTGTTATTAACGTTTGGATATTTATAAGGAAATAATATTAGGAGAACCAATGCACTACAGTAAATGTATTAATATAGGACAAATAGACTGCACATACAGACCACAAATGATTTCATTTATTGCATTATGAATAAGACACCGTTTGGGTACATCCGATTGTGTTCAGAACTTCTGTGTTCACATTTAATTATCAGGTATTTATGGAATAAGATTCATGCTACTCTTTAGTGATTCCACAACCTACTTTGACCAAAACACTAATGCCGTAAAGAATATATTTAAAATTAGCACAAATGTACATCAATGGAATGGGTGGAACTCAGTGTTAGTGTACCTGTTACGCATGACTTACCTTTCCATGAATTACATAAATATCAATGGAATCCTTCGCAGGGAAAAAATCCTTAAAACATAATTGATGCAAAATTTAGAATGCGGAATAAAAGATTCATCATGTGTCCTTTGAAAATAAAAGGAAGTAATGCGCTCACCATTATGATCGCCCCATGAAAAAATTAATTCATCTGATTTTTCAAAATGAGTATACTGCTTTTATTATTACATTTATATGCACACTAGTATTGTGGACCTATATTCACACGGTGTTATGGCATGACGGTTACGTCGAGGCGATTTGCAAAATTTTGCGGTAACGATAACAAAAAATGGCGGATGGGAAAGACAGCTTGTCCTCTTTCTCGCCTGTAGGCAAGATTCACAGATAAGATTTCCTTTTCAGCTAGTTCCATTCGGTGACGTATATATGGCTGGTTATAAAGACTGGGTTAAATCATTCTGATACTCATAGCATCTTTCTGTTTCACCTGAAACATCTCAGGGCTGAGAAGAAATGAGATGACATGGTTTATCATGATGGGGTTAAATCTGCCAGGTGGTTTACTAGAAGTGGAATATAAGCTGTAAACTTACCGACTGAGATGTTCAAGTTCATATTTTTTAGTCCATTCTCGTGATTTCTCAGTATATATGTGCCTCAGAGCAACTCAAACTATTAACAGTAAGTATACTGTGTATAAACAAGCCATAAAATGACAAATCCAGAACAGAAATGAACTTAGAGGATGCTCAAAATGTTCTGGTGATCGTCAAAACGTTGCCAAATCAGTTTTAAACTGTGTGCGAACTGAATGAACGCAGCTACAACGTTCTACGGTCTGTTTACGAACTTCATGGACTTTCCCGGACGGGGAATGGGATTTAGAATTTTGAATCGATTCAAAATTCGATGGCGACCATGCCGTTCTGTAATCAGGTCATGATGACCTTCTAGACTAAGGGACGGTTTATACTACGCTGCTCACCGACGTGGTGCGACCTGAACGAACTGCGAATGAGATGGACGTATTGAAGACTGTTCATGAACGAAGTAGCTAATTATTTTAGACATATATGCCGACTGCAGCCAGATTGAGCCCGTTTTACGACATTTTCGTAAGGACTGGCAAGAACGTGTAAGAACTAGTTTGGTGTGATAGTGGGATGACAGTCTTACAAGTTCGTTGGTCCCCATAGGTCCCTGGTTCAAAATGCAATTAAACTCAGGAATTTTGTTATATTTACAAATATTTATTTCAAACTCTTAACCTCTTGACGAAATTTCTCGCCATCTCAGGTCATCCATGACAAAATCTTTCACTAGAATTGCTCTTATTTGAACAATTTTCATCCAATTTACACAAAAAAATGTTTTAAAGGTGATCTCTGTCGTCCAATTTTACTAAATTGAGCATCACCTGTTGTATGTAGTAAAATGTCAAAAGCTGGTAAAAATGAAAATATTTGTGGTTTCAAGGGATTTTAGAACCAAAGATTCAAGAGGTTAAAGACAATATTGATCCGAAAAAGAAATGAGTAGTTATCAGTCAGTCAGTAAGAATTTGTTGATGACCTCAGTATTGAATCAAGTGGTAGGGTACCTCACCAACTTGCTGTTTGCACACACTTAATGAAAATGAGACAAATCATGGAAAATTAGGATGACCTCAACAAGAATTGAAAAAGATTATCATATGAATAATTTATTACTGGTGTCACAGATGTCCAATTTTATCCCGATTCATGGAAAGGGACTCTTAGTTCGAAACAAATATGATTTTGTTTTTTTTGTTCCCTCACACAAGATATTCAAACATGAAGATGGTTTTTGTTTAAGGTAAAGAGATTTATTAGCTGTTGTTTTTTACTATATCATTCGGATATGCAAGTGAGAGCCAATAAAATTATGCTTCGTTTTTTAGGAAATAAATCTATGATGTCAAAACCCGAACTGAAATTGTTCCATTCTGAAGCCAAATGTTCGGAATCGAATCATGGGTTTTCAATGATCGAATCGTTCTAAAGGGTTTCGTTCCATGAATAATTTATGCCAATGTAACACATCCTCCAAGACATCTTCCAGACTTTCTTGGTATACATATTGAATGGTATTTCTCGAAAACTGAATTGGTGTTTATCTGGCCCGGGTAAGATTTTTTTCTAATTTTCCCAACGTCAAGGTAAAGAGGGGGAAGCCTCAGAGCTTTAGCGATGACAGGCATATTACGTCTATTACGTACCACCTTCGTTTGCGCAAATGTTCACCAGTTAGTTTTCGAATGTAACACGTCGTCGTGATGGTTTAATCGATTTAAGCATATTATTTACATCTTTCTTTAACTTGCTATGAAATAACAAGCAAACATTTTTGTCAATTTTGACCAACCAGAGACGTGTGTCATCTCAATACATTATAAGCGTACGTCATCTTTGAACTCTGGGGTTAATCCCCCTGGTCAAGTCATCTTGTCATCTTGCCATCTTGTTTTGTCTTTTGCATGTCATGCTTAAATTATTCTGAACTTGTTAAAATGGTGGGGAATTCAAATATTTGAAAAAAATTAAATGAACATTACATCTGAATTGTGCATTTGCATACAATGCAGGTTATAAATGTATGAAATAATGTGGTATTTTAAGATGAACGTTTTATGTTCAATCTGTTCAAAAATGACTGATGTTCATGTGTACGCTGTTTACATTGTGCCCTCCACATGTTTGAGCGTTGTTTCCACTACATTTGAAATTGCATTCACTCTGAGGACTTGCTCCATATCTCCCAAAGGTGTTACCACAATAACATTCTTTCCAATATTGAAGTCCAGCGTACATATAACCTATAATAAGAAGCCCACCACACATGTAACCTATTAAATAAAAGCTAACATTATTATAGAACCAAGAATGTAGTCAGAATCAAAATGTAGATAAGGCAAATATACATTTTTAATAATTTGTTCCTCTACAAAATGTTAACACAATAACAGCCCTGGCTGTTATGTCATATTCCGCAACGAATATGGCATATTCATTTGCGGTGTATGACAGATTTACCTGCGGTATATGGCATACACACTTACCAATGAAAGCGTGATATGGAAGTACGCAATTGTCAATTGCATCGATTGAACGAACAAGTAAAACTTTATAAATTATTATAATGATTACTGAATCAACAGTACAGTTTATCGAATACATCAACGTATGCAGAAGTATTACTCACCAATCTCACCTTATAAACTTATTCAATCAATCCAGGATTCATTAAATTCAGCGTGGTTTTACACTTAGAGTCGATTCTCGCAACCAATCAAACTAAGGCTTTCTGTATTACGTTTTCACCTGCGGAATATGTCATATTCACCTGCGGTATATGGCATATTCCGCAATTGAGTATGGCATATTCGGCAGGTGAGTATCGGGTATTCACTGAAATCAATGTATCGCATATTCACTGCGGAATATCGCATACCCACCTGCGGAATATCCCATATACCGCAGGTGAGTATGGCATATTCACCCGTATCACAAATACCGCGCAACCATGAATGTATGCCATATTCCGCGTAACACAGCAGACTCAGGACTGACTTCATTTTTTCCAAATCATCTACAAGTTCAAATCTGACTTTACATTTATATTTAAGATTTGACCTTCAATGACCTTTTCATGATCATAAAGGTTAAAAAAGGTCAAAAAGGTATTTTTCAACTTGCATCAAATTGACCATTTTTTCAGATTTAAGATTTGACCTTCAATTACCTTCTCGAGGTCAAAGAAAGGTCAAAAACGTATTTTTAACTTGTATTGACCAATTTAAAAAAAATCATCTACAAGTTCTCAGAAATTCAAATCTGCCTTTAGATTTGAGATTTTACCTTCAATGACTTTCTTAAGGTCATAAAAGGTCTTTTTTAGTTGCTTCAAATTGACCAATTTTTTTTCAAAATCATCTACAGAGTTCTCAAATCTCATAATAGAGATTTCACATTTTGGCATGCCATCTCCCGATACCTTGGTGACCTAAGTCATGTGATCATTTATATCCAATCAGAATGCATTTCTGCCACATAGTGATAGCATAGTGATCCAAAGCTAAACCAAGGTGTAGGAAGGGTTTATATTATCATATAGAAGGGGTGCACTTTTCTAATTGGCCATGGTTGACATGCATGTTTGCAAACTTAGTACTGGCATCAAGAGCTCTGACTGGCATCCTAATGCCTTGGTCACATAGCCTCCGATTTTCACTACGGCGCCCGGCCGATGAGTATTTTGTTCAAAATCGGCCGGCGAGCCCGGGCATCGTACGGGCGCCGGGCGATGATCGCCACTCATCGGCCGATTTCTAGACATCGTACGGGCGCCGGCAGAGTTTTATCGCGGAGATAAAAGTTGCCGATGTTTTGGCGATTTTTTCTCAACCAAACTCATCGGTACCTACCCGGCCGTGTCCCGTCCGGTCATCGTACGATTATCTTACGGCGCCCGGTGGCATCGCACGGTCATCTTGAGATTTTGCATGCTGATTTGTTGATAAATCTTAATAATGATTACTTATAAAGTGATATAAAGGTTTTAGAAATAATGAGGTAAGGAATTATAATTACTACACACTGTCAGAGATTTTTTATAAAACATAAATGGAACGATTAGACTTGTAGATTAGACTGTAAAACAATGACACACATTTGAATTGCTGGGTGGGTGGGTAGGTTGATCTAGTCGTTCTTATATTGACATTAATCGTGTATGTCTGTCATACACATTGAATAGAGTGATACATTTTTATGCGTATATTCACTCATGCATATATATACCATTACAAACCATTTATTTAAAAAATCTTCTGAATGTTTTTGTGAGTACAGTATTTTCAAAGGTCACAATTTTAATACTGTCTCAATTACAGTTAATATGTCAAAGGCTAAGGATAGAGGGGATAAGGCCAATGGACCATATATGAGGAAGGCCTTGGGAAGACAGGTGGAAAAAGACAATAACAATGCTAGTGAACTGGTGGATGATGAAGATTTAGATGTGTGTGGGGAAGAGGGTTTTCCATTTGAAATAAAAGAAAAAATTGCCAATTTTTTTGATGATAGGCCATATTTTTATGACCAAACAAATTTACGAGAACAGACAAAAGAAAGATGCAGAAATAGGGAATTTTGCTAATAGCATCGGATGGACAGGTAGACATAATATTTGTTTATATGAAAGATCTAAAAATGAATTAAGGTCAGGGTGCACTTTGATGAAAAGACCACGTGCAGTATGGCAAGTGATTTTAGACGGTCATATCATTCACCATGAGTACTTTCTGGGCATAAATACAGTGTTTCTATTAAAACAATATGTTTTCTTTTAATTGAAGTATCCATGATAGTAAAAATATCAATCAAACAATTTGAAAAATTATGAATAGGGATCCCATGTCAGCATTTTTTTCTAAATATTGAACCTATTTAGAGGATCTTCTTTTTCTGATTTTTATTGCATGAAAACATTATAATCCTGGAAGTCCTGTCTATCGAAGTATTTCGTTTTCAAATCTTGCATTCATGCCATGTGGAACAGTCAAACTGGGTCATACAAGAATTTAGTATAAATCTAGAGGCCTGTAGATCGACCGATGTCCTGGCGGATGCCGTACGGCCATCGGCAGATAGCCTTGCGATACCCGTGCGATGTCTTTCAGATTCAATTGATTGCGGGCGCCGTACGTTGCCTGTACTAATGTGACCATACTCACGATTAGATCAAGACATCGGTGAAAAGTCACCGGCGCCCGGTCGATTTATAAATCGGCCGATGACTACTCATCGGCCGGCGCCCGGCGGCTATGTGACCTAGGCATAACAAATAAATTCATACTACACTGATGCCTGGGTCACATTTGCTCCGTTTGTTCAATATTGTATTCAATTAATATTTTGAACAAAATTCTCAATCGGCATGGCGCCGTAGTGAAAATCGGAGAAATCTGCATTACTTGTACACAGTGTATACCGATAGCCCATTTTCAGCATAGCAATTTCTAAGAAGGGTTTCCAAAATGCTCCATCATGGAATACCTTGACCCCCTCTTCTTACATGATAGACACAGACATGTTCTTAGATGCGATGTGTACCAGAATGAAAGCTCTGGCTTCTTCCTAACTTGGCGGGAAGTACTTTCTTGATCATTAAAAATGAATGCCATTGTCACAGGAACTCTGCATTTTATGTAAATCCATTGAATATTTATCTGCATGCTCGAAGTTAAGTAAGTTAAGAAGATCAGATTCTTTATAACACTTGATCCAAATCTATTTGATATTCAAAATCTAAGTAAACCTCTCTTTTTGAAGAACCAACTATTTATCATATTACTCAGATTGGATTAATCAATATTCTCATACTCTCTCTAGTTTGTATGAATGAATGACCCTAAACATCATGTGAAAGACTTCCCAGAAAATGTGCCCAATATATCACTCTAAATCATACATGTCATAGGAGCTTTGAAATTTTGAAAAGTTGTCTGAAACAAAAATTGTGAACATAAAAAGAGAATGGATTGCTTTCTAAAGCAGTTTTCTCATTTTTCTATTTTTAGGAATGAATTCAAATTTTCAAAAGCTTCTATAATTTCGAATAATATAATTGGCATACTTTCTGAAAAATGCAATAGATTCTGTCTGGTGACCTTTCTAAAAGTCCAACTTTTAACTGTTTTTGAGTCACATTTTCTGAGTCACACTCCTCTGTGTATACTTTCTCCAGTATGTATGAATCGAAACTAGGTTAATTTCCCATGTGCCTAAACCAATATTTTATTGTTTTATTTACTTTCTGTGTATGTGTGTATGGACTACTATTTATATTTTTCCAATGTATATATGAAACAATAAATTTTAACTGTGTGTATTGACAAATATCATGTACTTTCTCCAGTGTATATGAGCAATTCATACACATTATAGATATTGTAGTACATTAAATTCGTTCATACTCACTGGTTTAGGTACATTTTATTCGTTCTGACACATTGATTAATTAACAAAATATTGAAAACACGGAAGAGAATGAACAACGTTTTGGTTCATGCACAATGGAGAAAGTACAAATCATTTGCTTAGGCATGTTGGAGAATGGACACAGAATATTTGTTCATACATGCAGGAGAAAGCACAAAAAATGTGTTCATTGAAAGTGGAGAACCCAGATTATATACTTTCTCCAGTTTGTATGAACAAATTCATCAATGTGTTTCATGCAACACATTTTAATTTGTAATTTAAGGTGCTATGGAAGTTAACAGAAATGACAAAACAAAAAATGTCAAAACCATGCTGGATTCTGAAATTTTTTTGAACCAAGATAACAGAGTTCTGTTTGGACCTCCAGTCAGTTTAACTAGTTAAACATATTTACATGACCGGGAACACAAGGAAAATGGTCAGAATGACCATAAACATGATGAAATAACCTTTCCAGCCCTCTGAAAATGTGACTGAAAAATAGCTAAAAGTAGGTGCTCAGGAAAGGTCAATGAACAGAATCTCTTGATTTTTTCAGAAAATGTGTCTAATATATTGCTCTAAATGATACAATCTTTGAAATTTTTAAAAATTGTCTGAAACAATAATTGCTGTAGTTTAAAGGAAAATAGATCGATTTTATATTCAGTTTTTTTTCAGTTTTTTCTTTTTCTGAGAATGATATGAATTTTTTAAGATTGTATCATTTAGAGTAATATATTGGGCAATTTTTCTAAAAAAGTTAAAATATTCTGTTCAGTGACCTTTCCTGAGCACCTACTCTTAGCTATTTTTCAGTCACATTTTCAGAGGGCTGAAAAGGTCATTCCATCATGTTTATCGTCATACTGACCATTTCCTTTGTGTTCCAGGTCATGTAAATGATATGTGGAGCTAGTTAAACTGACTGGAGGTCCAAACAGAACTCTGTTATCTTGATTCAAAAAATTTTCAAAATCCAGCATGGTTTTGACATTTTTTGTTTTGTCATTTCCTGTTAACTTCCATAGCACCTTAATTTGTATTTCCAAGTAAGATTTTTTAGAGTTGTGCCTGTTTGTGAAATTTAGTCAATAAACTAACCATAAATGTCTGCAATAATAGAAAAATCAATAGTGATTTTTTGGGCATTTTGGTAAAGCCTTTGGTTTGTAATAGGAAGATTGTCTTTATCACTAGAACTGTTCTGTATGGGGTCTTTTGCACAATTGATAAATTATATACTATACTAATACATTACTATATGGATTTGCAATGTCTAGGTTTTACTCAAGTAACTGACTCCGGTGAGTGTGTGTGTATTCAAATGTTGTGCTTATAAAATGTATCGACTCCTATACTACCTTTTGAATGAAAATAAACTCTTCCAAAAGTGATAGGACCTTAGTGCACCCATGCCATGGTAAGGACCTTAGGTTGGCATGCCAAAATGTAAAATCTCTAATATTGTGAGCAACTAGATGGTGACATGTTGCCATGTTCATGCCTTGTTTACGTTTCTCAAACCCTGACACTACACTTCAATATTTTTGCCTGAATTTTTGCGTACATACATATATAGATATTAGTATTCTATTAGTGTGAGCCTTTTGCCGTCTGGACAATTTTTGCCCAGATCTTGAGATATTGAAGGTCAAAAAGGTAAAAAATGTCTCTTTTGAACTTGCTTGAAATTGACCAACTTTTAAAAAAATCATCTACAAGTTCTCAGGTGTTCAAATCTGACTATAGTTTTTAAATAGATTAAGATGTGACCTGCTTCGAAACTCACAACTCCACTCACATAATTTTAAACACCCATCCTACTCCTATATGTGCCTGTGCCAGAAACACTAAGACACTTTCTTTTTAGATGTGATCTCACTAAAACATTCATCAACCAGTTAATAGAAATATTGTCCAAAGATTACCCTTTACTTCATTTTAAAGATATGAATCAAACTTGTAAGATAAATACTCTCCTATATGGCTCTAAATATTACCCCCTCCCCCGAAACTTTTTCTTGTTACACCTTCAGACCTTAGCTGTAAATATCTGGAGATGGCTGTCAGAGACCGATAGGAGGAACATTCCTGGGAATGTCGCACATGGGAAGTTAATTAATAAATGCTTAACTTGCCTATTAATACCATGTAAAAATTTGGCTATTAATGTCTGTATGGACACTGCCAAGGAAATGATTGCTTAAATAAAAAAAAAATAAAATAAAAAATACTGAGGTCTGAAAAAGTAACGTTTGCAAGGTCAACGGTGAAGGTCATCAAACTAAATAACAAAGTGTGTTATCTAAGTTTCTCAAAGTTTGAGATTACAATTCAATATTTTTGGATGAAAGTCAAAATATATATTCTTCTAAATGTTCAACACATATTAGCAATTGATTATGTTCTAAAACGTTGCAGTAGTTTTGAGATATTGGAGCTCAAACATCTTTCAAGGTCAAATTGACCAAAATTGCCTGAAGTATTAAGATTGCTGCAATCTTAAATGTTTAGTTTCTCCAGTGTTTTTTTTGTTTTAATTATTCAAATAAATTATATGCAAAATCTATGAAGATAAAGAAATTAATAAAATTCAAACTAAATTGAATCAATAAAAAATAGTTACCCTTTTCATTGCAATATTGAAGGCAGAGTTCAACAGACATATTTCTGTATTGTACAAGGACATCTCCCGTCAGATCACGCTGAGTTTTATTATCGTGAAAGCAGCCCAAGAAGTATGCTAAAATGGATAGTCAATGTAACATATATTATATATTTAGAGAGCACTGGCCTCAGTATCAGTTGCTAGAAAAAATTTACCATCTGTGAACGAATTTGAAAAAAACACATGGTTGAGAGCTCTTTTTCGATAAATCTTGTCATTTTGATTCCAGGAACTGCTCTTTCGATTCACGTTTCCTTGTGGTCATTTTGGAAGCTTTTCGATAAATCATGTCATTGTGATTCCAGGAAAATTGCTCTTTCAATTCATGTTTCCTTGTGGAAAAGTTGTGAAGTTTTCAGGAAAACCAATCACTTGATTCTTCTTTGAACACATGATAAATTAAATCAATTAATTCTAGAGCTGGTTCGTTCACATGATAGAGGATACCAAATTCTAGAGCTGATTAATTTTTGGATGGCCATCTTTTTTCTTGTGGCCATTTTGATAAATCTTGTCATTGCATTATCTAATGCCCAGTGTATCCGTTTGGTTGTGTGAGTTCATTCATGTCATGTACCTTGTTAGAAAATAAAATCAGGATTGTGAGGAACATTATGCTTTAGAATCTTTTTTTTGAAAATACTGCTTTCAACATTTAACACTCTCTCTAACCCCTTCTAATTCTAATTCTAGATCCAATACTTACAATTTTCAAGCTGCGTACTCCATACATTGTAAGTCTCATTTAGTTCATATGGGACTCCATTTATCAGCTCGCATTGACCTTTTTCACCATTGAATCTCTTAAAATTGAAGGCAGGACATCTCACTGGACCTCGTTTGAGGCACATCGACGCACATTTGACCACAGAATCGGCATTCGGTTCTTTTGTCGTATTCAGTCCTCTCATTTTGTTTAGCTTTTTGAAAAGCTGATTACAATTGACATAAAAACTTATTCCAATTACAAGTGCGCTCACAAAAACACAATTTTTCATTTTAACTTTTGATTCGAATCAGTAAATTCAATCAACAGTCTTAAGGCTGCTTTTACTGACACAGTCAACAATTCTCAAAATGAACCACATATACGCTTTGCAGGTGAGGGGCCATTCCAGCGTGTCTGGAGTAAAAAGAATGAAAAACAAAAATACAAAATTACATTGAAAATATCTGTAAAATTAAAGTGGCCAGGGTTATTTATTCCAATTTTATTTGTGTAGTTTTTTTCTATATACTTCTTTTATAGTAATTTTGTATGGTTAACGTCATATCATGAAACATTGAGATTTTGAAATGGTCCCCGCATTGTGGTGATAAGGGAGAGAATATACATACCAGGACTTGAAACTTATAGTGCCAAAGTAGTTATTTGCAACCATAGTATCAATTATCCAATCAATGAAGTTCTGGGGCATATACGGGCAACACCTATGTCTGTCCGTCCATCCCGGCGATAACCCAAATACTGTTCACCCAATCTTGTTCATATCATGTACACATATGCCCAATGGGGGTAGAAATTCTCCTTGAAAGCTGATATTCAAAATGGCTGTTCGTTTTAAATGGCGGCCATTTTAGTGCTGATTTTACAGTTATTATGAATAGAACTAGAATAGCAATTGTTTTTATGTAAAAAGGTTATATACCCGACATTAGTAAACTAGGAATGAAGATATTGAAGAAATACATGGCAGCCATCTTGAAACAACGGCAGCCTTTACACGCTATTTTACAATTTTTGAAAATGTCTACCATTTTTACATGTTTTATTTTTTGTTTTTTTTACTATAATTCAAAAGGTAGAAGAGCGATTTTGTTCATATTTGATATGTGCCTATTAGAATGACACGCTGTCGTATGGCAATTTGACTAGTAGGTGGCCATTTTGAAAATGGCGGCCATTTTTATGTATATTATTTTACGATAACTGAAAAAGTAGTTGAAGGATTTTGTAAAAATGGCAGCCATGGCTGTTCGATGAGATTTTCTACGCATTGTCGTTGCTGTTATGTAGTTTCTATTTTCCACTATTATGTCACTACCACCAAGAAGTGGTGACATATTGTTATGCATTGGTCTCCGTTTTACTGTGGTGGCGGCGGTTGGTTTGCGATCGGCGGGTGGCGGTTGGTAACAAATCCTCAAAACTTCTAATAACTCAATAAACACTGTTTAGATTGACTTCATTTTTTCCAAATCATCTACAAGTTTTCAGAAGTTCAAATCTGACTTAACATTTAAAATTTGACCTTCAATGACATTTTCAAGGTAAAAAAGGTTAAAAAGGTCAAAAAAGTATTTTCAACTTGCTTCAAATTGATTATTTTTTCAAAATCATCTACAAGTCATCAGAAGTTCAATTCTGACTTTATATTTCAGATTTGACCTTCAATGACCTTCTCAAGGTCAAAGAAATCTCAAAATGGTATTTTTCAATTTGCTTCAAATTGACCAATTTTTTCAAAATCATGTACAAGTTCTCAAAAGTTCAAATCTGACTATAGATTTGACCTTTAATGACCTTCTCAAGGTCAAAAATGTCGTTTTTCAACTTGCTTCAAATTGACCAATTTTTCATGATCATCAACAGAGTTCTCGGAAATTCAAATCTGACTTAAAATTGAACTAATAATATTGTGAGCAGCTAGGTGGTGGCATTTTGTCATGTTAATGCCATGATCGATTTTTTTCAAAATCATCTACAAGTTATCAGAAGTTCAAATCTAACTTTAGATTTAAGATTTGACCTTCAATGACCTTCTCAAAGTCAAACAAAGGTCAAAAGGTCTTTTTTCGACTTCCTTCAAATTGACTATTTTTTCAAAATCATCTACAAGTTCTCAGAACTTCAAATCTAAGATAATACTGAGGAATTTGATATTCTGATTGGTCAGTTTTCCTGCATTCTCAAGTCACTTTTCCGACTCTAAACTGAGTTTCTAGAAATGGCACTTGTTACATTTGTCTCTTGGTTTTGTTTCTGGACGGATTTCTTAATTTATGGCATCATTGTCCGTCTGAGAACAGTGGTAATGCGAACGGTACTTAGTATTTTGAACGCGATCAAAACCTGACACTATTATACCTAAAACGTCAGTGTAAATGATGAAACAAACCCAAACTTCTTGCAAGAAGACGATGTTATTTATAAAAACGATGTTCTAAAATCCTGTCTGGTTTTATGTCATTCTCGACTCCGGAATGTCTGAAGAGTACCCAAAGCTCAAATACGTTTTGTATTTTGCCCAAAATAGGTGAAACTTTGAGAACCCATGGGAGTAATTGCAAACGGTAGAGTTTAAAAGCAACCGAGTAAATGTTTGTTTTATATAGCCTATGTTCTTCTAATATGAATAAAAAAAATTGATGCCATCTCCTTATTTAATTTTGTCGAAATTATGTACAAGGGAGGTCTGGTGCAATTTCACAATTTCAGGGAAAATAGGCTGTAATCGGCCCTTGTACCCTGGAGCAGAAATAAACGATATCTAGGACAAAATATTTCATGTCATTAAAAAAAACCTTATTTATGGAAATACTTTAAAATTGCACTTACTATGGATGTTATATGATTTAATTGGAATTTGAAATCCAGAATCGTTTAAATTTTAAAAGATAACCGTTATTTAATACATTGGCGTTACGGCAATTACCGTATCGTCGTTCAAATCCAATATGATACGGCAATCGAGCCCATTGTCTCCACTGTAATTTATGTACTATTAATGACTATGTTTTGTTAATTTTACAGTTTTAGCAATCTCAATTGTTTTTAATTCATTCCTAAATTAATTTTCTATAAATTATTAAACTGTAATGTTTCACAGAAGATTACCTGGCAGGGTGTGGAATTTATGATCATTTATGATATAGAATAAAACCTGTCCGATGGAACACTTCTGTAAGAAATGTCTAAATGAATAGTTTTTAAAAGAACAAAGTTCCATAAAACATTCAATGACCTCTCGCTGTATTGAACAGCTGTTCGCAAGTGTTAAATTTGGACAGTGTGGAAGGTGTTACTTAAACACAGACACCAGTTTTTATGCCAGCATTAAATGGGATATCACTTTTTATGCCAGCATCAATTGGGACATAACTTTTTATGCTCAGCATAAAATGCTGGGCATAAAAAAGTGATATAAAATTTTTTTTAACCAACAAATCCGGGTTTTTGTTACAGTCCATTTTCATATAATCCGCTGTTACAGGTTCTACTGTACTTCAATTAGTAAATTCATACTGTAATTAATCAGCAAATATTTAAGAAGACTATCTTTTTATAATTTGTTTTGTGACCCAGTTTTTATGGGATATGACATAGAAACAACAAAGCTACCTCTAAAGTGTCCTGATGTGGCCACTGACCAAATAATGATGATTTCTTACATGGTAGATGGACAGGTAAAAATGGGTTAGATTATACAAGATAAAATTACAGGGTTCAATTATGCAAGTAAAATTGGTTAGATATTGCGAGGGTAAAAGTAGGTAAGATTATGCAGAGTATAGATTATGCAGAGTTGGATTATACAGGGTAGAAATACAGGCTACAGTTATGTGAGTAATATTGATTGGATTGTGAGGGGGAAAATGGGTTATGATTATGGTGTGTATTAATGGTGTCATTAAGAAGTTTATTACAGTACTTTGGCATTTGATTTATAAATTGTCAAAGACCTTAAGACAAAGAGGGACATTATCACAGAGAATTATGGTTTCATAAAGAACTGGACAATGTGTCGTATTTATAAAGAAGTGATAGCATATTTGAAGTGCAATAAAGAACCAACCTGTATCATTCTTAATTGAATTTAAAGGCAGACAAGCATCAAATTAACCCACATAAACATTGGCTCAGTTAAGCATGTGGCTTTCCCATTGGTACAAGGCGGTCATAGAATTCAAGATTAGTAAAAAAGACCGACTTGGGCAAGGCTAGCATAAATGTTGAGTCAGATCATAATCAGTTGAAGATGTGGCATATGCCAAGAGCATTGTTAAATAATTTTCTTGGAAACATGTGACCTAGTTAGATTCATATCCGATGTGCCAATTTTCAATCAAGATCCCCCTCACAATTTAAAAGCTGCTATTCAGTCTACCCCGGAGTACATTTGAAAATCAGCCTAGATACGTAGCATTTCTAGGAAAGCATGCGATTTGTTTGACAAGTGGCACTATCTACACCATTTAATAAAACAAATCATTCACTTCTTATATGATATATTTCTTTGCATAAAAGCATTCATATGTATTATATACATTTATATAAAATTCCTGGAACAGATAAATTCAAACCAAAAGTTACCATTGTTGCAGTGATTTAAAGTACTAATTGAATGATCAAGAGGGTTTATAAAATAATCTATCAGCAGAATAGTAGGTGATGCATCAACTCTCGTTTATTGAATATTTGTAGATCAAAGCTCATACTGTACAGCACAGTAACAGTGCACTTCCCTGCACAGCACTCCAATGCACTACATGGTTCCATACTACATAGCACTGTACTGCATGCACTGTGTGCAATACTGTATTGTACTACACTGAACTGTCCTGCACTCAGCATTACACTTTACTGCACTGAGTTACACAGTTGCAATACACTGTTCCTGTTTGCAATGCATTTACTGAACTCCCTCAGTGATGTCCGTAACTGTCCTTGATATCCTTCAACTGAGGTCCTAACCTCTGGGGTCCTATCACTCTGCATTATATATTCGTTTTCCACTGTTAAACACCTGTTGGTTCAACCAGCCTGATGGTTCATTTTCAATATCCACTCCACAGTTTCTAACAGTAAAGGCATGTTATAATGGCTGAAAAAACAATATCAAATTCATTTGTAACATTATTGATGTATTTCCTAAGTATTTTTCATTGTACATCAGTTAATAAAATTTCCTCTTATGAACTGAACAACTTAAGTATGGGTGCTGCTGCACATGGCTTAAGTCATTAACAAATCATGGCAGTAAAGCCACTTACATCAATGATTAATAGAAAACATCTTCATTCAACATATTTACTCAAACTTACCTTGCTATATTCCTAAATATTTTCAGTTTCTGTACAACATCTGGAAGGGATTGTGTGGTTGTGAAGTCACCTGCACATTTACAATACGTCGCCATATTAGTATCTTTCACCTGAAATTAACACAACTGAAAGTGACCACAGAATAGAGTGAACAATGTTGGAAGCAGAATTTGAAAAACATGCCAATGATTTCCTTACGCTCCTAGTTTTATTTTTCTGAAAGAGAACTGAGATGGCTGATCAAATATGGAAGTTATCATAGATTAGAATTAAAAATTGAAAAATACCATCCTGAAGTAATGTCACGTGGACTTTTTTGGAAAATAGGCTAAAAATATTGTATAATTGAGACAAAATTCCTGAAAGTTACTCCCAACATGTCTTTAGTGTTTGTTATACCTTTGTGAGAAAAGTATATAAAGTCACTGGTGTGGCTTAGACCCATTTTTGGCTTAAATAAATGGACTCAACTTATATCTAATTTTCAATATCATATCACAGCCAAAATACAAGAACAAGCAGAATTTGATGTTTTGCTAAACTTTTCAGACTTAGTATTTCCTCCCCAAAATGATATTTATGGACTCCTCCCCACACTCCAAGATCCAATAATCCACACTTCATGTTTTACAATATTGACAGAAACAATGCATACCCCATTGCATTTAATACACTTGAGATCCTGTAGCACATGAGCCATTGACTTCCTCTGTACAGCATCAATAAGATGTTGTTCGATTTCAGCAACGTCATACTCCGTTTTACATGTCTCATTTGTACAGTGCCATAAAGACCTGCAAAAAGTAAATGAAGAGAATATATTTCAATTCATGCCTATTCAACGAATTTCACTGATTCACATTTCAAGAATTAGGTTTTGTGGAATGTTAAATTCAAAGTCAGAAAAATATTGTTAAGAAAATACTTATGTATTTCTTTTCTTATTTGTCAAAACACCATATTTGGCATTTCAAGCGATTTAAGAGTATTTTTGACAATTATGCAACATATCCATAAGAACTATGTTTTCTTGCAAGGCAAGTCCCTGAGATACCACAAATATCAATAATCACTCTATTACCTTTCCTATGAGGAGAAAAACACATTGTTTTACCATGTTTAAAATTCAAATGTTGTAATTGTGGTTAGATAATACAGACAGTCAACGAAATGGTTGTCTAAAATTACCTGGGGCTGTGAATTCGTACGATCCCCAAACCAATCCGGATAAATTTTATCCTTTGGGATAAATCTTGGATTAGTAATCCGATAAATATTTGGTGAATTCGTACGATCCAAGGATTATGAGGGGGAATCCCCAAGATTTATCCAATTTGCATTGGAATTCAGATAAAATTTATCCAAAAAGTAATCCACCACTATAGGAGGATCGAGAATTATCCTGAGATTAATCCCAGGATTGTACGAATTTACCGATTTTTGGATTAATTCTTGGATTAATCCCACAATGCATCATTACCATGACGAAATTTATCCGGATCGGATCGTGGAGCGTACGAATTCACCGCCCCTGGTCTACAAATTATTTCCATATTCATAAAATTACCATTTAATCTGAAAATGCATCTTTAAATGTTTCTCATTATTTGTACTCACTGAGCATCGTCAGACAAATGTGGATCTCGACACAGATCAACGTCCCGCGTGCTATTACAATTCTTACATATAACTTCAGGGAGGATGTACGATAAACATGGATCTTGGAAATCAGCATCCCTCGAGAAATCTCCAACACCAATCAGCTTCAAGAGATCTCTTCGCATCTTATTCACCTGGTTTGTAATATTTGAGTCCAAGGACAGAACCTAATAAACACAAGGGATGGAAAATCAATAGCCTGTCAAAATTCTTAAATTCCCTCACTAAGATATATCATTTACAATTTGGCATTCAGTCAATTGAGGCGCTGAACAAGGCCACGATCAAATCTTTGAGGGATGAAAAACTGCAAGTTTGGTGGTTTATTTGCTATGTACAGACGGTAAGATGATTTGACCACTCTTTCAAAGGGTTAGAAATGCCTGTATGAGAAGTCTTCTTTAAGCCTCATAATGAACACTAGAAAACTATATCTAATAATAAAGAATGCTAGATATAAGATGAGTTCTAGGTTGAAATTGGTATTTAAGAAATATGATATTTCAATATGATTTTTCTTCAGATATGTCTTTTATCACATAATTCATAATTAAATTATTCTCTGAAAAAGATTTCCTATTCTCACAAATGATAACTTACCTTGCACACATATTTGATAAATTCAAGGGCTGGATTGTTTAGTGGCAAATACGATCCAGGGAGCTTCGGGAATTCCGCAGACAAATCTCCACGCCCACTTCCTGAGAGTTTCTTCTGGATTTTCTGGGTTATACTGAAAATGTTACATTTTTGTAAGATCAATTTCAAAATTGGGATGGTCAGATTAAAAAATATGAAGAATTTTGAATGACAAAGTTATACATCTGCTTTTTAAATTTCCTTAACATTCAAGTACCCTGAAAATGTTTGCACTGTGACATGAAAAACAAAAAGATCCTAGATTTATCCCATTTGGTCCATCTTAAATTCTTAAATGTGTCCTAGATGTACATGGTTATTGTTTTCACATTTATACCTTAATATTATACTTATTTAACTTAACCATCTTAAATTCTTAAATGTGTCCTAGATGTACATGGTTATTGATTTCACATTTATACCTTAATATTGTACTTATTTAACTTAACATTTGGTCCATCTTAAATTCTTAAATGTGTCTTAGATGTACATGTATTTTGTACTTACGCGAACATCTGCATACACATGTCTTTCTCAATAAGCTGTTGTGATTTCTCTAGCAAGCCTGGGGTTACAGTGGCATCTATGCTTGGCTAGATGGAATATAAATATTTTATTTATTTATTCTTTAAGTACATTCACACCCCTTGGGGTCAAGTACATGTACAAAAATTATAACAATTATAAAGGAAGGAAAAAAAGACATTTACATGTAAAAAACTACATAACTATTAATATTACTATTAATGATGATGATGCATTGGTGCATATAAACATGTACATTTCAACACTGTCAATTTTTGAAATATGAAATACCTGTTTACAACGCAGTTTGATTATTTTCTTTGAAATGTATTTTGTATGAAAATGAAGACTCAAATTACAAGTGATTATGATGACAAAATATAATTTATAATAGGACTATCATTAAAATGACAAAATATGTGCTATTAAGTTACTGTAAATGGTGCAAAAATTAACAGTTGTTACAGACACCAATTTATTACTTCTTGGTATTACTATTAAGAATCGGTCATTACTGAAAAGATGTCACTACCTGTGTCTGACTACCTCCCCGCCTCCTGACTGGCGTGCTGCCTGGAGTGTGGCTCTGAATCTCGTTCTCTAAGTGGTTAAAGATGGCGTGGATGTAGCCCGCAATTATCATCTAAAATTAAAAGTATAAAACAATTTTCACACCAATTATGTTAATATGAAAATTTATAAAACTAAGAAGAGTTCGAATTAATAAAAAAGACATGATGAACAATATAGTAATATGACATATTTTTAAGAAACATTTATAAACCAAAGATTGACAATATTATGACAATGTAGGTGTTATTATCATTATATGGGCTAAAATCAATCTTTTTGTACCACAGTTTGTTTGGTAACATGGTTTTGAGACTAAAATTCCAAAATAAATCTTTTAGATTTCATCAAGTGTACAGCATGTACAGGGTGGTCCAAAAAAATGGGACACTCATATTTCAAAAATAAATATTGATTTTCTTGATGAAAACATGTCATATTATATACCAATGGATAGACATTATAATAAATTTGAACTTTTAATATACCAAATAAAAGATGAGTAAATTCCCTATCCATTGGTATATAAAATGACATGTTTTCATCTAGAAAATCAATATTTATTTTTGAAATGAGTGTCCCATTTTTTCTCGGACCACCCTGTACTTATCACATCACACATTTCTACTTATCTGACTTACATTAAAGTGTGTCTGACAGGCAGCTGCCTCGGGTAAAAACTTCACCAGGTTCCAGTTCATCTCTATCTCAGGCTGAAAAGGTATAAAACACAATGACAATCTCATGATTTCAATTCATGCACAAATTAAAAAAATCATGATTTTCTTGCCTCTTGATGCTTCATAAAATGACCACTATAACAGTTGTCTATGTCTATAATCTGCAAAAGGCTAATAAGCCCATATAAAGCAGATATATAAAATTGAAAGGAACCTTCCTGGTTGGCCCCTGTAACCCCCTAGGAAGTCCCTTTATGTTGAAATACACTGGGGTGACTGTCAGGCTACCGCGTTGACAGCTCCCCTCTTTACCAGTAGTGCAGGCCTATTGCTTTGCACTGGGGACCTTTTACATTAAAACATAGATCTATATTAAAAACACACCTTCCTTCAAAGTTTTCTTCTGGTTCATTGAGATAAAGATAAGACTGAAAAGTGCATATTACACGTTCAATCCAGAATCTAAACGTGGCTTTTAAAGATGCATCAGATCTTTCAATGCACTTTCATGCATATTTGGAAAATAACTCAATAGGGAAGGTGTTAGACCAAACAATTGTCTCGAAAGCCAGAAAAGGTATGTTTTTGACCAATTTTCTGTTGTCAACCAATTTTCAAATGACAATATGGCTTTGGTGTGATGAAGGATGGCAAACACTGTTAATTATTTAGAAATTCAACCTATTTGGTGAATGGAGATATAGCTGTGATAATTAATAAATCTTAAAAAGTAAATCTGGCCCTCACATCATCTTCACTGTCAGACTGGTCCAAAGTTTCTTCTCTTTCAGGGGTGTTAGGTTGTTCTTCATCACTATCCTCACCTCCCTCTCTGCCGGTCAATCCATTTCGTGGTGTTGGAATCTTGGCTCTTACACCTCCAAAGTTAGCCTGGACACACAAAGAATTATAACATATAGCCATTTAGTGAATTTCTGTTTTGTGACTTTGGGCCTAAACATATTTTGACCTGGTATGATTTTAAGTTTGTTATTTGATTCTGAAATACATCAGATATTTTACTTCAGGTTAAACAAGAACCTACCGGGTCAAGCCAGAGAAGCAGCTGCCAGTTGCTGCTATAAGTAATATCTATCATATGATAAAGCTCTTTCGCCCGTATGGTGTTTGTGATATACTCAACATAAGCCAAAGCATCAATGAGTTGACGTTTCTTGGTGCAGATGATCATGCGGCTGAAGTTAGCATGGACAATCGTAGAGCCAAGTCTTTTGAACTCAGCAACCAACTAAAAATAAAGTAGAAATTTCAATACAATGGGAGGTATTTTAAATAGAAATTTGCATAATTCTCTCTTAACAAGATGTCCACTTATGGAAGAAGCAAACTTCTTGATTTTAGTCAGACCTGGCCTTAACGAAGAGATTACAAGGCCTTAACATGCAAAATGTCACCACCTGCCATTTGTTACAGACAGCAAACACCAACTGCCAAAGACCATCCACAAAGATAATAACAATATATCCCACTTCTGGTGGTGACATAAAATAGTACTTAAAACACACTTTTCCTGCCTGGTGGTAAGATTCATTGAGGAAATAAATATACTCTTCACATGCATAATTTTTTTAAATAGCTTAAATTCCAGCAACTCTATAAACTATACATATTTGGATTTCAGTGATCCTGCAAATAATATCAACTGTACAAGATATGTTTTTGAATTCATCATAGTTTTACCTGCATGAATAATTTCTTCATCATGTTGTGAAGAGTTCTCCTAAGGGCTGGGTCATACAACAGAGAGGCTGGGGACGTCAACCATCTAAATAACAACATCTCATAGTTGGTTCCTTTGGCATGATATTGTACATATTATAGAGGTTGCAAAACTAATTTTCCCATTCATTTCTTCATGCCTTCATGATTCTGGTATATTTGTTAGTAAGGCAGAGCAGGGGAAAAGATTCAATTTTTTCAAGATGTTTGAATCAATTATGTTTTATGACAGTATTTTGAATCAATTATGTAATTCTGGGTTTTTCTCTTTTTTGACAATAGATTTAGAATCTTAAGCTTTTTAGTGGGTATATTATCATGACTTAACAATATAATGTACATGTAAACTATTTACCTGTAAAAATGAATGACTTGATGGTCTGCAAATACATTCTGGTAATTTGTGATATCCCTGATCCAACCATGAACCATGCTCTTCATTATCCTGGAACATAAAATATTAAAAGATTCTTCATCCTAGCAAGTAAATCAATTCTCTTAATATTCTAATCCTTACAATAGTCATGAGATGGAGAAAGGTTAAAAAAATCTGAAATTGGAAACATACGAAGAATATAGTAACTAAATGTGTTTGCATAAATGGTGGTCTCATAAGGACTGGTCTTGCCTACTAATCACAGAACATGAACACAGGTAATTACCAGACCTCAACATACCATGAGAATTTTAGGGACCACATTGAGGTGATCATTTGGCCGAGTGCGCTAATACATATAGCCCTGTGCCTTAGCTATGATACTCTGTCAAAACTCTTCATGAGGTATTGTGAGTAGCCGTAGATAAGTGAGCCAAAATATATGAGCAACATTATTACATTATATTGACTGAATACCTGAAAGTGACAGCACAGAGTGCAGTTTCATCATAACTTGTCAACATTGTTGCTGCCCCTTGTCCTTGGAGCATGTCTTGTATGTACGTCTGCGGGTTGTCAAAGCTAACTGCACTTGCTCCCTCTATATCATTCACATGGCCTGACTGTAACGCAAAGGAACATCAATTTAACACATATATTACTACTTTACTATTGCTAGGCTAAATGATAAATGATTCTGAGATAAAGTGATTGAAAAATGTAAAATGTAAGATCTCTTTGGACTTTTTCATTGATTTATCATCATTTTGGCTGATAGTGTTTTGTAAAGGAGGGCTACATCGGAAACTAGAGTTAATTTTCATTTATAGAGGTAAGGGTGCTACAGTCCTTTGGCGTGCATTAATACCTCAGTCACATTTGTTCTATGGCAACCATATGGCGACCATAGCTTCCCAAAATCGTGAGAAATATGCAGCATAAATATAGGGATAAGCAGTACAATGTAGATATTCAAATGTGACTGAGGATTAATATTATGGTGTGTTTTCTTGCCTCAAGCAGAGTGTTCACTGCTATACTGGCCAGATCTAACTTAACACATATAGTAGAATAGCACCCTTCATTGTTGATTTCAAGTGATGTATTCTCTTACCTCAAGCAGAGTGTTCACTGCTATACTGGCCAGATCTAACTCAACAAATATAGTAGAATAGCACCCTTTATTGTTGATTTCAAGTGATGTATTCTCTTACCTCAAGCAGAGTGTTCACTGCTATACTGGCCAGATCTAACTCAACACATATAGTAGAATAGCATCCTTCATTGTTGATTTCAAGTGATGTATTCTCTTACCTCAAGCAGAGTGTTCACTGCTATACTGGCCAGATCTAACTCAACACATATAGTAGAATAGCATCCTTCATTGTTGATTTCAAGTGATGTATTCTCTTACCTCAAGCAGAGTGTTCACTGCTATACTGGCCAGATCTAACTCAACACATATAGTAGAATAGCATCCTTCATTGTTGATTTCAAGTGATGTATTCTCTTACCTCAAGCAGAGTGTTCACTGCTATACTGGCCAGATCTAACTCAACACATATAGTAGAATAGCATCCTTCATTGTTGATTTCAAGTGATGTATTCTCTTACCTCAAGCAGAGTGTTCACTGCTATACTGGCCAGATCTAACTCAACACATATAGTAGAATAGCACCCTTCATTGTTGATTTCAAGTGATGTATTCTCTTACCTCAAGCAGAGTGTTCACTGCTATACTGGCCAGATCTAACTCAACACATATAGTAGAATAGCACCCTTCATTGTTGATTTCAAGTGATGTGTTGTCTTACCTCAAGCAGAGTGTTCACTGCTATACTGGCCAGATCTTACTCAACACATATAGTAGAATAGCATCCTTCATTGTTGATTTCAAGTGATGTATTCTCTTACCTCAAGCAGAGTGTTCACTGCTATACTGGCCAGATCTAACTCAACACATATAGTAGAATAGCATCCTTCATTGTTGATTTCAAGTGATGTATTCTCTTACCTCAAGCAGAGTGTTCACTGCTATACTGGCCAGATCTAACTCAACACATATAGTAGAATAGCACCCTTCATTGTTGATTTCAAGTGATGTGTTCTCTTACCTCAAGCAGAGTGTTCACTGCTATACTGGCCAGATCTAACTCAACAAATATAGTAGAATAGCATCCTTCATTGTTGATTTCAAGTGATGTATTCTCTTACCTCAAGCAGAGTGTTCACTGCTATACTGGCCAGATCTAACTCAACACATATAGTAGAATAGCATCCTTCATTGTTGATTTCAAGTGATGTATTCTCTTACCTCAAGCAGAGTGTTCACTGCTATACTGGCCAGATCTAACTCAACACATATAGTAGAATAGCACCCTTTATTGTTGATTTCAAGTGATGTGTTTTCTTACCTCAAGCAGAGTGTTCACTGCTATACTGGCCAGATCTAACTCAACACATATAGTAGAATAGCATCCTTCATTGTTGATTTCAAGTGATGTGTTCTCTTACCTCAAGCAGAGTGTTCACTGCTATACTGGCCAGATCTAACTCAACACATATAGTAGAATAGCATCCTTCATTGTTGATTTCAAGTGATGTGTTCTCTTACCTCAAGCAGAGTGTTCACTGCTATACTGGCCAGATCTAACTTAACAAATATAGTAGAATAGCACCCTTCATTGTTGATTTCAAGTGATGTATTCTCTTACCTCAAGCAGAGTGTTCACTGCTATACTGGCCAGATCTAACTCAACAAATATAGTAGAATAGCATCCTTCATTGTTGATTTCAAGTGATGTATTCTCTTACCTCAAGCAGAGTGTTCACTGCTATACTGGCCAGATCTAACTCAACAAATATAGTAGAATAGCACCCTTCATTGTTGATTTCAAGTGATGTATTCTCTTACCTCAAGCAGAGTGTTCACTGCTATACTGGCCAGATCTAACTCAACACATATAGTAGAATAGCATCCTTCATTGTTGATTTCAAGTGATGTATTCTCTTACCTCAAGCAGAGTGTTCACTGCTATACTGGCCAGATCTAACTCAACACATATAGTAGAATAGCACCCTTCATTGTTGATTTCAAGTGATGTATTCTCTTACCTCAAGCAGAGTGTTCACTGCTATACTGGCCAGATCTAACTCAACAAATATAGTAGAATAGCATCCTTCATTGTTGATTTCAAGTGATGTATTCTCTTACCTCAAGCAGAGTGTTCACTGCTATACTGGCCAGATCTAACTCAACACATATAGTAGAATAGCACCCTTCATTGTTGATTTCAAGTGATGTATTCTCTTACCTCAAGCAGAGTGTTCACTTCTATACTGGCCAGATCTAACTCAACAAATATAGTAGAATAGCATCCTTCATTGCTGATTTCAAGTGATGTATTCTCTTACCTCAAGCAGAGTGTTCACTGCTATACTGGCCAGATCTAACTCAACACATATAGTAGAATAGCACCCTTCATTGTTGATTTCAAGTGATGTATTCTCTTACCTCAAGCAGAGTGTTCACTGCTATACTGGCCAGATCTAACTCAACACATATAGTAGAATAGCATCCTTCATTGTTGATTTCAAGTGATGTATTCTCTTACCTCAAGCAGAGTGTTCACTGCTATACTGGCCAGATCTAACTCAACACATATAGTAGAATAGCACCCTTCATTGTTGATTTCAAGTGATGTATTCTCTTACCTCAAGCAGAGTGTTCACTGCTATACTGGCCAGATCTAACTCAACACATATAGTAGAATAGCATCCTTCATTGTTGATTTCAAGTGATGTGTTCTCTTACCTCAAGCAGAGTGTTCACTGCTATACTGGCCAGATCTAACTCAACAAATATAGTAGAATAGCATCCTTCATTGTTGATTTCAAGTGATGTGTTCTCTTACCTCAAGCAGAGTGTTCACTGCTATACTGGCCAGATCTAACTCAACACATATAGTAGAATAGCACCCTTCATTGTTGATTTCAAGTGATGTATTCTCTTACCTCAAGCAGAGTGTTCACTGCTATACTGGCCAGATCTAACTCAACACATATAGTAGAATAGCACCCTTCATTGTTGATTTCAAGTGATGTATTCTCTTACCTCAAGCAGAGTGTTCACTTCTATACTGGCCAGATCTAACTCAACACATATAGTAGAATAGCATCCTTCATTGTTGATTTCAAGTGATGTATTCTCTTACCTCAAGCAGAGTGTTCACTTCTATACTGGCCAGATCTAACTCAACAAATATAGTAGAATAGCATCCTTCATTGTTGATTTCAAGTGATGTATTCTCTTACCTCAAGCAGAGTGTTCACTGCTATACTGGCCAGATCTAACTCAACAAATATAGTAGAATAGCATCCTTCATTGTTGATTTCAAGTGATGTATTCTCTTACCTCAAGCAGAGTGTTCACTTCTATACTGGCCAGATCTAACTCAACAAATATAGTAGAATAGCATCCTTCATTGTTGATTTCAAGTGATGTATTCTCTTACCTCAAGCAGAGTGTTCACTGCTATACTGGCCAGATCTAACTCAACACATATAGTAGAATAGCACCCTTCATTGTTGATTTCAAGTGATGTATTCTCTTACCTCAAGCAGAGTGTTCACTGCTATACTGGCCAGATCTAACTCAACACATATAGTAGAATAGCATCCTTCATTGTTGATTTCAAGTGATGTATTCTCTTACCTCAAGCAGAGTGTTCACTGCTATACTGGCCAGATCTAACTCAACACATATAGTAGAATAGCACCCTTCATTGTTGATTTCAAGTGATGTATTCTCTTACCTCAAGCAGAGTGTTCACTGCTATACTGGCCAGATCTAACTCAACACATATAGTAGAATAGCACCCTTCATTGTTGATTTCAAGTGATGTATTCTCTTACCTCAAGCAGAGTGTTCACTGCTATACTGGCCAGATCTAACTCAACAAATATAGTAGAATAGCATCCTTCATTCTTGAATTCAAGTGATGTGTTTTCTTACCTCAAGCAGAGTGTTCACTGCTATACTGGCCAGATCTAACTCAACAAATATAGTAGAATAGCATCCTTCATTGTTGATTTCAAGTGATGTATTCTCTTACCTCAAGCAGAGTGTTCACTGCTATACTGGCCAGATCTAACTCAACAAATATAGTAGAATAGCATCCTTCATTGTTGATTTCAAGTGATGTATTCTCTTACCTCAAGCAGAGTGTTCACTGCTATACTGGCCAGATCTAACTCAACAAATATAGTAGAATAGCATCCTTCATTGTTGATTTCAAGTGATGTATTCTCTTACCTCAAGCAGAGTGTTCACTGCTATACTGGCCAGATCTAACTCAACACATATAGTAGAATAGCACCCTTCATTGTTGATTTCAAGTGATGTATTCTCTTACCTCAAGCAGAGTGTTCACTTCTATACTGGCCAGATCTAACTCAACACATATAGTAGAATAGCACCCTTCATTGTTGATTTCAAGTGATGTGTTCTCTTACCTCAAGCAGAGTGTTCACTGCTATACTGGCCAGATCTAACTCAACAAATATAGTAGAATAGCATCCTTCATTGTTGATTTCAAGTGATGTATTCTCTTACCTCAAGCAGAGTGTTCACTGCTATACTGGCCAGATCTAACTCAACACATATAGTAGAATAGCACCCTTCATTGTTGATTTCAAGTGATGTATTCTCTTACCTCAAGCAGAGTGTTCACTGCTATACTGGCCAGATCTAACTCAACACATATAGTAGAATAGCACCCTTCATTGTTGATTTCAAGTGATGTATTCTCTTACCTCAAGCAGAGTGTTCACTGCTATACTGGCCAGATCTAACTCAACACATATAGTAGAATAGCACCCTTCATTGTTGATTTCAAGTGATGTGTTCTCTTACCTCAAGCAGAGTGTTCACTGCTATACTGGCCAGATCTAACTCAACACATATAGTAGAATAGCACCCTTCATTGTTGATTTCAAGTGATGTATTCTCTTACCTCAAGCAGAGTGTTCACTGCTATACTGGCCAGATCTAACTCAACACATATAGTAGAATAGCACCCTTCATTGTTGATTTCAAGTGATGTATTCTCTTACCTCAAGCAGAGTGTTCACTGCTATACTGGCCAGATCTAACTCAACACATATAGTAGAATAGCACCCTTCATTGTTGATTTCAAGTGATGTATTCTCTTACCTCAAGCAGAGTGTTCACTGCTATACTGGCCAGATCTAACTCAACACATATAGTAGAATAGCACCCGTCATTGTTGATTTCAAGTGATGTATTCTCTTACCTCAAGCAGAGTGTTCACTGCTATACTGGCCAGATCTAACTCAACACATATAGTAGAATAGCATCCTTCATTGTTGATTTCAAGTGATGTATTCTCTTACCTCAAGCAGAGTGTTCACTGCTATACTGGCCAGATCTAACTCAACAAATATAGTAGAATAGCACCCTTCATTGTTGATTTCAAGTGATGTATTCTCTTACCTCAAGCAGAGTGTTCACTGCTATACTGGCCAGATCTAACTCAACAAATATAGTAGAATAGCATCCTTCATTGTTGATTTCAAGTGATGTATTCTCTTACCTCAAGCAGAGTGTTCACTGCTATACTGGCCAGATCTAACTCAACACATATAGTAGAATAGCATCCTTCATTGTTGATTTCAAGTGATGTGTTCTCTTACCTCAAGCAGAGTGTTCACTGCTATACTGGCCAGATCTAACTCAACACATATAGTAGAATAGCATCCTTCATTGTTGATTTCAAGTGATGTGTTCTCTTACCTCAAGCAGAGTGTTCACTGCTATACTGGCCAGATCTAACTCAACACATATAGTAGAATAGCATCCTTCATTGTTGATTTCAAGTGATGTATTCTCTTACCTCAAGCAGAGTGTTCACTTCTATACTGGCCAGATCTAACTCAACACATATAGTAGAATAGCACCCTTCATTGTTGATTTCAAGTGATGTATTCTCTTACCTCAAGCAGAGTGTTCACTGCTATACTGGCCAGATCTAACTCAACACATATAGTAGAATAGCACCCTTCATTGTTGATTTCAAGTGATGTATTCTCTTACCTCAAGCAGAGTGTTCACTGCTATACTGGCCAGATCTAACTCAACACATATAGTAGAATAGCACCCTTCATTGTTGATTTTAAGTGATGTATTCTCTTACCTCAAGCAGAGTGTTCACTTCTATACTGGCCAGATCTAACTCAACAAATATAGTAGAATAGCATCCTTCATTGTTGATTTCAAGTGATGTATTCTCTTACCTCAAGCAGAGTGTTCACTGCTATACTGGCCAGATCTAACTCAACACATATAGTAGAATAGCATCCTTCATTGTTGATTTCAAGTGATGTATTCTCTTACCTCAAGCAGAGTGTTCACTGCTATACTGGCCAGATCTAACTCAACACATATAGTAGAATAGCATCCTTCATTGTTGATTTCAAGTGATGTATTCTCTTACCTCAAGCAGAGTGTTCACTGCTATACTGGCCAGATCTAACTCAACACATATAGTAGAATAGCACCCTTCATTGTTGATTTCAAGTGATGTATTCTCTTACCTCAAGCAGAGTGTTCACTGCTATACTGGCCAGATCTAACTCAACAAATATAGTAGAATAGCACCCTTCATTGTTGATTTCAAGTGATGTATTCTCTTACCTCAAGCAGAGTGTTCACTGCTATACTGGCCAGATCTAACTCAACACATATAGTAGAATAGCACCCTTCATTGTTGATTTCAAGTGATGTATTCTCTTACCCCAAGCAGAGTGTTCACTTCTATACTGGCCAGATCTAACTCAACACATATAGTAGAATAGCATCCTTCATTGTTGATTTCAAGTGATGTATTCTCTTACCTCAAGCAGAGTGTTCACTTCTATACTGGCCAGATCTAACTCAACAAATATAGTAGAATAGCATCCTTCATTGTTGATTTCAAGTGATGTATTCTCTTACCTCAAGCAGAGTGTTCACTTCTATACTGGCCAGATCTAACTCAACACATATAGTAGAATAGCACCCTTCATTGTTGATTTCAAGTGATGTATTCTCTTACCTCAAGCAGAGTGTTCACTGCTATACTGGCCAGATCTAACTCAACAAATATAGTAGAATAGCATCCTTCATTGTTGATTTCAAGTGATGTATTCTCTTACCTCAAGCAGAGTGTTCACTTCTATACTGGCCAGATCTAAATCAACAAATATAGTAGAATAGCATCCTTCATTGTTGATTTCAAGTGATGTATTCTCTTACCTCAAGCAGAGTGTTCACTGCTATACTGGCCAGATCTAACTCAACACATATAGTAGAATAGCACCCTTCATTGTTGATTTCAAGTGATGTATTCTCTTACCTCAAGCAGAGTGTTCACTGCTATACTGGCCAGATCTAACTCAACACATATAGTAGAATAGCACCCTTCATTGTTGATTTCAAGTGATGTATTCTCTTACCTCAAGCAGAGTGTTCACTGCTATACTGGCCAGATCTAACTCAACACATATAGTAGAATAGCATCCTTCATTGTTGATTTCAAGTGATGTGTTCTCTTACCTCAAGCAGAGTGTTCACTGCTATACTGGCCAGATCTAACTCAACAAATATAGTAGAATAGCACCCTTCATTGTTGATTTCAAGTGATGTATTCTCTTACCTCAAGCAGAGTGTTCACTGCTATACTGGCCAGATCTAACTCAACACATATAGTAGAATAGCACCCTTCATTGTTGATTTCAAGTGATGTATTCTCTTACCTCAAGCAGAGTGTTCACTGCTATACTGGCCAGATCTAACTCAACACATATAGTAGAATAGCACCCTTCATTGTTGATTTCAAGTGATGTATTCTCTTACCTCAAGCAGAGTGTTCACTGCTATACTGGCCAGATCTAACTCAACACATATAGTAGAATAGCATCCTTCATTGTTGATTTCAAGTGATGTATTCTCTTACCTCAAGCAGAGTGTTCACTTCTATACTGGCCAGATCTAACTCAACACATATAGTAGAATAGCACCCTTCATTGTTGATTTCAAGTGATGTATTCTCTTACCTCAAGCAGAGTGTTCACTGCTATACTGGCCAGATCTAACTCAACACATATAGTAGAATAGCACCCTTCATTGTTGATTTCAAGTGATGTATTCTCTTACCTCAAGCAGAGTGTTCACTGCTATACTGGCCAGATCTAACTCAACACATATAGTAGAATAGCATCCTTCATTGTTGATTTCAAGTGATGTATTCTCTTACCTCAAGCAGAGTGTTCACTGCTATACTGGCCAGATCTAACTCAACAAATATAGTAGAATAGCATCCTTCATTGTTGATTTCAAGTGATGTATTCTCTTACCTCAAGCAGAGTGTTCACTGCTATACTGGCCAGATCTAACTCAACAAATATAGTAGAATAGCACCCTTCATTGTTGATTTCAAGTGATGTATTCTCTTACCTCAAGCAGAGTGTTCACTGCTATACTGGCCAGATCTAACTCAACAAATATAGTAGAATAGCATCCTTCATTGTTGATTTCAAGTGATGTATTCTCTTACCTCAAGCAGAGTGTTCACTGCTATACTGGCCAGATCTAACTCAACAAATATAGTAGAATAGCATCCTTCATTGTTGATTTCAAGTGATGTATTCTCTTACCTCAAGCAGAGTGTTCACTGCTATACTGGCCAGATCTAACTCAACAAATATAGTAGAATAGCACCCTTCATTGTTGATTTCAAGTGATGTATTCTCTTACCTCAAGCAGAGTGTTCACTGCTATACTGGCCAGATCTAACTCAACACATATAGTAGAATAGCATCCTTCATTGTTGATTTCAAGTGATGTATTCTCTTACCTCAAGCAGAGTGTTCACTGCTATACTGGCCAGATCTAACTCAACAAATATAGTAGAATAGCATCCTTCATTGTTGATTTCAAGTGATGTATTCTCTTACCTCAAGCAGAGTGTTCACTGCTATACTGGCCAGATCTAACTCAACACATATAGTAGAATAGCACCCTTCATTCTTGAATTCAAGTGATGTGTTTTCTTACCTCAAGCAGAGTGTTCACTGCTATACTGGCCAGATCTAACTCAACACATATAGTAGAATAGCACCCTTCATTGTTGATTTCAAGTGATGTGTTCTCCTCAAATTCAGTCATCAATCTATTCAGAACATAAAACAGTAATTGTAATAAGTATTCATTTGAGACTTTTTTCTACAATACACCCTTGGAGTGTTATTTTGTTAGCATGTATTTTAATTTTGTTGCTTGTGTTTGAAATATTTTCTTAAACTATAATTAGACAGACTGGTTTAGTTAATACAAGGCAATGATCAACTGAACTCCTTATATTCAAAGTTTTATATTTGAATGATTTGTGGAATGATGTAAACTTTCTGTTAGACAATAGCTTTTTTGAACAATCAATGCAATGAAAAATTCTCACCGATTATCATCTGCTTCCTTTCCACCCAGATCGGGTCTCTCAGAGGGGGAGCACCAGAGGACATGGTTGTGTTTAGCGAGATGGCGGGCAAAGAAAAGATCGCAACCAAAGATCATTGTATCCTTGGGAAGGTTACCAACCGGTATGTGAAAGTATCTGCATTGCTCCATATAAGCCTAGAAGGATTAAGGTTTAAAAATATAGAAGGATTTCAGACAGTTAGGATTTTAATTAAGAACTAGTTGTTTGAAAGTGTGTGCAACATTTTACATGCTGTGCAAAATTTTTGAATAATATAATGTTAATTTTAATCAGCACAAGAGTATTCAAACACCCCAATGATTGCCTAAACTAAGCTTGGTAACCTTGACTTCATTTTCGATATTGCCTGTTAAAAATGCCTGTTTAATTTTGAAATCAATTTTTTTCTTCATATTCGGAAATTTATAATATTTGAAGGATATTTTAGTGCTCAAATAGGGAAGTTGGTATTTCCATACTTTTATAAGGGAGTGTAAGTTGTAGGTATAACTTACTTGTAATATCATGTCTACATTGAGGTAATGTTGTATCATTCTCTTGGCACCAACTCTCTGCCAATCAAGGGACTTGAACATATTGGGACTGTCAGACACGTGTACAGGCACCATGGGGAAGTCACTGAGTCCTGGCATATCCTTTACCATATGTTGGAAATCTAGAACGAAAGTACCTCAATAAAATTACAGGGTACATGTTTATTTTAGTGAGACTATTTTCTTGATGTTGAACTCAAATCAGAAGACATTTTATTGTTTAATTATGACAGTAATTGTAATTTGTCCCTTCAATTGACCCTTCAATTCAAAATGGCAATCATCTTTCAGTACACATTGCTCTTGACCAGTGGAAAATAGGCCCAAAAGCCTGGGTATGATGGTATTGCATGTCCTCCTCTGCTTACCTTTTACTGACTGGACAGCTATGAATGTTGGTCCTTTCTTTTCATCTTTGTAGAGTGAGAGGAGACGTTGGATAGAACGGAACACTTGGCGCACATCTTTCTCAACTTTCACCTCAAATGTGTGGCCCCCTGGTGGTAGAAGTTCTTCATCCTGGACCTTCTCAATTCTGATAAACAGATTTTTGAATATATTTCAAATTAAATGGAAATTAAAAATAAATACAAGAATTATACATGGAACATGGAGGTCTTTTCATTTAATTTAAATCTCAATGAAAATGTTAAGTTTTACTCCATACTACAAAGTACATGAAGTAGTACACAAAAATCTAACTTTATAATGTTAACTTTGAAAATCTCTGCTTTCTTGAGTGCCATAATCTTTCAGTTGGTATTAAACTATTTTGTCTTATTGTAGAAGGTTATCTTACTTGAGATTATGCTCAGCATTGTACAGTGCATTCATGTTTGGCATCTGATTGGTTCGTACGGTATCAACTACAAATACAGATGCTTTCTTTGACATCGGGAAGAACAACCCAAACATCATCTTTGCTCCACTAAAACAAAAAATAAAATAAAGTCATATTTATATTCTAAAATGATGAGTTTTCCTCTGTAGAGAATAAAAATCGAAAAAAACTTATCTACCAAATCAATTTACAATATTTATAAACTTTTATTAATAAGTTTTGCACAGGCTATATATTTTGTTTGTATCTTTACAATTCAAGTTTTTTCACTGTGTATTGTTCAAATCAATGATGAGAAAAATGTGGCATGAGGTGACCCAGGTCAATTTGATTCTCAGAGTTTTTTATAAAACTTTGGCAATTAATTGCTTGTATATTACTGTTGAATAAAGGAATAAAATGTATAAAAAGAGTCAGATTGAGAAATTAGTCTATGGAAACATGTTATAAATCCCATCACTATGAAACACCCACCTCTGATAATGGTAAAGATAGATATGTTTCATGCTCCCAGGCTCAAGGTACGGATACTGTGCCAGTGTCCGGAAATCCAAATGATCCAGATCAAAAGTATCCGTGTCAATGCTGCCATAGTGTTGCGAGATGGACTTGTTGACAGTACACACACAGCCTATTCTGACCATAGCCCTGAACATTAAGGGGACTTGTGTCTCATAAACACCTTCAATATCAGGGGATGACAGGTCAGCACTGATTTCACTGTAAAGTAAAATAACAATATGAATTAGAAAAACAGCAAAAATATGACTTTCTATTCACTCATGTGCAATTTAATACACTTCGGCTTCATTTATTTCTACATTTAATACTTTTTGGTATTACAATGATCATCAGCATTTTGACTATCAATGACATTTTTTCATTGTGTAATGACCCTTGGGCACGCTCGTCGGGGAGCTGTAGTGTACCGAGCCAGATACTAGACTCGAAAGAGAATGTGCTAAATTCAATGCCCGTACGGGAATCCAACCCAGGACCTTCCGCTGTCAGAGTCAGACACTCTACCCCTGAGCCATAAAGGCTAGCCACTACAGCTGAGACTGTAGTAGCGACTTGCTATCGAAGGTCATTACAATTGCAATACTTCGGAAATTTCAAAGGAGATGATGCATGAATCCTTGTGTTGAATACATACAAGTTCATCATAATAATATTTCCATATGCATGTTCTGTCCTTTTCTGTTCTATTTCTTGACTTCATTTTTTATATTTCAAAATTGAGATGAATCAATTTGGTACTTTTTTACTTACTTTATATTTTCTAGGTATATATCTTCTGGAACAGAGTACTGGTAGAGGTACTGGACCATATGGGACCTTGGTAGAGTTTTATGTACTTTTCTCCACACTGGAACACAGGACAAGAAGCAAAGATTACAATGGAAGTTATACAGATTATACAGTTCAAATATTGTATTGCCCTTCTAGGCCATCCACCCTCCTTTTCATAATTTCCCAATTGTTTTTGTACATGTACTCGTACATGACAATTCTGTCTGAACAGATTATTCATCTACAGATTTGAAAAAGGCCTATATGGGAAAGGAAATTAAAATGAAATATTTCACTCACTTTGCCCTGCACCTTCTTTTTCAGTTTTTTGATTAACATAGAATATGCGTGGAATGGTGAGTTTTATAGCGTGCAGGTCATTTCCTATGAGTGCCCATAGTTTGTACATTCCAGGGTGCCCTGTCTCTGCAATCTGAAATGTTAAACAAGTGCCCAACAATATCATTATCAGTAATAAATTCAAATAACCTAATGCCTTTGCATAACTTCATAGTACTAATTTCTTTTTATATTTCATACCAAATTCGATTAATTTATTTCCAATTGAGTATTTGATTCATCTAGAAGTAATTTGCAAGCATGATTTTGTAATATGTCATTGGAAAGGTTGTAATAATATACACCTATATTTAAAACATGAATAATGTTAAAGTAAATATACCTGCACAATCTGCCAAGGCATATCAAGGACACTTCGAGCCTTCTTACGCAGAAAACCGCTGAGGCCACCTCCGCTACGGATCACACCTCCACCACCTGCGTTAACATAAAGTACAATAAAATGTCCATTAAATAGGCAAACATCTCTACAACAGTAGATTGAATTTGTTTTTGCATCATATAGCTAATATGACCAATGCTTATTTTAAGCTAATGCAAACTTAGTTAATGTCTTAAACACCAGAGCATTTTTCATTTTCGCTTGATTCTGCCATATTTTATTTTAATATACAATGTTTAATGTTAGTTTTGGTAAAATCACTGAACATATAAAAAGTTACAAACATTTTAATACATGGTTTGAGTAAACAGAACAAAATTTATTGAGAAATCCTGTGACTGATATATCCATTGAAATCTAGCAAGTTATTTTGGCATCATAGGACTAATATGACCAATCATGACGTACTACCTTATTTGGCGAACAGCCTAATTTGTAACGTTTTCTTATGTTACAGCACAAGACTGTAAATGTTTCTTACCTGAGGGTTTCTCACCATTGTCTAATCTCCTACGTTTGGTTTTTTCTGCCCGTTGTTTAGCTTGTAATGCCCACTTCTTCTTGTGGTACGCAACCCATTCATCCCTTTCATCCTGAAATGAGAAACAATGAGACCTTGTTTTCATTTTAATTGATGCATCTGATATTGATCTTTTTGTACAGTGTAGTTTATTGTACATGTGAAGTTGTAATTAAATATGTGTACTCGTGTTGTTTGAATTGTATAAAATCATTCAATCATATGTGTACTTTCTGCAGAATCATTCACCTGGGTTTTGCCCATAGGTGGAGGGGGTCCAAGTATTTCTCTCCAAGACCTTGTCAAATCAGAATCTTTCCTTCCAAAATCCTTCTGGGATTCATCATCAAATGCGCTGACTTGTCGTTTACGCTTGTTGCTAATGGCAACCAGTTCCTTTGATTTGGCACTATTGGTGCCACCTATATCTTCAATATCCATGGCATTACTGCTGTTTTCCTCTTCATTGTATTGCTGTCCACTTGAGTCAGTCTGCAAAGTAAAATGCAAAGAAACATCTTTTGATGTTCAAAAGGACACAATGGATAGCAGACATTTGTATATTTAACAGAAATTGCGCTGTATTTTTACAACCCATGTTGATCAATATATTTTAAAATGTAGATAATAAGATCTTACCAAATTGATTCAGCTTATTGCCAAATAAAGTATAAAAACTATAAAACTAACATCATGGTGTAGCAAATTCCACCAAACAAAACTTAATTTGTCAGGCCAATTTGTCTAATCATTCATCATTTTGAACATTAAATGACAGAAATAAATATGACGCCATATCATTTGTTGCCCATTCAAGGAAAGGATTCTTGTATTCCCTATTTGAGAAAATAAACTTCTCATATGTATTAAACATGAAAACAGTGACTCACCATATCTTTTGCTGCCGGTGCAAACATCTCATTGATGCGTTTCTGCTTGAAGACATCATTTTTCTCCAATAATTTCTTATGCAGCCAATCAGGATGCTTAATACGAGGCACTGGGTTGACAATCTGAATAAATTATGTTAAGGTTATACTTAAAAGTTTTTAAATCAATTCTATCAATCAGACTCCAATCAGCCTCGACCTCATGACAAATTATAGTATTAAGACAAGATATTAGCAAACAAAATGTCACCACCTGCTATTTGTTACAGATCCCAAACACCATCCACAAAAACGTTGGAGACTATAACAATATGTCACCACTTGTGAAATAATAGGATACATTTAATTGCCTAATACAATAAATGATTGAATGTGGACTTACCCCTTGCAGGGCAGCTGGAATTGTAATAATTTTCTGTACAGTCCCACCAAGTCTCTCAATGTAGTAGCCCCAGTCCAGAATCTGAAGTGAAAATCAATTAATGAAGGTGGATCGCCAATATATCGCCAACAGTACAATCAGCATAATTAACAAACAATAAATTAATACTGAATCTTTGTTCTTAACAACCCAAAGAAGTCAAATAGTTAGTTTGATCTGCAACATTTTTGAAACTTTGTTCACTGAATTGAAAAAAATTTACAATTTCTACATTATATACAATGACTAACAAATATACAATGGTTAACAGAAATCAGACATCATTTCTCCCTATATCTCAGTTTTATATTTATAATCCTGAACATGTATAAGCTTAAGAGTACTCACACTGCGGATATCAAAGTCTACCAAGGATTGTGTTTTCAGCCATTTGCGGAGATAATGTTTCTTAACACCAGGCTCGGACTGGAATATGGCCAGGGGGATGGCTCTGGAAAAGTATGAGACAAAGCATAAGAAACATATACCATAAGGTTTTCACAATCACATATATATCCACAATTGGATCTATAATGATGAATACTGCTTTTCTAATGACTAACATGGACATAGCAAAGTAAGTGAATTGATATATACTCATGGATTTAACATGCTATAATAAAAAATCTGAATCTGAACGTGTAAATTACCTCTCAGTGACTGGAGCGCCATCTGGCTTCTTTGATATAATAAACTGGCACGCCAAACCAGCATCCTTGACCATTTGGTCTCCCAGGAACTGAAACATAGCATAATGTTACTTCCCAGAATTCATTTAAGCTTTTTTCATTTCATAATTAATTTTTGATTCCTAACCTCAATAAGATAATTATTTTATGAGCATTTTTATTAGAACTTTGAAATTGACATACTGGTGAGCGATATAATAGCATTACAGTAATATTAAAGTTATTTAAGTTTTTATCAAATTACTATGAATATTGATATAAATATTGCCCACTGAGAAAATTTTTCTTGAGACTTCTGATCAACCTACATGGTAAAGCAGAGGATAAATAATACACCATTGAAGGAAAACATATCTCACCTCAGCAAGTCTCTTGGCTGTACTGATTGAAGTGGACTTTTGTTCCCCGTAATCTTCTAACTTCCTGCTCATGCTGCGATTCTCAGATATCAGCTCAAAAAGCTCAGAGTCTGGCATATTTGCTGCCTGGAAATTAGAGTTTGTTTATTTGATGTGTGTCAAGAGTGACTTGATGTGTGTCAAGAGTGACTTGATGTGTGTCAAGAGTGACTTGATGTGTGTCAAGAGTGACTTGGTAATTGCTAGGGTTACATGGTAGGTTTAACAATGGAAATATTCTGAACTCATGCTGAGGAAATCTGCAAGTTTTACCTGACCCAAAGAGGTAGTTGCCATGGCTACCATCAGGTATAAGTGATTTTTTGAATGAACCAAAGTTTATGACTGATTTTGTGATATGTATTACTTTGCAGTTTTAGTTGCTAACTGTAAAGTATACAATCTTTGATTTGTTCTTAATGTTCTTGATATCAAATTTTTACTTCAGATAAAATTCAGTGTAAAAATAATATGTACCAGAATAACTTGCCCTGGAAAAAATGTTACGCAAGTTTAAAGTAACATTAGACTTAAGAGAACTTCAAGGGGCATAAGGACAGAAGGTGCTTATCATAGTAAAGATACTCTTACCTTACTATAGAGTACATCCAGCCAGTAGTCAGCAACCTTGGCTACTGAGCTATATACTTCATCTAGAGAAGTTCCTTTCAGGAAAGCTTCAAAGACAGAGGACTGGAAAATCTTTATAAGCTGCAACTCGCCTCTTCTCTTCACTTCAAACCCCTGTATAGTACAAATACGAGGGTATATCAAACACTTATGATAAAATGCCTCTAGTTTTTTTAAATGACAATCATATACTTTCGATTTGCACTTTTGGTGTATCATTTATTTCTTGTTTATGTGCTAAAAGTACAAGACTTGAAAAGCTACAGAAACCATATTCTTGACATCAAGAACGTGAATACTAAGATATGAACACTGGCAAGGAAGGCTCGATATTATCTTCCCACTGTCAAGACATACCTTGAGTTCAGCAAGGGAGCCATCAAAGTTAAAGACTGCGTAACGTTTCTTCAATTTCTTGCCTTCCTCCTTGGAGGCAGGTAATATCATTGACAAGTAAGGCCCATCAACCTCAAAGAAGATTGAATTCTCATCTGGAGAAAGCAAATGAAACATTCCACATTACATTTTACATTCTATGCGTACGTGTGTAGTTTATACATGTATTGTGTACAGTAAGTCAGTATTTCAAAGATATGCTAATACAAGGTAAATGATTTATTGATAATCAAACCATCGCCTTGATGGTAATCATTGAATGATGCTGTGTATTGAAATACACCCATACTCTGATGGTCGTTTACATTGTTTATTTTGTAAAAAAGATTGCAGCTTTAAACCATTGTTTCATTTTATTTAAGATATAATGGAACTGTGCCTACTCACCATGTATGCTGTACTTGTTGGTGGCAGCGTCCTCCAGGTCATGGTACTGGTCATTGGTGAAACCATCCTGGATAATATAACAATTATGAATACACTTAAATATACTTACTTCTTCTTGTGATATATTTTCTTGATTACTCTAGATTAAAATTATTTTAATATAGTATGGAGGCTGTAGTGCAGTGGTTGAATTGAAGTGTAGTTGAGGTTGTACTGTAGAGTGTAGAAGTGGTAAGAAAAGGTTGTACTCACTTTCACCATTATGTTCAACATTGCACCTGGGTATGATATTGTCACTTTTGACTTCTTAGGATTGGTCGTTTTAATTTCATAATTCTCTGGGAATGTTGCCGGGAGGATACACCAGATGCCATCTGTGTCCAACTCAAGAGGACGCCTATAATATTGCATCACAATGATAAAATAATATAAGATTGTGGTGTCACAATGAGTCAATATTCCAACCACGTCCCAAAAAATTTAGTTGACAACATTTCAGATTAATTCCCCTCTGTCCCCTTCTAACTAAAATTGATGCAAGTTGACACAGTATAACAGATTACAGATCCTCCCAGACCTTGTCCATAAGATATAATCCCATCTCAATTTAAATTTTTTGTTGTTCACTTACAAGTTTAAGTTTGTTTTGATTTTAAGTTTTTGCTTAATCGCATCAAATATAGCTGAACTTTCAACGAGTTCATCAATATTTCAACCCCTTATAAAATTAGTACTTGCCCTATCTGTTCAACTATCTCTCTGGCCTGTTTAATAATGTTGGCCCCAGTGTTACATACAATACCAGCCATCTCCATACTGTACCATCTTGCCCTGTAAAACAAGATGAAAGAGTTTTTCCAAATATAATTTATTGCTATTGATTTGTAGTAAAAAACAACTAAATACGACAATGCGTGCTTTTCTTCTTTTTCTCTCAACTATTGTGTGTAAATCAAGGTAAGCAAAATATTATTTAATCCATTTAAGCCAAAGTGATCCATGATATTATTATGCTGACCAATTTATTGTCATTCCTTCTATGAAAATGTAAACTCTATAAAACATAGATATATACAAATGTTCAAAATAAAGTAGAAGGTAATCAAAATTAGCCTCAGTTAAAATTGCAAAAGAATGAATCTGACCAAAGAGCCTTTGACCGGCTTACCCCTTTCTCATGACATATCCATAGAAAGAGTTGAGGATACATTTATGGGCCAGTTGCAGTGAATCATATAAGACCACCATTCCATTGGCTTTCTTGATTTCAGCTGCATCTCCAGACTTTTCTGCATCAGAGAGCTTCTTTTTCCATGTCTACAAGAAACAAGACACAATGTGATAAATATCAAACTTTTTAGCTGTCAAGTTATTTACCCAGCATGCCTGTGTGAAAGTTTTGACTGCCCCCTCTGGCATCATCTAAAATGGATGCCTACCCCGAGAGCAATGATAGTGATATGCTAGAATGAAGCACATTGTCAACATCGTAGAACCGTGTTTTGGGGGGACTACTATTACTTTTACACCAGCAAAAAACTTGATCAAACCTGGGCATTAATCTGCTCTCAAATCCATACAACTCTCACATTGAACAGATAAGCAGATATCCTGAAGTTTTAATGACATTTATAATCAATAATAAAGGGGGTAATCAAATTGCATGATTTATCAGTAGAATCAAGATAACATAGTTAAAAACTTTTACCATTGCACCCTTCATTCAAGGAAGTACTTATTTAAATTAGTATCTACCTAATAGAAAAATTTTTGTTCCTATATTATACACATCAATTACCTTGTTCAGCCCCTTGAATATGTATCTCCTATCTCTGAATGCCCGCACTGTGTCAACATAGAAGGAGTTTTCACGCTGACATATGGTTGATGTCCTTTCTTCAAGTCTAGTTTGATGTATCTTTCTGTACGCTTTACGACAATATTCTGAAAAATAGAAGTATCTTCAGAAAATGTTATAATTTTAAAAGTCAAATTCTGCAAATTGTTCTGTACATTGCAATTATTTCCTCAATGTTTTTCAAACTCAATCCTATAAAAGTGTAAAATTAAAAAGTTTCCTGAGTGCAAAAAGCAAATTTTGCTCTGTATTGAAATCTCATAATGTTCCTATAACCCAGACTTAACAACCTTTTTGCTTCTGCTCAAATCAATATTTATTCTACAAGGTAAAGTGAGCAACATACTACATATAGGTTATGAAGACCCTTTAAGACAATAGGATTATTTAAAGACTGAAATATACAGAAGTCAATATAGAAGGGGAAGCACTTTAAAAATGTGTCCATAATGATATAACAATGCATTTACCAGATAGTCGCTTCTTCTCAAATGTTGCCTGTTCTTCCCGTGACAATTCGTGAAATGCCCTTTGGGGACCACCAGGGAACATGGGGGGAAATTTTTCATTTTCAAGTTGTTGTTGGGCACGGTGGTATTCACTCCTTGATGCTGGCACTGAAGGTAGAAATATACAATGTTATTACAGTGATTCAAAAAAGTGCACACATAAGAACAATATCATACAGTTTTAACAAAGCAATTATGTTTTTGAACTATTACTAGGGCAACAGGTTACTATTACAGTTGTTACAGGTACGGAGTCTGAACGATTCTCAATGGTAAAATAAACTAAAATTTGTAATAAACTGTAATTTGTAGTAAACTGTAATTCGTAGTAAACTGTAATTTGTAGTAAAATGTAATTCGTAGTAAACTGTAATTTGTAGTAAACTGTAATTCGTAGTAAACTGTAATTCGTAGTAAACTGTAAGTTGTAGTAAACTGTAATTTGTAGTTAACTGTAATTTGTAATAAACTGTAATTTGTAGTAAACTGTAAATTGAGGTAAACTGTAATTTGTAGTAAACTGTAATTTGTAATAAACTGTAATTTGTAGTAAACTGTAATTTGTAGTAAACTGTAATTTATAATAAACTGTAATTTGTAGTGAGCTGTAATTTGTAATAAACTGTAATTTGTAGTAAACTGTAATTTGTAGTTAACTGTAAGTTGTAGTAAACTGTAATTTGTAGTAAACTGTAAGATGTACTAACCTCACCTTGTTAACTGCGAACAAACAACATTTGATAAAAATAGTGTTTAATTTAAAAATCAGATATTTAACAGATAGAGGCATGATAATAACAGTCCTAATATAATCTGAGTACCCTGGCTCATCTGTTAGGACACTAACCTCTAACAAGGATATATTACTTAACAAATTGATATTCAACACAAACAGAGAGAACGTGATAAAATAATTGGAGATTACATACAAACATGTATTTGGAAAACCATGAACAAGTAATGACATACTCTGATTGCTTAAGCAAGTTCAAACTTTTGTTTTTATATAAAGAGTGAGAGGACAATTGCTGATTACTCCTGCAGAGGGTGAATCACATAAGTTAAACTTGTGCAAGACAGGGTTAGGTAAGCTATTGACAGATGTACAAGTGATAGCATTGTAGATAAGCCATTGGGCTTCACTGCAATACAGCAGCTATGCTAAGGCCTGAAGTGAAATACTCTTGGACCAAGGATTATTGCAGATATGAGAAAATGCCTAAACTAATGTTTTTAAAAATATGTTTTACTTGAATTGTTGACCTTCCCTTATCATCTAACATAAAAAAATAATAATTTTCCTAGAATGTATTTTTGCCATCTATAATAATTTCGATAAGTAAAATTTCTTCTTATCTATATTACTTCTTACACAATATCACAAGTTTGTTTGCTTGTGCCAATACTTTATTGTCCTTTTATATCTGGCACTATAATAGCATTGTTTTCCTTTGTTTGATTATCTTGAATAATTTGAACTTTCAATTTGCTACAATTCGTCATATCAGAGACATAAAGGCTTAAGTTGAAGGTCATGTGTGTTCAGTGAGTTAAAAATAATGACAAGATAATTCTGGATACAAGTTAAGAATGTCACTTGAATTTACTTAATAACCCTTAAAGATAAATGAAATAGATAGTTTCCCTTGCAGATTTCATCTTAAAAACTGTCATCATACTTTTTGTCCCAAGAACGTAAAAAGGGAGGATATTCAATTGTCATACCTTACTATGATTACGACAAAACCCATTAAACGATGGGAAGTTGTAAATAAGGTATAACCTAGCTTGATTTTTGTAGAAAGTATGTTTTTGTGTTTGGTTTTTGTGAGGATGTACTCGTACTGTTCTGTACCAGTGCTGGTTCTAAAGTTGGCATGAAGATTTTTTAATCATTGTACTTTAGAAGTTAAGAATACAATGGCAATTGCTTAAAGTTAAATAGGAAAACATGCTTTTGAAATAATGCATCAAAGATTGTACCAAAACAGTTACTGGTATGATATACCTGTGTAGAGTTATAAAAGATGGAAGCCAAACATTCATGATTACCCTTCTCAACATAGAAGCCAAAATTTGAAATTTTCTCACGAAGAAAAATCCACTCAAGCCAAAGTAAAGTCATTCAATTTGAAAGAATTCAGAGAGAATGTCAAAGGAAAGGTCTGGAGACATCCAGAATAATAACGAGCAACAAACAGAAGTAACTACAAGACCAAAAGGCTGGAGGTCATACATAATAGAGCCTGCAGCATTTCTATACTGCCTTGCGTCATACCCACAATTATCCACAACGAGGCAGTATCTATATGAGAAAATCGGGAAGCAATACCATTTTGATTATCTAATTCGTACCGAGACAGCAGTTTGTGAAGTTAACCATACGGATCCCGGATATTTAGTCCAGCAAGAAATCCAAAAAGAGACGTCAATATGGCGATTATATTTCGATGTCGCTTTCTGTATAGCAGCGATGTTGACAACAATAATGTTGGGTAGCTATAGCGACAGAGGAGGACGTAAGATTATTCTTATAATTCCAGTAATCGGGGAAATTCTGGAGTTATTTGTGTATCTTATAGATGGATACTTTAACCTGCATATTTCGTTTTTGCTCATTGCAAATGTTGTTCATGGACTATCTGGGTCTTGGATGATCTTTATGTCATCTGCGTTGGCATATGTTGCTGATATAACTGATGAATCTGAGAGAACATTTAGGATAACTCTGGTGAGCTTGTTCAATTTTTGTGATCAAATTCAATCCAAAGTTCATATTTAATTCATGAAATCTACTTAAGGAACCATCATTAAAAGTTATATGATCTATCAATTAAAGAAGCCACTCTTCTCAGTCAAAATATGTGAAGCTCTGTCTTCAATGCCAACTAATTAACACTTTAAAAACTTCGTATGAGCCATCTTGATGACTAAACAGGGGGTCTTTGAGGGCAATTTTCTTGACTGTCTTGCTGGTACAATTTTAAAAATATATCATTTTTATTTTAGGTTTGTGCCATTCTAGAGGTTGGAGGAGCAAGTGGGGAAATAGGGTTAGGCTACTTCGTGAGGAACACAGGATTTGCATACCCCTTCCTCACATCCTTGGCTGTCCTAGTCCTCGTAGTATTTTACATCATCATCTTTGTGCCCGAGACTGTCCAAGACACGACAAAAAAATCAACAATTTCTGATGTTTATAAATCAATGTACCGTTTATACTTCAAAGAAGCGACAGGTTTTGTTAAACGGAGATGGAAACTAATAACATTACTCATAACAAGTTTCATAATTATGACCCCAAATACAAGCCCATGGGATGTTCTCAATCTAAAAATGCTCAACTACCCCTTATGCTTCAATCCTGTTCTGTTAGGTTACTGGGCCTTTACAGCAATTGGATCACGAGGAGTAGGGTCTATGATCTTTGTGAAGTTGCTCAGTATACGCTTGGAGGATATCACTTTATTTGTAATTGGTGCACTCTGTGGTGTGATTTACTATATAATGGTCACTCTTGCTTACACAAAGCTGATGATGTTCCTAGGTAAGACTTCATATCTAGTCAATTGATATATCTGTATTTGGTTGCATCTTATACAGTTTCTAGACATAAAATTGGGTCCCACCTTCGGTTATCAATTTTGTAGCTTTGCAGAAGATAAAATTTTTAAAAAAAATTGTAGCTTTAATGGAGATGAAAAAATTCAATAATTTAATCTAAGACAGAGACATTCTAATATGTTACCAATAGTATTGTAAATCATAACAAAAATGCTAATTCCTTGGATGAAATAGTTATTAATCATTCATAATGTTCTATAGCACCAATAGTGGGGATGCTGTGGACTGTGCCTTTGTCTGTGATAAGATCCATGATGTCAAAGTTGGTTGGGCCTGACGAACAAGGTAAACAGATGCATTATTGCAACAATTGTAAAATCCCTAATTTTCCCAAATAGAAGGGTGAATTACGCCAAATATACCTCAGACTATTGCACTGATAAAGACTGGTAAGGATTGTTTTGTCATAGTGTCAAAGGCTCAATAAATATATCTGGAATATCTATTGACCTACTGCATAAGAATCTTGCCGGCATCTTTGGACCAATATGCCTACAGGGAGATAATTTTGGGTTACACGCAAAATATCTTACATTGAATAACATGATTTTGATTGTAATTCAGATATAAAAGTACTGTTATGTAGATACGTTTGTTTCTTTGTTTCCAAGTCCATTTCAGGAAAATACCTAATCGCTTGGGCTATACTTTTTGAGGCAGCTCTAATCTTTGCCTATATTAACAGGAGCAGTATCAGCAAGTGTCGCTACTGTACAGACAGTAAGTTGCTTGGTGGGACATGTCATACTCAACGCCATCTATACAGTTACCGTGACAACATATGATGGGATCTGCTTCATTATATTGGCTTCACTTTGTCTCTTAGCTGTTATTATTATGATGTAAGTAACAACCCTAAAGGGATAATAGCTTTAATCCCCATTAAAAATGCTAAATATTTTAAATTTATAATAATTTGTAATTTGCAAACTGTTGACATTTTGGGCAACTCATATACGATTCGCTGTATATAATTAATGAATAATTATTAATTTCAGACCATATAATATAAGGGTGAAACGAGAAGCAAAACGATTTCAGGAGCTGACTGAACGAGCACCTCTTGTGACCTGACCTGATATTATGATTATAACAATAACATTACCATCTTTCATCAAGTGACAGACACTGGAAATATTATTATAAATAAAACATACAGTGATTAATAAAGAATGAAATAAGTAAAATGCAGGATTGTGAATGCTGCTCAATATATCAATTTAAATACTTATAAGGAACAGCTCAAAGAGCTATGTACTACATTTAATGTACATGTTTCACATTTAGCAAGGCAAGGTGTGTCCAACATCAGCCAATCTGAACAAGTTATTTCATATAACTGTATTGCATTATTATAGTCTTCATGCATTGTGCCAGATTCATTCCACTTGGCGTTGTTTCCTAGTTAGCACTCAATTCTGCAAATTTTGAAACAACACCTTGGAGGAATGATAATAAGTCCACAATACACCGAGTCCAGGACTTAAATAATGTTTTTGTTTACAAATAATAATAATGATAAAATCAGTAACTGCTATTGTTTAATGTTTTGACATATAGAGTATTATTTCTTTATATCATAATGTTGACATTTGTTACAAAGTGTCACTTGAATCTGCAATAATGTTGAATCCCACACCCTTCAAACTGATTCTAAACTTTGCCTATACATGTATTTCACCATTTTTGTAATGTGCGCATTAGTTTTCACACATTTCCAACTTGAAAATGATTTGATATCTCAACCTGCCCTTGAATAATTTAGATTTATTAACATTTCTACTTCTGTATTTGTATTCCTAGTTTGAGTATACAATAGCAAAACCTTTAAAATACAGATTCAATACCAGACAAGTCATTCTTTGGAACCTCATCCTAGGCATAATGGGGTGGACCATGAGATAAGGGTCATATTTTCTGAAACAACTGATATCAGAATATATTTTTTTAATTTTTTCCCTTAACAGCCTGAAACATTTCCTTCCAATCATATTTCAGAATAAATGAACAAACAATCACATGATACTTTTTAGCACCAAGATCAAATATTTCTCATAATTTGTAGTATCCTCCAAAACTAACATGTCCCATGACTTGAGAACCACAAGTTGAATAAATGTTATAAAAATACTGAGGATTTTGAAGGACACTTGGTGATATCTTGATTTGATGAGTGTGAAGCTTTACCTCTATACAGTTCTAAGTACATTGTGAAAATTACCCAAATTGTGGCCTTATCTTGAAACAAAGTATCCCTTCACAATCTACTTTCAAGTATATTTCCTTATCTATTTGTATGACAAGATAAACACTTATCTCATACTGTCTCAAATTATTTACATTCTACCTTTTCTAGTGATAACTGGGATATGGGATAACAGAGATTATAACATAACAATTGTATAATAATGTCTATGTCAACAATCAAACAGTTAGATTACCCTGGAATGATATTCAACAATACCCCTGTCAACAATTTATGAATGAAATGAACTTTGATTCGTGATTTACTGTAAGGGCAGTGTGATTCCAATAGAATATAAAAATTGTATGTTAAGTTAGCCTACTACATACATGTACTAACATATGTATTAAACTGATTTTAAGTTAGTCATGTGATTCCACAATATTCATGTGAGGCTTTCAATTAAAATAAAATTAATTTTATCAAACTGATATATATATATCAAACACCAAGAAGACGACCCCATTATAATGGAAACCAACTATGATGTAGGCAAACTAAAAGGTAAAGCTACAGCTGAGAAGGAGGATCTAAATGACAATAGGAAACCTAAAGGATGGCGATCATTTATCACAGAGCCGGCAGTATTTTTTTACTTTTTGGCACTTTTCCCAGTGTTTTCCACTGCGAGACAATATCTTTATGCAAAGATAGGCAAGCAACATCATTTCAACTATTTGGATCGCTCAGAGGGATTAGTTTGTGAAATCAACCATACTGATCCAGATTATTTAATACAGCAAGATATACAACAAGAGTCCTCAGAATGGATGCTTTATTTCGATGTTGCATATTCTATTATGGCCATGGTCTCAACAGTTTTGCTCGGGAGTTATAGTGACACGGTTGGTAGAAAAATCTGTATGATAATTCCAATTCTTGGTGGGGTTTTAGAACTGCTGGTTTACCTCATTGATGGGTACTTCAACCTGCATGTATCCTTTTTATTTGCTGGGCATATCTTACATGGTCTTTCCGGGTCATGGATGGTTTTCTCAGCATCTGCATTCGCATACATCGCTGATGTGACAACTGATAAAGAACGCACATTCCGAGTGGCTCTTCTAACATCTGTGATGGAAATCGGTGGCGGATGCATCGAAATTGGTCTTGGATATTTCATCAAGGCGACAGGATTCGCATATCCCTTTCTCGCATCTCTTGCAACTCTTACAGCTGTCATTTTATACATTATTATAGTAATCCCAGAGACTGTTAACACGGAAAGGAAATCAACCGCAGCCGATGTGTACAAATCAATATACAAGTTATATTTCAAAGAACCTTCAGCTTTCATCAAAAGACGTTGGAAACTCTGGACATTACTCATAATAAGTTTCGTCATAATGACACCTATGACAAGCCCATGGGATGTGCTAAATCTAAAGTTGTTAAACTACCCCCTTTGTTTTAATACAGTTCTTGTAGGATATTTCACATGTATTTCAATTGTGACACGTGGTTTTGGGTCAATTGGATTTGTTAAGCTGTTTAGCCGTTGCCTTGACGATGTATGGCTGTTTGTGATAGGAGCATTATGGGGTGTACTTTACTATATGTTAGTCACTTTTGCGCACACAAAAGTCATGATGTTTCTAGGTAAGATCTTGTTCATAATTATCCTTGTATATTTTCTAAACAGTAAATGATATTTTCATTTGAAATTGATGATAAAATTTATTTGATTTTTCTAAACTGATGCTTAATATATTCGGAATTATTTCATATCCATTTTCTAGCCCCTGTGATAGGTTTCCTATGGTCAGTACCTACATCTATCATTCGTTCTATGATGTCAAAGTCAGTAGGACCACATGAGCAAGGTCAGTATAAAGGCACCAGTATAAATGGGTTTTTACTCGGTAAGTAGGTATGCTAAAATTCCTGTGCAATCTGTAAAAATAACGTACCCTCCGTTAAATAGGTGCCTTTATAAATCATACTAGTTACATACAGGTACACATGTCTATATTTTGACCAAATAAAGAAAGTTTCAAAACATTACATAAATGTAAAACATTAGAAAAGGTTGAATAGAACAGCACACAAAATTGTTAGTGACAACAAATTGATTGTAAATCAGTCTCATAAATGAACAATGTTTTCAATCAAACAAAACTATCAGTTTGCATCATGAAAGTCAATTAATAAGCACCATTTTTTAATAATATTCTCCAATATACCATTAAGATTAGGGGCCCCCACTCAGTTCAAAATATATAGGGTACAGGAGGAACATGTAACAAACTTGAGGTTTGAACATAATTATAACCCTTAGCCATTACTTTCACAATCACACTCAAGCAAATTGTTAATATGACCTAATTTAAACGGAAAAGTTACAAGAGAGAGTTTGTGAGACAATATTTTTAACCTTTTGTAACTTTTTCTATTCTATTCAGGGGCTGTTTTGTCAAGTATTGGAAGCATGCAGACCCTTAGTACTTTGATTGGTCACTCTATGCTGAATGCCATCTATTCAGTTACCGTAGCAACATATGATGGTGTCTGTTTCCTGATCCTTGCTGCATTCTGCCTGCTTGCGGTTGTTATGGTTATGTATGTAATACCATTAATATACTTTCAAAAACCAATATATAACTGAGATTTTCTGTTTCAATTTTGGATTAAATTAATTTCAGTACAGTAATTTTGCATATTAAATTCAAAGCTATGTGCAATTTTTCTTTGGTGCACTATGTACATGTTTAAAACAAAATATACTTTTATCACATACCATGTAAAATTCCAGTAATCTGATTGGTTGGTTACCATGTGAGTTTTCCCGTCTCACATGTTACTAGAGGCAACCAGCGATGACGTTTCATATTAATACCTTGGATACTGTTGATGACATCATTACTAAATTGAACAGGAACACGAGGAATAAATGGGTTCATGAAGTAATAGTGTAATCTTTTTGATTGTTTGTTACTGATTGTTATTAGCTGTTTTTCATGTAATGAGAAGTAGCCACATACCTATTGGCCATCAATTTACTGGAATTTTACATAGTATGTGATAAAATCGTTATCACACATTTCAGCTTGCGTGATATGGGTAATCTTCCAATCAAGTAAAAATGTATCACTACTCAAGCTTCGCTTTCGTGGTGATGCAATTTTAGTTTCGTGGAGGATTTCCTGTATCACACGATAGTGTTATAAATAATGTAATAATGTAAATATTCACATGTGTAAAAATTGATGTCTTCGATGTCCTCCAGTGAGACACAATATACTTCTATAAGACATAACTTGCATGTGTAAGATATATTCTACATGTTAAAATATATTGTACCTTACACTTTCAGATATACATACATGTATTACATACCTAGCGAAGCATTTGTATGGAAGTCAATGGAGCGGAAGGTCGGCTATATTTAGAGGTTATGTCACTATGACGTGAAATATGCCTGAGTTCTCCCAATATAGGCCGACCTTGGGAGGCTCTATATTTGGGCAAGAACGAAGGCATATTTCACGTCATAGTGACATAACTGATGTATTACATGCCTTTGTTCCCATGGTTACTTTGTATCAATGACGTGACGTCATGATATTATCATGGTTATTAAAGAAATCTAATATCAAAACGAGGTAAGCGGGCTATATCGGGGTAATCGGGCAATATCGGTGGATATAGCTCGCTAACTTTCCCATTGACTTCCATACAAATGCTTCGCTAGGTATGTAATACATTCCTGTATAGCCGCCAAACTTTATTACCATGACAATTTTATGACGTCATAACATACAGACAAAGTTATTTTGACTGGAATCGTGTAAAACTTTGGTCTTTTTTCGCGCATTTCTACATATTATCTTCATGAAATGTTATGTAAATGTACTTTAGGTATGTAATACAACAATTATGTCCGTATCATAGAATATATGCCTTCGGTCTGTCGTAATATAGCCCTCGCAAGCTCGGGCTATATTGATGACAGACCTCAGGCATATATTCAATGATAGGGACATAACTGCAAAGTATATCTTTTTTATTTCAGTCCTTACCATATTAAGTCAAAGCGGGAGAATAATCAAGCCCAGGAGATAAATGAAAAGACAGCTCTTATAAATTGAAAAGATACTGATGAAGACAACAGAAACTGCAACATTAAGGTCAAATTAAAGAAATTACTTACATTCACTGATCTCCTCAACATTGAAGCAGGTGTTTCTTGCACCCACTTGAAATGTATTTGCACCCATTTGGGGATAACACTGCATTTTACTTCATAAATGTAGCAAGTCCGTCCATATTTTCAAGGTAGAACATGATAAAAAAAAAACATGCAAGAGTCGTCAGTCTGTTCTAGGTCTGGTAACATGCAGGCCAGTTACCTGCCAATCAGATTGCTGGATTTCAATGAGATGTGTAATATTATTAAATACTCACTGACTTCTCCCCTCCATAGCCACTGCATTTTCCTTTGACATTTAGCACCAGGTTTGTTGAAATCACAGGCAGCACATGTCTCTTCATCTATGATGGCCGAAGGCTGGAAAAATTACAATATTCAATTTATTCATGGATTGAGTCAACAGCCCTATATATAGTACATGCACAGAGAATCTATAAATACCTGTACATGTAACAATATAATGTATACAAAGAAAACATATAAAACATGTACATATAACATAAATAGGACATGTATAAAGTACATATTTAGTACAATGTACAAGTTACATTACAAACAGCAATAAACACAATATTTCACTTACTTGAAGCCTGTTAGTGAGGATGATGTTTGGGTACATGGCACCAACATCCAGATGATAAATGACAGGATTTTCAAGTCTGTTAGGACAGTCACGTAGCATGGACAGTTTCTCAACAACTTCTGTACAAACCTAGAAAACCATAACTAAAGGTATAAGCATATTTCAAAAAGTAAATGGTTTTTAAAGAGAATTAATTTTGAAATTTTATTGGTAATTTCTTCGCCATATCTTAATAAAAACACATCTAGATGTGGTTTTGATAATATAATTGTATGTACTGACACTGTACCACATCAAATTGTAAACCTTCCTCATCAAACAACATCAAACACAGAATCACAAACAGTATATTCTAGGAAACACTGATCAAAGATTACAAGTGGTGGGATCAGGTTGAAGTGAAAGTGAGTAGGGGTGAGACGACAACCCGATGAGTCGAGGACTCGCGGGTTTGGGGCTTCGAGTCGAGTCGAATCGAGTCGAAGTTGATGAATCGAATCATTTTCGAGTTGAGAAAAAAATTCGAAAAAATAAAAAAATTCAGAAAAATACTGTCAATATGCATGTTTTTACTCGATATTGCGTTGAATATATAAGTTTCAATGACTTGGATATGCTTATATTAAATTATTATATTGTATGTACACATAAATGAAAGAATATATGTAATAAAATCAGAATAAACTTACGACGAATTGTGTTTGTTTATATTTCCGGCTTTCCACCATTGACGCATTAAAAATACGAACGGTCAAAAGCGATGTTGTTCGCACTTTCGCGACTCGAAACGGATTCGAAACTCGAATCGTCATTTTCTGACTCGAATCGGATTCGACTCGAATCGGATTTTTTCGACTCGTCTCACCCCTAAAAGTGAGATTCTATGAATAAACAATATAGGAACTAAAATGACTTGAACGATTGCACTGCAAATCTTGTGTTCAACCCAAAGGTTCATTAATTGGAAGACTGGTTTACTATTAACTGTAACTAACAAAAAGTTTTACAGGACTTATCAATTATAATTGTAGACCTACCTCATCAAAGTTTAGGACTGTGTCAAAGGGAATCTTCTCTTCATTTTCAATAGCATGTCTCATTGTCTGTTCTACTTTATCAATAAGGGTCTGGAATGCTTCAGGTACCTACAAGTCATGAAAAAATCATATTAAGAATCTATGCTGGCCACATAATACTAAACTCCAACTTAAACTGATGATGACAAAATGTCTCCACTTGTAAAATGTTGGAAGTGTGCAAATATGTTTCAGACACCGAACGCCAAACACTGTTGACAAAAAAAATTTGAGACTATTACAATATGTTACCACTTCTGGTGGTGACATAATAAAATTTTGATGCCAATGTCTTATTTATAATTTCAAACAGATTTCATGGACTTTTATATAAGAATTTCAACATGAAGTTAATATTAGCAAAACTGGCCCCTTTAAACAAGAGAATGTTATTTTCTCAGTCTGAATTCTTACCATTCTAAATCTACATGGGATGTCTGCTCTAAATACACCAGACTCAATGGCTTCCACATGGCCGCCTACATAGGTCTCTGAATCTAGTACATGGCCATCGTCCGTCAGTTTGTTGAAGACCTAAAATATAATTGTTGATTTATGCGATGCAAAATCTACATATTTTACAACACTATATTGTATTCTGATGAAATTAAGGTTAAAAGTTGACTTTTTGGATGACCCTCATTTTTGAATATGCCCTTGAAGTCCTGAACACTGAAACACAGCTGAAACTTGAGGATATCTATTCATGCTTGAAAATAATGAAATATTTGAAAATGCCTGAATTTCATGAACATTTCAGGAGGGGTGTATATCAATTTGTGCCTAAAAATCATGTATATTTGAATATACCTGAATATCATGAACATTTGAGAACATACACAAAGATCAAAGAATACCTGAACACTTCTGGAATTCATGAATGTTAATATGTTAATCAATACTAATTGATGCTCAAACATTACCTGTTCTTGTTTGTTGGGAAATATGATATTTGCGTGGAATGCCTGTACCATAAGTAGTGCCTCACAGAGGGTACCAGATCCCTTTCTCAGAACCTCATCAGGCTCCATAGGAATGATGGTACACAGAGCAAAGATGAATGGATGTACATACTTCATGTAGAGGTAGTATGTAGCTACTGCATCAGACACTGAATAGTTAGCCAGGACCTGAAGAAGATTATTGTTTCAATGACCATGTGATTTTGAATGTAAAGGTAGTATGTAGCAACTGCATCTGACACTGAATAGTTAGCAAGGACCTGAAGTAGATTATTGTTTCAATGAACATGTGATTTGGAAAGTAAAGGTAGTATGTAGCTACTGCATCAGACACTGAATAGTTAGCCAGGACCTGAAGAAGATTTCAATGACCATGTGATTTTGAATGTAAAGGTAGTATGTAGCAACTGCATCAGACACTGAATAGTTAGCAAGGACCTGAAGGAGATTATTGTTTCAATGAACATGTGATTTTGAATGTAAAGGTAGTATGTAGCAACTGCATCTGACACTGAATAGTTGGCAAGACCTGAAGAAGATTATTGTTTCAATGACCGTGTGATTTTGAATGTAAAGGTAGTATGTAGCAACTGCATCAGACACTGAATAGTTAGCAAGGACCTGAAGGAGATTATTGTTTCAATGAACATGTGATTTTGAATGTAAAGGTAGTATGTAGCAACTGCATCTGACACTGAATAGTTGGCAAGACCTGAAGAAGATTATTGTTTCAATGAACATGTGATTTTGAATGTAAAGGTAGTATGTAGCTACTGCATCTGACACTGAATAGTTAGCAAGGACCTGAAGAAGATTATTGTTTCAATGAACATGTGATTTTGAATGTAAAGGTAGTATGTAGCTACTGCATCAGACACTGAATAGTTGGCAAGACCTGAAGAAGATTATTGTTTCAATGAACATGTGATTTTGAATGTAAAGGTAGTATGTAGCAACTGCATCTGACACTGAATAGTTGGGAAGACCTGAAGTAGATTATTGTTTCAATGAACATGGATTTTGGAAACTCGGAGATCAACCTTTGGAAGGAAATGTCAAATACAGCAGTCGATTATATTTTCATTAGTAGACCACAAGAGAATCCAAACTGGGGAAATACATTGTGCTTAATCTCATCCTTAGAAAGCTACATGATTTCAACCTATGGACATTTAAAGGGAGTCCCACTTATAGATCTTTAAGATCCACATGTGGGACTCCCTTTATAGAAGCTTTGAAATGAATTTACACTTCTTAATGCTGATATTGATAGTTTTAACTTAATTTTTTCTCTCGGGCCTTGTTGCCCCTTTAAACACAACATGACTTGAAGTATATTCATTATATTGGCTGTATTCATGATGCCATACTTTAAAGGCTGCAATGTTTCTTAAAATAAAATGAATACTCAGGAATCGTGAATTGTGAATGACATCATGACGATAACTGAAGCTTTTTCTACGAGTCAAGTAAAACTGTAAATGTGTTATTATGCCTTTGACCCCATCATTAATAAATTGAAGTCCTACCTGTGGCTCCTCATTTGCCATCCTACACATATCCTCTGGATTCAGTTCCACAGGGTCATAGCGTAACTTTGCCTTGGCAACTGCCTTAAGGTTCTGACTCCCCACTGGGAGGTAGCTATCTCTTTTTACCCACCTAGTTGTAAACATTGAGGAATATGACTGACAATTGATGGCAACACTGTGCTACACTACAGTAAAATTTCAAATGTTTGGAACTACTTTGAATTTAAAAAATAATCAAATGACTATATTGCAACAGTATATGAAAAAAATGGAAACATATGTACAAGTCCTAACTTTTGTATATTTAAGATAGTTATGTATAATGTGGAGCAAAGCTGTGGCCTTTTGCAATTTGGGAGTTTCAGCCATGTTAATTTTTTCGAAAATAACATGGCAGAGAAGCATCAAAATATAAGAGGCCACAGATAGGATAGCTAAACTACAAAACAAACTAAAACTATACAAAAGTTAGGGTAAGTATAAATGTTTCTATTTTTCCATATACTGTTTCAATATGGTCCTTTGATTGCTTATTTTTTAGATTCAAAGTAGTTCCAAACATTTAAAATGTAAATGTGTACTCAATGATGTGTGAATATTTCAAAAAAGATTCTGATCTTGTTGATTTTTTGTTGTGAGCAATATGTGCTGATAATACCAAGAACAATTTGAAAATGAATTTTTCCTTTTTTTCTATGCAAAATTATCTAAAGATTGGAATTTTATTTGATCAATTATTGGCAAGTTTTAACATTGTACCCAGTGGGATTTAGGCTGACATTTTTTATGATAAAGGGTCTATTCAAACCACATGCCAAGATTTAAATGTTTCCTCTCATAAGCCAGACATTACTGGCTAGTGGCTGTACATACTACATGAGAGACTTTTAAAAATTTACACATCTTAAATTTCATTTTTTAACAATGATACATTTAAATATAGAAATATTACAGAACATGGCTATCCTAACCTGAAGCAATCCATGTGTATACAAGGCCTACATTTGTATTCTCCTTGGTTGTCTTTGGTGAAGCCTATCTCCTTACCCATATCTAAACCATGGTAGGCTGCACGTCCCTCCACAAATGGCCTACAAAACAAGGTGTGTCATAAGCATTTTAAAACTTGCTGCTCACAAATGAATTTCAGATCAGTTTTGTTGTTTATGTAATGCCTCACAAAATAAAGTGTGCCATGGGAGCAGTTCCTGTTAAATGGCCTACAGAACAAATGTGTCATGTTGAATAATCACAAATAGCTTGACCTGAGAAGACTATCACCATGGTAACCTCAAAGAAGAAAAACAACTGATCAACCATCTTCAATAAGGAGGCTATCACCATGGTAACATCAAGGTAGAAAACATTGATAAACCATCTCAAACAGGAGACTGTCACCATGGTAATCTCAAGCTAGAAGACAGCTAATCTGAACTCCTTCAAATAAAAATTCTTGCACTCACCAATCAAACATGTCTCCATTGTATGTGGCACAAAGCATGGGCTTCACTTCAAGGAAATGGTCAAAGAATCGTTGTATAGTTTGTGCCTGGAATATAATACAACACATGCGGCTAAACGTTATATTGGATAGTTGCCATACCTTACAAGTGGCCCAAATAAGCATTATTATACACTTACAACATCCAACACACCAAAAAACTCGACTTTTTTAACTTTATTCCATGAAAATTACTGATTAATGTTAATTGATTCATTAAAGTTGATGTGAAAAATGTAATTCAGGTTACAAGTATTGTAGTGCACCTCACCTCATCTGCCTCATTGAAGATGATGAAGGGGCCTTCAAACTCAGGTCTTGGGGTGTATTCAAAGTCGTCAACATCTTGCGAAATAATCTCACGATTACAGATTAAATACCCCTACAATACAACATTAATGATGTAGGAATTTTCAAACTCTGATCTAGGGGTGTTCTTAAAGTCATCAACATCCTGAGAAATAATTTTTTACCCTGCGCAATCAAATTCATTTTTGCCTCTAACCAATCTTACCCTGCACAACTAAAACCTGTATTCTACAGTGTATCTAATCCTGCAAAATAACCTAACCCATTTTACCCTCTCAATTTAACCAATTTTACCCTGTATGACTAAACCCTTTAATCCAATCCTGCATAATCTATACCTTGCATATTCCAACCCTGCAAAGTGTACAATCTATACCTTGCATATTCCAACCCTGCAAAGTGTACAATCTATACCCTGCATAATCCAACCCTGCATAATCTACACCCTGCATAATCCAACCCTGCATAATCTACACCCTGCATAATCCAACCCTGCATAATCTACACCCTGCATAATCCAACCCTGCATAATCCAACCCTGCATAATCTACACCCTGCATAATCCAACCCTGCATAATCCAACCCTGCATAATCTACACCCTGCATAATCCAACCCTGCATAATCTACACCCTGCATAATCCAACCCTGCATAATCTATATCCATAATCTTACTCATTTTCACCCTCACAATTCAATCAATTTTACTTACATAACTGAAGCCTGTTATTCTACCCTGTATAATCCAACTCTGCATAATCTATACCCTGCATAATCTAACCCATTTTTACCCTCACAAAATCTAACCAATTTTACTTGCATAACTGAACATGGTAATTCTATCTTATATAATCTAACCCATTTTTACCCTCACAATATCTAACCAATTTTACTTGCATAATTGAACCCTGTAATTCTATCTTGTATAATCTAACCCATTTTTACCTGTCCATCTATCATGTAAGAAATCATCATTATTTGGTCAGTGGCCACATCAGGAAACTTTAGAGGTAGCTTTGTTGTTTCGATGTCATATGCCATAACAACTGGGTCCTAAAATATATAAAAGAAAATACTTTTAGCAAATATTTGCTGATTAAATTAAAGTATGAATTTACTAATTGTAGTACAGTAGAACCTGTGTATATGGATCGACTTCAATACTGGCCAAATTTAATATTTGCGAACAGCTGTTCATTACAGGGAGAGGTAATTGAAAAGTAAAAATAAGCATTATGGATATGCATTAAACGAATGTGGATTAATGACTCAATCCGAATAGCAGTTTCAATTTGTGCGGCCAATGTTGACTGATGGACCAACAGACGTACAGATGCCTGGTCGATCCCATAGGCTCACAGTGTGAGCCAAAAAGGACTGGGTTCTTTTAAAAACTATTCATTTAGTCAAGTTTTATTGTATATAAAATGTCACACCCTCACACCAGAGGTAATCCTCTGTGAAACATTACAGTTTAATAATTTATAGAAATCTTATTTAGGAATGAATCAAAAACAATTGTGATTGCTGTTAAAATGATGAACAAATCAAAAAAATTGTATAATCAGTGTCAACGAATGTATCAATTACACCAAGTTCATTAGACAAATTGATGAATCACAAAACAAGAGTTCTGGCACTAATAGAACACTATAATACTTGGAAAGTAAATGTAAATATTTTCAATGCAGCCTGAGCAAGCCAACTCGCAGTACCTCTCTGCTAGCAAAGATATCAGACTGACATTTCACCTCAATTTTTTAATCATATATAATAGAAATATGACAGCTATGATTAAGTAGACAGCACCATATTATCCTGAGTATAGACTGATAAATGCATTGTTTTCAATATAAATATTAATAATTGATTTAGATCCTCTTTTGGCATCCCAGTTTTTATTTATTATTGGCATCCCGGTCGTAAGATGACAGGCATTGGCATAATGGCTAACTGGCCAATATTCAAGTTTCAAGTTTCTATCAGAAAGTTGTGTATTTAATCTCAGAAATAGGTCCATATGTTTATAAAATTGGCTTTTTGAGAAAATGGTCATAAATATTATATAATTAACATAGAAGACAGTGGAAACTAGATAACAGCAACGCCAAAATGTAGCAAATCTCATTTAAAACTCATATCATGCCTGCCATTTTTACAAAATCCATCTACTACTTTTTCAGATATTGCAAAAATTGAAAAATAACAAACATAAAAATGGCCAAGAATTTTCGCTCACTGGTCGCTCACTAGCCATATTGTCATAAGAAAATGTAATATGATTTTAAGTGGGCACATATAAAATTTAAACAAAATCGTACACACTCGCCATTTTTCAAAACAGCAAACTATAAGCCAAACAAAGTGATACAGGATAGTGTGACATGCTTATGGGTATTCAAATATCAAACATGAACAAAATTGCTGTTACATTTTTAGTTATAATAAAAAATGTAAAATAACAAACGTCAAAATATCAGTCATTTTCAAAATGGCCACCTTCTAGCCAAAGTGTCATAAAACAGTGTGCCATGGCACTGTGATGCCTATTGAGTATTCACATATCAAATACATGTATGAACAAAATCACTAAATTACTGTTAAATCGGCACTAAAATGGCCACCATTAATCATCGTTTTTTTATCTGAACGTCTACCCCATCGGGCATATATGTTCAAAATATGAACAAAATAGAGTGAGGTATAATGCATATCAGTCAATAAGATACAAAATACAGAACATTTTTTGATGGTATGACAGAAGATTGTTCGCTAGACTCATACATAACATTTAAGACCCTAATATTGAAAATTAATAAAAAAAATGTCATGGTTTTTATGGAGCCAAGCTCAAGTTTTTCGCAAGGACAATTAATTTCAGTTTAGAATCTAATTATGAGCGATGGGGTAAAAGTGACAGAATTTGTAAGATGGGTGATTGTAAATGTAAAGATGATATCTCATATAGACTGTTAGAATGCCCTTTCTTCATTAAAGAAAGATAAGAATTATGGAATAAGATTGAGGACTGATGTCCAAGAGAATTAAGCTCCATGTTTATATCATCAGATTTAAGGAATGTTTTAATATGCATTATTGTTTTAAATGTGATGAAGGCATCTGTCAAATAAATAAATAATGAACAAGAACAAAAACTCCCCACAATACAGGGACCATTTCAAAATCTAGATGTTTCATCATCTGAAGATTTACTATACAAAATTGGTACAAAAAAAGATATATTAACTATCTAAATTGAAATTATTAACCTTGGTCACTTCAATTTAACAGATATTTTTATTTGTAATTTTATGTATTTGACACTATTTGTAGTTATAAGTTTTTCATTATACGAGGGGTGATTCAAAAGTAATGGACAAAATTTTATAGGCACGCTTACCTTTACCAGATTTGAATGAAACTTTGTACAAATAAAGATTAATCAATTATCTATTAGATGTTAAAATTTTATTAACTAAATGCAAATACATTTTGAGATGGAGCACTTCTCTTGGATCATGGTGCATACACCCGGAATCCATTTTTAAGGATATTTTCATCATAATAACAAATGGATTTTCAATGAAAAGTTTGCTGGTGCAATATATTTTGCAATGCAAGATGTATATGAAAAGCATATCGCAGTAAGTTCAATAATAATCCATATCATTCCTTATTATTCCTGATGATCATCCATTTGAATTATATTCAATCCTCAATGTATTCTCCTCCAATTTCAATTACTTTCTTCTGTCGGCGCACCCATACAGAGAACACATGCCCAAATCCATCAGCAGCCATGGTGTTCAGCTGTTTTTGTACAGCCATTTGCAGCTCAGCTAATGTCTGAAAGGATTGTCCCTTTAATCCCATCTTAAGGGTGGGAAAAAGATAGAAATCACAAGGAGCAGTATCAGGGCTATATGGAGCATGTGGAAGTTGAGGCATGTCCATGAATGCTGCAAGAGTATCCTGAACTAGCTTGGACCTGTGTGCTGGGGCATTGTCCATGTGTAACAAACGATTGTCTCTTGTGTCTTTCCTTTTCACTGTGACTCATCATTCTTAGAAATATCATTGTGATGTCATAGCACAATTGGTTGCTGATTTTAGAACTCAACAGCAAACACATGGGCATGTGAGTCTTGCTTGACAATTGCATTACCATGCTTGTTAGACATATCATGTGTGGTAATTGAGTCATTAAAACGAAATCAAGCAAAAATGACAAAAATATTCAATTATCATTAAAAAACCAATTCCACCCATGCTTACCCTTGTTACCATGGTTACGCATAGCTGAAACAATTTCAAATGCATTTAAATGAGAATTCGACACAAAGTAGAGAACTGATTGATCTATTCACTGTGAAAAAATTAGACTGATTGGGTGAAATTTAGTATGCCTATAAAATTTTGTCCATTACTTTTGAATCACCCCTCGTATGTTTACTCTTAACAAGCTGGAATTCAGTTTTTTATTATATGCTAACTCTAAACAAGCTGGAATGGTCCCTCACTGCAAAACTTATATGGTATGTTTTGAGAATGATGGACTGTGCTGATGAAACAGTGCAGCCTCAAAACTGTTGATTGACTTGATTTGAATCAAAAGTTAAAATGAATATAATGAAAAACTGTGGTTTTGTGAGCGTAATTGTAATTGGAATAAGTTTTTATGTCAATTGTAATCAGCTATTCAAAAAGCTAAACAAAATGAGAGGATTGAACACAACAAAAGAACCGAATGCTGATTCTATGGGGAAATGTGCATTGATGTGCCTCAATCGAGGTCCAGTCAGATGTCCCGCCTTCAATTTTAAGAGACTCAATGGTGAAAAGGGACAATGCGAGCTGATAAATGGAGTTCCATATGAACTAAATGAGACTTACAATGTATGGAGTATGCAGCTTGAAAACTGTAAGTATAGGAACTGCTTAAAAAAGCAGAAGGTATTTTGAAAAAAAATACATCGTGTTCAGATATCTGATCAAATTCAGAAATTGAAGATTTTAAATACAAAGAAGATATTAAGAAATTATAGGCCTGACAATCGGAATTTTTATTTTTTTTAATTGTGACAATTTTTTGGAACTAATGATCATCATAGCAAAATGTCACATATTTTTATGGTGACATCAGGTTCCCATCAGGGGACATGCATATCAAGTAGGACTGGCACGAAACAGAATCGGAATGGGGGCGGAATTTCGAACTTGCCTTTGGAATTTCAGAATTTCGAACCTAATGTACATCATGTTTATATTAGTTTATATAGCTATTAAGTTGTAAACAACTGGCGTGTATGGTTATAAGTCATTTAAAAAGGTATAAAATCTATAATGAAGGACCCACAGTTTGGAACCTTCAGAGGAATGTATATCCTGACTTTCAAACAAAAATATTGATTTGGATTTGTAGTCTCGAACTTTGAGAAACTTAGATAGCACAGTTGTGTGACCTAGTTTGATGACCTTTGACCTTGAAAATTTTACTAATTCAGAGCTCAATAAGGTCTTTTGTGATTAAGCTGACCAAAATTTACATCCAAAAATCAATTTGAAAAATCAACTTTTTTGACCTTTCCAAGGTCACTGAAGGTCAAGTAAAGGTCAAATCCTTGAACTTCTGGCAACTTGTAGATGATTTTCAAAAAAAAATTTGGTCAAATTAATGCAAGTTGAAAAATAACTTATTTTTACTGTTTTTTGAAGTCAAATATCTCAAAAACGGTAAAAATTTGATGCTGACATATATTAAGCAATATGTAGGGAATGCTTAAATCTTGTAATGATGTAATTCATTGCAAGAAATGATCAAGTATAAGGCAAACTTTGAGAAACTTGTCAATCACAAAACCTGCCATTGACTTTATACATGAGAAAGTTTCCTGAACTTTTTGTCAAATTTTATAGAGTAAACACCAAAAACTGTAATTCCAAGAGCTTTGAAATTTTCAGAGAACATAAGTTGCATATACAGCAACTACTAAAAGTTATTTGAAAGTTCTACTTCAACAAAGTGTCTAGTATTTACAGAAAATTTGACTTATTGACGTCAAAATCCGCAATTTCTCGGAAACCGGGCAAACTTGGGAAATGGCGATGATAGGTCAAATAGGCATTATGGATATGCATATTATGAATGTGGATATGACTCAATCCGAATAACAGTTTTAATTTGTGCGGCCAATGTTGACGGACGGACGGACGGACGCCTGGTAGATCCCATAGGCTCACTGTGTGAGCCAAAAACAACCAGAACAATGGCAACGCCAAAGCTTAGCGAATCCCATCAAACAGAAATGGCTGGCATTTTTACAAACGAAATATATAGCAAATATCATAAAACAACACACATAAGAAAGGCCACCATTTTCAAAATGGTTGCTCACTAGCCAAGTTGTCATCAGAAGAAGTAATATGCTTTTAAGTAGCCACCTATGAAATTATTAAAAAAATCACACACATGTACTTGTAAATGGTGGCCATTTTTTAAAATGGCCACCTTCTACCCAAAATGTCGTAAGACAGTATGCAATGCTTATTAGTATTCACATATCAAATATGAACAAAATCGCTCTATTACTTTTTTAGTTATAATAAAAAATGTAAAATAACACACATAAAATTTTTCAAAGTATTCACATATCAAATATGAACAAAATCGCTCCACTACTTTTCGAGTAATAGTAAAAATGACAGCCATTTTTAAAATGGCCGCCTACTAACCGAAGTGTCATGGGACAGTGCGCAAGGCTAATGAGTATTCTCATATCAAATATGAACAAAATCCCTTAACTACATTTCAAGTTAAAGTAAAATACTTAAAAATGGTGGCCATTTTTTCAAAATGGCCGCCTACTACCCAAAATGTCATAAGACATTGTGCCATGCTTAAAAGTATTTACATACCAAATTTGAACAAAATCGCTCTACTACTTTTTGAGTTACAGTAAAAAATGTTAAATAACAAACGTAAAAATGGTGGCCATTTTTCAAAATGGCCGCCTACTACCCAAAATGTCATTAGACATTGTGCCATGCTTAAAAGTATTTACATACCAAATTTGAACAAAATCGCTCTACTACTTTTTGAGTTACAGTAAAAAATGTTAAATAACACACGTAAAAATGGTGGTCATTTTTCAAAATGGCCGCCTACTACCCAAAATGTCATTAGACATTGTACCATGCTTCAAATATTCACATACCAAATATGAACAAAATCGCTTCACTACTTTTCAAGTTACAGCAAAAATCGTTAAATGATGTGCAAAGGCAGCCATTTTTCAAGATGGCTGCCATGTATTTCTTCTATATTTACATTTCTAGCTTAATCAATGTACAATATAACTTTTTTACATTTAAAACATATCGCTATTACAGTTTTATATGCAGTACCTAAATTACTGAAAAATCGGCACTAAAATGGCCGCCATTTTTAAATGAGCGGCCATTTTGAAAATTGGCTTATGTGCTTGGTATATGTGTACAAAATATGAACAAAATCGGACCAACGGTATTTGAGCTATTGCCCGGACGGACAGACGGACGGACGGACGGACGGATGGACAGACGGACATAGCTGTTCCCTATATCCCTCAGAACTTCGTTCGATGGGATAATTATGAATCATTTATGTAGATTATTTATCACATAAAACAACTTAAACATGTGAACTTTTCAATATTTATATATATTTTCATTGATTTTGTTTCATTCCAGTTGGCTATAGCAAGTTGGCAAGCGCTCTTTAGAGAAAACAATTTTATCATAATTCCAAAAGTATCGGAACATGAGAAGGCAGTTCTGAAAGTCAGTTTGAGTTGCTAAAATTAGACAGTGTGGACAATAATTCCCTCCCATGCAAGCCCTAATAACTAGAACACAGAGGATAAAAAAAATGCAATTTCAATCAGCCAACCCTTATTTTAGCACTCTAAATATGTATACTACATAGACTTTTTCTTAATTCCAGCATACTTCTTGGGCTGCTTTTACGATAAAAAAACTCGTGATCTGGCAGGAGGTTTTTTAACAGACAGTAGTATGACTGTTGAACTTTGCCTTCAATATTGCAATGAAAAAGGTAAATATTTGGATTAAATAGAATGGGATCGATTAATACGAAAAAGACCAAACCCACAGACCATCAACCAGTCGGAGTTTTCCACAGGTAGCCTCAAAACAGGGTTTGAGGAAAATGTGTAAAAGGCCAACCATATCATGTGTAAAAGTCCGACCATACTTATAGGCTTAAATCATTTATATACATGTCAATCCTTGGCAATGTTTTTTACCTATTTGTTCTTTTTGATTAAGTTAAAATGGTTAAAACGAAAGTCAAGCAAACACTAAGGTTATTGACCTGCCAACTATTTCTGCAAAATATCATTGGGGATTTATAAAGCTGGGTTGTCAAAAAACTTTAGGGGAAAATTAAATATGCAAATGAAGGTGGCCATTATCAAATAAGTGATTATCTTCAATATTTTTGAAAACTAAGCACAGAAACATTACAATATTAATGTCTAAATGGTTTTCCTAAAATGGGAAAATTTATCGAAAAACCTTCAAAATGACCACCAAAAACAAGATGGCCATCCAGAAGTTAATCAGCTCTAGAACTTGATAATCTCTATCATGTGTGCGAATTTAGAGATAATACTTGTCAAAAAGTGGCTCATTTTTGGGACACCCGATATTATATATGCTGGGCTTCTTATTATAGGTTACATGTACGCTGGACTTCAATATTGGAAAGAATGTTATTGTGGTAACACCTTTGGGAGATACGGAGCAAGTCCTCAGAGTGAATGCAAGTTCAAATGTAGTGGAAATAACGCTCAAACATGTGGAGGATTGAGTATAAACAGTGTACACATGAACATCAGTCATTTTTAAACAGATTGAACATACAACTTTAGTTGTAGGTAATATTTCAAATAAATGTGACAGTCGTTGAAGTATGGATTTTATAGTGTGCAAAATATAAAGTAGAAACAAATTTAGGACTCATGAAGAATTTGAAAGAAAATAATATTTTGGAATTATACTTAAGGCTTTTCATTTTTTTTAAATATTTGAATTTCCCACCATTTAATAAGAAGAGTTCAGAGTAATTTTAGCATGACTTGCGAGTGACAAAACAAAATGGTTGCCACTTAACTTTAGAAATATTAGAAAAATCTGATTACCCAGGCCAGAGGAACACCAGTTTTTGAGAAACATCATTCCATATGTATACCAAAAAGTGAACAGTGTCTTTGAGGACATGTTACATACTTTTTGTATAAATCATAGAGGTGTCATGAAAAAACTTTAGAATAACTCCGTACAGAACACTTGATTCTGAATGGAACAATTTGGTGATTGGGTCCAGACGAGAGTGAATGCGGAGATTATTTGACATCATACATATGTTTCCTACAAATAAATATGAAGCATAATTTTACTCATGGTTCACACTTGTGTACCAAGATAATATTGTTAATAACTAGCAATAACTCGCCATAGTTAGTGCAACAAAAGTGCATCTATTAGTCATGTATGGATTTCTTGTGAGGAAACAAAGAAATATTCCAGAACCAAACCAAAATATTCATATTTGTTTTGAACGGAGCCTTTTCCCGCCAAATTGGGATAAAATTGGATATCTGTTACACCAGTAATAAATTTTTCATTTATATTATAATCTTTTTCAATTCTAGCATACCGATATGCATTGTCTTGGGGCCATCCCAATTTTCCATGATTTGTCTCATTTTCATTAAGTGTGTGCAAACAGCAAGTTGGTGTGGCACCCTACCACTTGATTCACTACCGAGGAGATCAACGAATTCTTACTAACTTTGGTTATGAACAAAGATAAGTAGCATCTACTCACTTCTTTTTCAGATCAAATATTGTCTAAATAGCTTGAAATAAATATTTGTAGATATAACAACATTCCTGAGTTTTAGTTGCATTGTGTATCAGAGACTTGACATTTATGTGCGTTTGAGCGCAGCGACATTAGCTCATAAATGATTTCTTTAGGCGTTGTGTAAATGGAACAGGTGTATGAGTTGGTGTTGAGTTGTTTTGCATGAGTGCATGTTAGAACGGAGTGTAACTTCATTCTGAGCTTTGCCACGTATCGAGACGCACTTTATTTTATCTTATAACAAACTGGACACTTATTATGGAGGAAGCCAATCTTCTTCAAGTAAAGGAACTTGTAAAAGACGCCTTTAATTCTTTCAAAAGAGAACTGAAGGAAGAAACAAAGACACCGTCTACAAAACTGTTCAAGAAATTTCATGCCGACAGTAACGACAACATTGATTTGAAGCACCGCGGAAATCGTAAGCAACATGAATTCAACGTACAAGTCGCCAATATCATTGAAGAGGCAGCTGAATACCTCAAGAGGCCAGAACAAGCCACAGATTTTGATAAGCAACAACAGCTTCTAGACGAGGTCAAGCGCTACAATACTGAAGGTAAAGCTTTGTTACATAAATGCAATTAATTAATACGTTTGACAGATGGGTCTGAAACGGGGTGGCTAGCTGTCGATGAATACGAACAAAAACCAATCGCCTCAGATAGCGAATATATAAACGCCTTAAGCAATCTGATAGAGAAGCTGCTAGCTCGTAAAATTAAATCACGTAAAGCAAAATCTGGCGGTAGATACTCATATTTCAGGTACGATAGAGGTGGCTTCAGAGGCGGCAGAACGTCATCCACTCATCCTAATACCGAGACCAACCAATGGCAGCAAGGTGCAGGAGGGGAAATGGGTTCAAGTGTACGCCAAAGCCACCAGACATGTAATACAGATGCGGACAAACGGGGCACTAGAGATACACGTGTTCCAGATTTTCTGGCAACGGGTCAGATAGCAGGGTCAACAAGCAAAATTGATAGTCAAAATAAGTTAAGTAACACCCAAAGCGTAAATTTTGAATGTAAATATGAAGATCTGGTTAGATTAGGTGATAAGTTTCTCGTAAAAGACAATTTAAAACGTAGTGCAGAATTTTGGGAAAAAGAATTACATGCAAACGTGTACGTGCTAGACGTAAAATTTGGCTATAAAATAACGTTCATTCAAACGCCACCTTCTATGTTTCTAGACAATAACAAATCTGCTTATGACAATGCCATGTTTGTAGGAGAAGCCATCAGAGATTTGGTTCTTTTAGGTTGTGTCAAGGAACAGTTCGAAGTACCTTACGTGGTGAACCCATTGACAGTAGCGACAAATGCCGTTGGTAAGAAACGTCTGGTACTAGATTTACGTCATCCCAATCTTTATATTTGGAGTGAAAAGGTTCGGTATGAAGATTTATCTATTGCAAAGAATTATTTGAAAAAGGGCGTGGTTCTGAACAGCTTTGACATACGTAGTGGATATCACCACATATCTGTGTTTGAGCAACATCAAAAGTTTTTGGGATTTTCCTGGGTTTTTCAAGGTGTGAGGCGTTATTTCACATTCACTGTTGTTCCGTTTGGTATCAAGACGGGTGGATTGATTTTTACAAAAGTCATGAGAACATTGGTTTCACATTGGAGAGTTCTAGGGCTCAAAATAGTAGTATTCCTCGATGATGCTTTGATTATAAGCCAAAGCACGACAGAGGCCGTACAAGACGTCAAACAGGTCAAGTCAGATCTCGTTCTAGCAGGGTACGTCGTTAACGAAGAAAAGTCAATATTTTCTTGCGTAGAAGAGCTAGTTTGGCTAGGGTTTCGTTTAAATATGAAGCAAGGTAGCATTTCAGTTCCGGAAGAAAAATTGTATTGTCTCAGAGAAATGATATCTGGTATTCTACTAAAACCCAAAGTCACTTTTAGGTCGTTAGCCAAGGTAGTGGGAGTGATTCAATCTATGATACCTGGAATGGGTCGTATTTGTCAGCTTATGACCAAACGATTGAATGTCAAGTTAACCACAGTCATTTGTTGGGATAGTTTCACGTCATTATCAACAGAAGAGAGGAATGAATTGTGTTTTTGGCTTAATAACATGGGAAGTGCGAATTCTGTCTTGTTGCAAGAACAGGTCCCCCCACAAAAAATTGTATTCTCAGAGGCATCTAATACAGGCGGTGCTGGTTTCGTTGTTGGACTGAATGGTCAACCATCTTACAAGTCATGGACAAGTTTGGAAAAAACTAAAAGTTCCACATGGAGAGAAATGAAAACGGTAGAGATAGTTTTGAATTCGTACTCATCAAAATTGCAAGGAAAATCTGTATTGTGGTTCTCGGATAACCAAAACGTTTCTATTATAGTCCAAAAGGGTAGTATGGTGCCAGAGTTGCAAGACATTGCAGTTTGTGTGTTCGAACTATGTCGAAAATTCAACATTAATTTACAGGTTCAGTGGATCCCAAGGGAATTGAATTTTGAGGCAGATGCGTTGAGTAAAATCATTGATGCTGATGACTGGTGTGTACGTTCAGAAATATTTCAATTTCTTGACCGACGTTATGGTAGGTATACAATTGACCGTTTTGCCAGTTTCGAAAATTCCCAAACAGAAAGGTTCAATTCAAAGTTTGTTCAGCCTGGTTCAGAAGGGACAGATGCTTTTTCGTTCAATTGCGGAGAAGATAACAATTGGCTAGTTCCTCCAGTTTCGGAGATTGGCAAATGTATTAAACATCTGGTAGCTTGCAAGGCAATGGGTACAATTGTCGTTCCAAAATGGCCGTCTTCATATTTCTGGCCTATGTTGTGCGTCAATGAAACATATAGGAGGTTTGTGTTGGATACGATAGAGTATGGTAATTCTTGCAAAGTGTTTCAAAAGGGAAATTTCAAAAATACCATATTTGGAACAGAAAAGTTGACTTCACACGTTTTGGTCTTGCGTTTAGACGGTAGTAGAGGTTAGGCTACTTCAAGCAATTTTGTGAACCTGATCAGCATTGAACTTCAACGAGACTGATCATTTTCGTTTTGCATTAGATAATGTTAGATTTTGAGACGTGTTGCGATACCTCGTATGGTATTTGATAACCATTTATTTAGTATCTTAATCAGGTTTTGTATAGGGTTGTCGTGAGCAAGTTGATTTAAACACCCCGTGTGGTCTAACACCTCGTACGGTGTTATGGTGAGTGATATTGTTTTAAACACCCCGTGTGGTGGAACACCTCGTACGGTGTTCTTGTGAGTGATATTGTTTTAAACACCCCGTGCGGTGTAACACCTCGTACGGTGTTCTGGTGAATGATATTGTTTTAAACACCCCGTGCGGTGTAACACCTCGTACGGTGTTCTGGTGAGTGGTATTGTTTGAAACATCCCGTGCGGTGTAACACCTCGTGCGGTGTTTTGGTGAGTGATACTGTTATAAACACCCCGTGTGGTGCAACTCCTCGTATGGTGTTTTGGTATTTGATACTGTCTGAAACACTCTTTGGTGTGTAACACCTTGTTAGGTGTTTTTGTATATGTAGTAAATTTTAACATCCTATATGGTTTAGTATGTCGTACGGTATTTCCTTTGAGATCGAAGTATGTTTAAACATTCCCGTGTGGAATAACATCTCGTCTGGTGTTTTGCATTTGGAATTTGTCACATCGTTGTTCGTCGTAGGTTTCATTCGTTATTAACAATATTTTGATATTTTCAGCAACGACATTTAGACATGCAGCGAATTCATTTATTTTAGGTATTTGTCGGAAGACTAGTATCGATATACATTTCTTGTACGAAGTGTACATACAGGTTTTGTTTACTATTACAGGAGAGAGGCGAATGCATAATCACCGTTCTATTTGATCAACATTGTTTTAAATATTATTACTGGATGTATTTCCAGGCTGGTAGAACATGGTGTCAAGAATTTGGGTGAAATTAAGGACACAACGCTGAAACCGTTAGCCAATGATCTAGTGTCAATGATCGTACATAGCGCGAATAGTGACAACACTGTCAAGAAATACGCATTTTATTTTAGCAAGTGGCAATCTTGGACTAGGTCTTATCCAGAAGTTAAAGGCTTGCCGGCAGAGCCTAGTGCATTGCATTATATGTACTTTCTCTGGGTTTTCTGATCCATGTAATAATCAAGTCGTCACGAATATTTAAGACTCTTCAAAGAGACAAATTAGCCAACACGTATTTAAAAAGGAGTCAATATATTTCTGAGTTGGTTTCTCTTCAAAGCCAAAACTGCAGTTTAAAATCTTTAAGAGACATTACAATGATTGTCATAGTTTTTGCAGCATTTCTACGCTACGACGAACTTTCCAAAATAACATATGGCGTTGTAACATTTCATGGAGAATACCTCAATATACATATTCCTTCTTCCAAGAATGATGTGTATAGGGACGGTTCCACTGTTGTGATTGCTAAGACGGGTAATGCTACCTGTCCTTTTAATCGTATATTTGAAAAAATTATGAACTTATCCAAGGACAGTGCTCAATTTTCTGTTGCAGACACCGATATTGTATTTCGAGGTTTATCTTTCAAAAGGTCAGCATGTGATCAGGTCATGCAACAACAAGTTGTATTCTATACCATACTTTACACCTCGTTACAAAATAACATGACATCATCTTAAGAATAAGCAAATGGCTTGCGGTCGCTTTATTCGTATGTAAATGAATGGGAAGGATAAGTACAATATAATATAAGTACACATGGAATGCATATACTAAGTACAATATATGTATAAATGGAATGCACAAAACAGTTAAGTTTATTTGAGAAAAGTGTTGTACAATTTTTATATAACACAGATTGTTGCATCGGATTTATATTTACCAAAAAGGGTGTGAATATTCTTACATAGTTTATGAAAAATGAAAATACCGATTGATTTTGGGGTCCTTCACACCATTAAAACCTAACAATTAGGAAAGGTATGGAATTACCCCTCCACCTATCGGCATTTGTTAACAGTTTTATTCTGTGAAGTGTTCATGCATAGGCGACCAAAGCCAGAATGATCCTAAATATCCAGCAATCTACCACAATAACAATACAACTCGCTCACTCAGAAACAAACACATGCATGAAACTACACGCCAATCTGATTGGTAACCAAGTTTACAAGTACACAATAGAAAATATTTATGTTCTAATTCATTACACTCAACCGAACATAAATGATTATTACACTAGATTTAGAGAAATTGTAAGTGATTGTCTCAAGGCAATTAATGTAGATCCGAAACTTTTCGTCGTTGATTTTTGTAATAATATTTTTCATACTTTTTCATACTTTTATACTTTCATGCTATTAGAAAGCAATATTGTACTTGTTAAATGAACTATATGAATTCCACTTTGATGTGGGAATGATAATGATACATACATACATACAACGGCAGTCTAATAAATAGGCTAGGGGCTACGAAGAGTCTTGGTTTATAATTCATTAGAAATCATTATTACAGTATAGTGTTGCAATGTTCAGGTTACATATTTTATTGTAATTACACATGTAACATTTTATGGGCCATTTTCCCGTTCTTTAGAATTTTCTGAAAGTGGCAAGCTCACTTCCTTATAATCTGATATCGTTGTTCTGTTGCATCGAGCAAAGCAAAGAATTGACATTTATGTGCGTTTGAGCGCAGCGACATTAGCTCATAAATGATTTCTTTAGGCGTTGTGTAAATGGAACAGGTGTATGAGTTGGTGTTGAGTTGTTTTGCATGAGTGCATGTTAGAACGGAGTGTAACTTCATTCTGAGCTTTGCCACGTATCGAGACGCACTTTATTTTAATAAAATAATTATGTTTTAGAACATTTACATGTCTTTGATTGATCGCGTACCTTTTCTGCATTAATTTGAGGTTTTTAATGGCCGGGATCAATCAATTTCGATAAATGTTAATTTATATTTCTTTGTTAAGTCTTAACGTTCACAATTAGAGTGTTCTTTCATGCTATAAAGGGAATCATGTCATAGTATCGTTTCCTGCGTTTTGTACTTTATGTCACTTGTATTTACCATGTTCATAACAACATGCTGTTACAGAGGCTACTTTTTCAATAAATGAAAGTGGCAAGCTCACTTCCTTATAATTTGATATCGTTGTTCTGTTGCATCGAGCAAAGCAAAGAACTATGGGAACGTGCACAACTGTAAGATTTATTTCGAACAGGACATTAGACCTTTCCATTAAACCTGACGTCATTAGTTCAGTTCTACAAAATAAGTAGTGGTACCAGTGGTCTCCACAGGATTTTTTCTCAAGTGGGTGCAAAATTCTCATTTTTACAATTTAGACCAAAATTAGTCAAAATATGCCATTTTAATGATTTTTCTCATTTTCAAGTGGGTGCAAATGGATTCTCAGGTAGGTGCAAGCCTATTTTCAAAATCTCAGGTGGGTGCTGCGTCCACTTGCTTTAATGCTAGGGGAGACCATTGGCTACTTTTTGGATACAACTTCTAGAACATACATCTAGCCAAGATACACATCAGTTCTTTTATGTGGCATATGATTGAACCTTTTTATTCGAAAGGTTTATTTCTGTGAAAAATAAGATATACTTTTGTTTTCCTAAATGGTCTCTTACCACTAATCTAATGGAAAGTGAAACTTATGCGATGAAGGCTAAGTAGAGGGAACATATGGGGAAAATGTACTTACTGGCCTATCAACGAGGTCCTCCCTAGGGGTGATGACAGGGGGAGCTGTACCCATACCTCGTACAGCATACCAGTGACCTACATGGATCTTCCTATCTATGGATACCCTGACATGGTAGGGTACGTCATGCTCTCTAAATAAACATTTTCACATTTTTTATTCACATCAAGTAATTTTATTCAGTAAGTTAACAGTAAATTATATATTATTGATCAGTTGACATATTTATTTTATGTAACAGATTGCTTCCTTAAGAGAACACTTCAGTACATGTGTTTCGACATGGAATATTTATTTGTCACTTACTGGATGCATGTTGATAAGCCATCCATATGAGGAACCATGAAAAACAACAATATTTGGATATGTTTTCATTATCACAATCGGTGAAATTATAATTTTTCATTCAACTGAGAAAATTCCTGGGAAGATCATTTCACTTGAGAGTAAATTTTTATTTTTCAATAATTAAAACTTCATAATTCTTTACTGTATCTCATATTGATCGAAGAAAACGGAAAAAAATGAGTTTCATTTATGTCCTTAGACGTGTTAAATTCATTTAATATCTCATAAGGGGAATTCGCGGGGACTATAAGTAACATTTGATGTCATTGATTTACCTGATGTCAATGATATTCTCCATTTGGTCAGCTATTTTCTTTGATGCTTCAGCGGCCCCATCTCCCATAAGATGATTGGTCATCATGGTAGTATACTCTCCCTGGGTTTTCTCCCGTTCTTTATTCTTCTTAACAGCAGGGTTGATGACCCGTTTCACCGCATTCATATCCTCCGTGCAGTGAAATGACAGTTTAATGAATGTCTGCTTCAGTCCTGTTAAATGGTTGTGCTGGAAAAAATACAGTTTGCAATTAAAATTTTATTGCTTGATCTAAAAATAAACAATCATATTTATCATTATCATATCACATAGGTGCATTAAGTTGAGATTATTCATCCATTTATTATTTAACAATGTTTGTAGAGAATCACCAATGAGGTTGCTGCTCTCCCCAAGAACCCACTGACGATTCAAAGAGGTATTCGTGACATGGAGAGACAACCAATCTTGTAGAGAAATCGTGTAGAGAAATGGTGGCAATGTGGAGGGGTGTGGAATGTAATCTTTCATGAGTAATCTTTCATCAGATGACAGACACTAGCAATGATTGTGACTTTACTGACTTAACTGTTATGCCACTTCTTTTTCCATACGTTTGTAATTTTAACTGAACCATCAAGGATACTGATGAACACTTGAAGTTAAATCTTTTTTCTTAGTGAATCTAAATCTGAAACTTGTGTTATGTAACTCTTGCAACCAGAATTTAATCCCCAGTCCCCATTGCATAATGATTTACCTGATTGCACAATATGATCAGTTGACTGCAGATATTTCAAAACTTGGCACAGAGATCTTTCCACCCATGCGCAAAAAAGCAATGATTATTCAGTGATCCATTATCAGATATGAACAAACTAGACAATGGCAACTCCGCGGAGTAGAAAATCCCAACAAACAAAATATCAATTACCGAATTAGAATCAATTATACTCATTACTTTGGTTAAAATTGAAAAATTTAAATTTTAGAATTGCGAATTCCTGCAAAGCAGCCATTTTGAATTTTCGAGGTACAAATCAGAAGAATAATACCATAATTGTGATCTACTCCAAAATTCCTTCAATTTGAGTATAATATAGCCATACTTTGAAGGGATTGAAAAATTATTGCGAAATCGTACATTAGATGGCCATTTTGAATTTTACAAGGCTCGAATCAGAAAAAAGATACAATATTTGCAATCTACTCTTAATTGCCTTTCATTTGAGTATAATGAAGCTATACTTCAGAAAGATCTAAAAATTAGCGAAAATTACTGTTTTCCTGACCCCCCATACACAGCCCCTGGGGGTCAGGATGAAAAACACTGAATATATGTGAAATAGATAGATGTTGCGAATATACTACCAAAATTTCAAACAATAATATTAATTACTTTGGTTTAGAATGAAAAATTTATGGTTTTTGCGAAAAAGTCCTGTCATTTTTAAAGCGGCGGCCATCTTGAAAAAAATCCTTCCACTTCCACGGACGGACGGACTGACTAACGGACGGAGGGCTTCACTATATCCCTACCGAACTTCGTTCGTTGGGATAATGACATACCATTGGAAAGAGGAGACACATGGCTTCATGGTAAATTAAATGAAATTGATGTAATCATCACTGGTTTTGTGGTTATACAATGTTTTTGCTTGTTGAGTTTTTTGGGACGCACTGTATATGATATGTGCAGTTGTGGAGTTATTGTTGTCCCTTCATATCATCCTCCTAAGCAGGTGTTCAGAATCCGTACCTCCTTCTTCCCCCTGCTATAACCAATTTGAAAGCGCCCGATTTAACTGAATCACGTGATCTAATTATGCGCAATGACTTATACATGATTTCTGTCGCAGTGTTGCGACAGCCAATCAGATTGCGAGTTCTTAATCGGGGAAATGCTAACTGCTTATCGCAGGGGGTAAAAGAAAGAATATATTCTGGATTTTGAAGCCCTGTGATCGGAGGATGCTTCATATAATCATTACGTTTTTAATCAAAACTGTAAATTCCTCTGAGAAATAACATACCAAATCCAGATCTTCTTTTTGCACAGATTCCACTTTTACAACTTTCCCTGTGAACTTCTTGTTAAGGAAGGAAGCAACCTCTCTTTCCGTGCCTTTCTTCACTTTCACATAGAAGTAGGGCATGAATGGTAAAGAAGCCTGAAAAAATACCTAATTTTAGCAACAAGTGCTCTACATGGTGATGCAAGAAATATACATGAGAAAATTCATTAAAATTACAGCATAGTTGAAAAGGTTATTTCAAAATAAGAGTGCTGCAATTTTTGTGTCACCCTGTATGCATATCATTTGTTTTATGTTATATTTTCAATATATGTGACTTCAATTTATTGAAGAACGTTATAAAAAAATATATCCTTACATAATACTTGGGGTGGGTCAGGCGCCCTCGGACCGAGCCAAGCTGCCCGGGCAATGGGCCGCCTGAGCCACCCACACACATGACAATTTAAACATGTATCATATACAGGGTGTTCAATAAGCTCTTGCGAGTGTTCAGAAATGCCTTTGAATTAAAGGAGGTAGGGGATGGAAGAGTAAGTTTTGAAAAAATAACAATATCAAAATACTTTTTGCTCTTGTCATTCCATGTCATGGCTATAATTCTAAAATGCTCAAAAAAGTGCATTTGTATTTTTATCTAAGGTTATTTGACAAAAGTGGACAAGGGCACATCCCTTTTTCAAATCTAATGAATTGTTTATTACTATTTAAATCTTGCTATGGAAAACATGGACATGCTTTTTGACATTGATTTCCTTTTTTGGGTTCAGTAAACCCATGAGGCTTGCTTATCTATTAGCCTCAAATTTCAAAGGCTATCTTACCTTAAACCTGCTACCATCATCCTGAATAAAGAAATAGTCCACGCAGCTTACAAGACGTTTCTCATCATCCATGATGTCAGACTGAAATGTAAAACAGATTGATTGCCATATGCCATTTTCCTACACACGTTGATTAAAATACAGCTAGCTAGCTAAAATCAAAATTAACTGGATCTGGGGTGAAGCTTTATTTCATGTAACAGATTGCAATCCTCAAGAGAACACATTGTGTTTTCACATGGAATATTTGTTTGTCACTTACTGGATGCATGTTGATAAGCCATCCAACTTTCTCATTAGTTTCTTTGTGACGATCAAATCCATATTTGGAATCGATTTCATCATTTTCAAGTGCTCTTTTCATACGCTTGTCAGTTGCATCTTCTCTTGGTCTGGAAGATACATGTAATTGCAATTAATACTTATGAACAAATATATTATAGTGATATCTGAAATATGTCGCTTACCAAGAGGGTAGGCCTTGCTATAATCCAGACACCATTTCAGTGCATTTTCTCTGTTGGTTATACTTATGCACTTTGTGCTAACAGTATTTTGATGTAACACCATAATTTAGTAATAATAATTATAAAATGGCATTGTTTGATGAAAATGTCAACCAGAAGTCTTGGTTTATAAGGAATACTAAAAGTCAAATTGACATTTGTGATTGGTGTCCATAATAGGGGACACGGTCATCAAAGACACGGATTGCGAACATGGATATTACATGCGGAAACTCGACAAATTTGCTTATAGCTTTGTGAAAACCCATCAACGCAATACATTGCGACACGTAATTGGTCCGCAAATACACTACGGACATGCAAGCTTGTGGAGCTTTCATGAATTATAACTCTGGACCATTGGGATTCGGACCAAAAGGACTTGGACGGCTGGCATTCGGACAATTAGAATTTAAACCATTGGGATTCAGAAAATGGTGTGTCTTCGATCTAGCCTATGCCTAAGTATTTCGACTTGAGCAAAATGAAAAAAATAAATCCAAAAAAGGACAATATTCAATCACTCACTTCCATCCTTCTTGGTCATCTTTTCCAGAGCCTTTCTCTGATTGATAACGTCCACTGTTCTGTAACACCATTCTAGCACATCTACGTTTCGATCGGAATACTGATTATCCTTAATTCAACGTGAGAACGTTACATTTTTTTACTTTGAAAAGTTTTCAAGATTTTTGTTTTCTTTTTTGGCGCGAAGTGTTCCGGAAAGAGCCGAATATGCAAAGTTTCTTTTACTTATTTTAACAATTTATTTGTAAAGAAAATCGTATGATAAGGTACTTTTATATAACTGTACCCGATTCTAGCGATTATTACTCCATAAAATGAGGTATACAGTACACAATATCCTTCTTTTTCTTTTCCTACGGAAATTGCCGAGTAGTTCAAAAAGTATGGCGGAACTTCCGGTACAAAAAATGTGAAGAATATTCTACATAAGTGACGATATCTTCGTTAAGATCTGATACATTTGATAAAGTTGGTAAGAAATTGTTAGCATATACTTATATCTTCCCAAATTATCGATATCGTTCTCTGTCTTTGTATCTAACGTGTAGTTTTCAACTTCCTTCAAAATTTATATTTTTCAATATGTTTTAGACTTCAAGATGTCCCCAGTCCTACTAGGGACATCTCGCATACCATTGAATAGATTGTCGCAGAATTCGGCACTCATAAATGTTAAAATTAGGATGTTAGTTGGAGACCTACCCTTTATTTGACCAGCCCACTTCTTTCCTGTCTCATTTATACAGTTGAAACATGGGGTTTCAATTAGAAGGGTATGCAACTCTGTGTAATAACATGATACTTTCAAAATGAGCATTGCCATGCTTTCCTTTTATGGTAATATTTCAAAAAGTATTAGATAAATGATGGTTTTAGTATTATTTTGAATAAAAATCAATTTTTACAGTGGGGATCATAAAGAATTGCAAAAGCTATGAAAATTACATGCTGTCGCACATGTAATAAATTCTTACCTCAGTATATTCAGTGCTCTATTTTCTCCGTCTTAGTTATTCCAAATATAGTGGAATTTGTGTCCCTAATGACAAATAAGAACTTCAAATGTTGAATTGGATATTCACATGTTATGCCGACTCTTCAAATGTTGAGGTGATTTTGTCGCCCGATTGCGCCGGAACGGAGGATTGGCTCCCAGAATGCAACGTGACACGTGCCAGCTTTCAAAATGCTGTTCCGCCATTTTGAAACCTGTCATGAGTAAATACGGTTAACTGATGTTGCATTCTGGGAGTCAACCGTCCTTGGATAACAAACATGGCGATTCATGAAAACATTCATTCGATTTGGTAGGGACTTATCCATTATTTGCAGGTATGAAACTTTGGATTCGTTTATTGTGCTACTTTAGTGAACGGGAATTATTTTTCTACCACTTCGGAGAGTTTGAGACACTAAACTTGGAAATAAGCTCATTGTGACAACTTGTGAACGTTGAGTTTTATTTTTGTCCCCCACTGTACTATGATTTAAGCATAAAATATATTCAATATCATGTAAAAGTAAACAAAAAAAGACCAATAAGAATAAGAGGTATCAAGATGTTCACTTTGAGTATTGCATTGTGGGTAATTATTCAAGAACACATTCCAATAAAAACATAATTTGTGGGAGAATGTTCACTTTCTGTATTGTCATAATTATGATGAATTCCATTTTTTATTAAATTATCAACATGTATGTAGATAATCATGTTTTTATTTTTGAGTTATTTCTTTGAATCATCAATAAAAAGTACAAAATAAGATTTTCTTGGAATGTGTACATTCTCCAATTTTGAAAACCCAAAGGCAATGCTTATGTATGAAATATGGGAAGTTGCCTACCCTTCTAGTTGAAAGCCCATGGTTGAAATTGTAATTCTTGAGTTCTAATTATCGTAAATCCTTCGTTCTATAAGTACAATGTCCAAGCAATTTCAACTTAGAAATTCTGGTTCCTCTGGTCGTTATGCAAATCTATATGAACACCTAGAAACGAAATTATTATAATAAGATTTCGCTAAAGCTACTAAATGTGTAGCGAGATATCATATTCTTTCGTTTTAAATAAAACGTTTTAAATTAATCGTCCGTTTATGTTATTAAACTAGTATTGAAATAAGGATTTTGATTAGTTAAAAGTTTGACCATGGGTTTTCAACTAGCTAATTGAAAGCCCATGGTTTGACATGCGCATAAATAGGATTTTAATTTTCAAAATTAGTTCCAAGTTTTTGACACAAATCTCCAAATTACTCATGAAATACCAAATTACTTCACTAAAAACGTAGCAGAGTCATTTCGGAGCATTCAAAGATAGGGTAGGTGCATAGTTTATCGCAGTTTGATGCTGCGTCATTATAAATATAGGTATGCGTAATGGCCATTGGGAAAGGCTAATATTTTTAGGCTAGATCTAGTCACATTTCCAGCCCATTTTTGTAGGCCCTTGGCTTCAAATATGCAGCGTATAGTTTACTGTATGTGACATCTGAATGCTTTGTTTTTAAAAAAATAGTCATTTTTGAACTGAAAATTGATTAACATTTCACTCGAAAATTGATTTATTTTCAGTAGTCTAGATCTAACTAATTATTTCTACCATCATCACCATCTAAAATTAACAATGGAGCTTCAGACGGCTGGGCCTGTAGTTCTGGAGACACTCATAGCTGCTTGTAGTCAGAATGCTGAAGAAATGCATCCTGCTGAGCAACGACTCAAACAATGGGAAACACAGCCTGGATTCTATACAATCCTTGTAGTAAGTACATGTACTGTAGCTCTACTTGAATGATTACTGTATGTACCGAACGCCTTGTTGCGATGTTATATATGCAATATTGATGTGGAAAAGCCAGTCAGTCATATAGCTCAATGGTAGAGCAATCGCCTTGTCGTGGTTTTGATTCCCACTTGGGTGGACTGATATAGAATGATTGAATATCTGTGGTTGATTTTATCTGCCACATTATTGTATTCTGTCATGATAGCCTTACTTTGTAGATGACCCGTTATTTATATGCAAACTCCTGATTGGGTTAATCTTGCATGAGATTCCTCCTTTTCCCTTTCAGACCGTTACATACAATTATCCTATTTTTGTTTCAGTCTGTGCTATCTGACCACTCCTTAGATGTCAATGTAAGATGGTTAGCTGTACTTTACTTCAAGAATGGCATAGACAGATATTGGAGGAAGACTGCACCTGGGTAGGCATGGTTATAATCTTGTTGTATTTGATGAAAATATATTGGGGTTTGGATCATAATCTGCTCAATTCAGGGATCAACGTGTTCAAGCAAGATTTCAAAATTAACATCTTCTCCTGCCATTCAAAGTTAGATGTATGTTTCATGTTCTGTCTGAGGATTGAATCTTTGCAGGGTGAGAGGTGAAAAAAACAAGACTGAGGTACAAATACCATAAAACATACAAAGAGAGTGACTGTTAAAAGCCACATCCATTTGAGTTCACATAACCTTTCGAAGAGGATAAGTTGAAATGCATGTAGCTTTCACTCCTTTCTCTATAATGTCATCTTTGATTGCAAAGTTTTAATCAATATAGTGGATATAGTATACATACCCAATAATTAAGAATCAGAATCATGTTGATCCATTCTACCACTAATCAAAATATTAGATTAAAAGCATAGACATGATAGATACATGTTATCTGATATAATTATGCTAACAGAGACACGTAAGTTTGAACAATTCTTTAGATATGAACAATATACTAATCTGCAAAATGTTTGATACAATATGGATGTACTAAAAATGAATATGCATTTACTAACAATGAATATGCAATTACTAAAAATGAATATACATTTACTAAAAATGAGGTCTTGACCATCAGGTGAGTCTGGCAAAATTGGCTGAAATGTTCAATAAGGAGTGACCCTTTGAGATTCATAAGATTAAACTGTATTTAATTGATAATAAAAAAGTATAGTACATCTTTGTTAATTTGTAAATGTGTTTTCATTACAAAAAATTAACCATAACATTTCTGTTGTTATTGTCAATATACTTTAAATTGATGCTTCAACTTCAATACAACAAACTATCGATAACATTGTGTTTTCTGTTGAAGATTTCATTTTTGGTATTTCCTCTCCATTCACTCCAATGTTTTCACCTGATTTAGCCCGCATCACCTGGTTGTCCTTAAAGATAACGAATCCAGTAAAAGACATGCTGCAGTCAATAATTCATAGTAAGTAATGTACAGTGTATGTTGCATGCTTTCTCATGTTAAACACTAAATTCTATACCTCATTCAATTACCTTAGTGGATGGTTGTTTAAAGGTTAGCAAGGTTACCCTTTTACACTTCCTGAAAGTCTGTTTTGTAAAAATGTACAGTAGGATTGAAAAACTGATTAAAAATGTTTGGAATACACGATGATTGCTTGATGTAAAAACTTGTTGATTATCAGTTCCCAGGGGTTTCACTAGAATTTCTCACAACAGGCTAAATAAATGAAGACAACAGGCAAAATTAATGGAAATCATAAATTTAACATGGAAAAGTTGAAAAGGCCCTAAAATTACAGGCGATTTTTGTGAAAACAACCGGTGAAAATCTCCTGTTGCCTACTTCTAATGAAACCCCTGAGTTCCAAACACAGTACGTTTTAATGTATAGACAAAGACCACAAACTTAGCCACTGTTGAACTTTGAAGAACGAAAGTCTTATTATGCACTTTTCATTTCAGCTAACCAGAAGTAATCTTTCAAATCAAGGGAAGAGAGATATATGTTTAATCTCATAAAGCTGGGATTAATCAAATTGTTTCCAATAATTGTATAATGTGCTGTAAATGAGTTTTACAAAAACACAATGATACACGTTATATATCCAGCAGTATTGTGGCAGAATACCTGTTAGTTTTGATTATTATTTTTCATTATTTTTTCAGCGCAATACCAGAAACCGAAAAGACTTCACTAAGAACACAGCTGATTTCTAAGTTTAATGAACCAGTTGATCAGGTAGAGTGTTCTCTAGTTTATAACTGAGGTTACTTTTATTTTTGAAAAAGATAAGGTCTACAAAATTAAATTATAGACCCCTAATATCAACATTTTTGAGTCTTCTGTCATTAGAACTGTTATGAGATAAAGTGCCATTCACAGACAATGTTTTGATCTATAATGAATCATTGCCGAAACAGCACCAAATATAGTGTCTCAGAAAGAGCACTAAGTGAGAAATATGATGAATACGTCATCAACACAAGTAACATATTGTTGTCTCCAACTTTTTGTGGATGCTGTCTGACGTTCTGCAGTAACAAATGGCAGGTGGTGACATTTTGCATGTCAATGCTTTGTTTTATAGATTGCTGTGCAGATTGCAGTATTGATAGGCAAGATAGCCAGATTAGACTGCCCCAGGCACTGGCCTGAGCTGATGCCTACATTATTAGAAGCTGTAAAGTGTAAAGACACATTTATTCAACATAGATCCATGCTGACTTTGTACCATACTATTAAGGGGCTTGCTTCGAAGCGTTTAGCTATGGATAGGAAGGTCTTTGAGGAGGTATTTGTTTGCAATATTTTTGTTATTTAGAGATACAATAGAGCAGGGTCAATTCTGGTTCGGTACAATTCTCGGTTCTTGCCTATTGGTTTTGGTATGGTTTTTTGGATCATATACTTAAACATTTCTTGGTTCTTGCCTATTGGTTTTGGTATGGTTTTTTGGATCATATACTTAAACATTTCTTGGTTCTTGCCTATTGGTTTGGTATGGTTTTTTGGATCACATACTTAAACATTTCTTGGTTCTTGCCTATTGGTTTGGTATGGTTTTTTGGATCACATACTTAATATGTTGGACCTCATTATAGATAGCTATTGATGACAGAAATGTGGCAATATTTTGTCATGTTTCACGTTTACTTTGTATTATTAGGTGATATCATTTTGTTTTTAGCAATGTTAATTTGATGAATATAGAAATTTGATAACTGATTGTCATTGGATCATATACGTAATACATTTACTTTGTCATAGATTAAGGTTTTACAGTATGTCCAACAATACAAATATGTATGTCTACCTTTATCATTTTCAGTTTACTACAAATGTGTTTGGTTTTATCTTGACACTTTGGAACTCTCAGATGGAGGAATTCTTACATTCTGTTGATAATGCAGAGACTTTGGAGCATAAACAGCTGTTTGTTCTTATGGCTCACAGTCATCTTACATTGAAAGGTATAATTGGATGTGACATAAACACAAGCACAAATGCCTCAAAGCTAGTTCGTTAGTTAAAAAAACTTTATCCTCAAAAAGAAGTTATGATTTTGGCCCATTGGTCCAAGTATTACAGTACACATGTACTAGTATAGTATACAGGGAATTGTAATCTGGTGGGTGATTCTATTTTAAAGTCCATGAAAATGCTTGAAAATTATGTAAAACTATGATATATGAATATGGGGGAATATGTATAACCAAGTTTATTGAAGTTATAAACTGTGCACATGCAGTGGTCAATTTATGCCACACAGGTTTTTTCTAAAAATCTTCAGGCTTGCAAATATTGAATTCCTTCATTTCAGTTGCAAGAAAGCTCTGTGTATTTGGATTCAAAGATACCTCAAAGAATGAACATTTAGCTTCATTTCTAAACATGGTCTTCAAAAGACTTAAGACCATGCTAGACATTAGTAAGTATAACCTGCCTTCATTCCTTGGTTTTTAAGTTTAAGTTATGTTTATTGTTCCATTCAAAATATTTACAAACATTAATGACAGTGGGTCACAGAGCATATATTGTGTTTAAAAAATATCAAGGTCTAAGAAAGTAAAAGAAGTGAAGTATTGGGACATAAAAGAAAAAGCGAAAGGTCTGCAGAGTAATCACAAGTACAATTGATATGCTGAAATTTTGTTCTTTAAGGGCTATTTACTGAATTCAGGGATAAATCATTCATCATATAAATATTCCTTATTTTGGCCACAGAAGCAAGGAATCACCTAAATGAAGATTTTTCAAACAGGTTATTATGGATATATAACTGAAAAACCTGTGGAAGTGGAACACATAAATAGGTACCTGTAAGTAGTGTTCCACTTGAGAACTGTTCCACTTGAGAAGTGTTCCACTTACAGAGGTTCATTAGAGTTTACTGTATATAATAGAGAGCTTTCGATATAAGTTATTTGGAATACGTATACGCAAATCTGTACTTGTACAAGTCAGGTATAGCACTAGGGAGGAACTCTTGAAACAAGAAAGGGGACTCTCATCCTTCAAATCACAACAAAATATTCAGGAAGTATGTTGTTCGTGAGTTCCGGTTTCAAAATATGATTACAACTTAGAAATTAATTCTCCAATTGCTGATATATTCATAAATCAATCCTTTCGATGAGGAAACGAGGACATTTTTTCTTGTGAAATGTTTCGTTGAGAACCCTTGCTCTCCAGTGGTGTATAACACTGTCTATATCATTTAAAAGTTAAAGTTGCAGTATAAGTTTGGCTGAAAACTTATATCAAAAGCCCTCTAGTGTCTTCTGTATGCTAACTATTGGACATCTCATTGAACTTATAGTATTAATTGGAGGCTGTCAATATATTACAGCGCATGTTTGTTTTTTTCAGAATTCGCTTTATTTCAAATCTCCAATGAACTTCAGCCAAAAAGGGAGAAAATGATTATATTGCTTTCTAAAGTGGTAAGAAATATTTTATACGTGGAAACCTTCAAACAAAATAAACCCATTGTTCAATTTAAGGATTTCTTAATAATGGGATTTGCTACAATATGTTGTTGATGATATTATTATAAAATAATAAAGTCTAACCATATTTCTAGAATTAGTGTATATTTAGAGGTTTTGTCACTATGACATGAAATATGCCTAAGTTCTCCCAATATAGGGCGATCTTGGGAGGCTGTATATTTGGGCAAGAACAAAGGCATGTTTCACTTCATAGTGACATAAATGATGTATTACATACCCTTATTCCCATGGCTTCTTTGTATCAATGACATCGCACATCTGTGTGCGAGAAGAATTTGATTGAAATGTAACATGACGTCATGATATTGATATGGTTATTAAAGAAATCTAATATATAAAAAAAACTAGGTAAGTGGGCTATATCGGGGTAATGGGGCAATATCCGTGGATATAGCCCACTTACTTTCCAATTGACTCCCATACAAATACTTCGCTAGGTATGTAATACAATAGGTAACAACACTTTTGTCTTTTCTGCACAAAAATTCAACCATATCTGTGTTGTTTTTTTTAACAATAAACATTACATAAGTGACACAGATTGTGTATGTTCCCGTGTTACATAATTATACTTTACATAATGGGCATCTGCTTGTGTCCACTTCTTATTCCTTAAAATTATATTTTATGGTTACCTGTAGCTTTAATATGAGGTAATACAATATCAACTTGGCAATACTTGTGTGTTAATAATAGCGGTGTCAATTTACCAGGTTGATCGTTGACCGGTTAACCGAGGGTTTTTATGAGTACAGGTGGGAATTTGAACATTTCAGTTATTAGATGTCCAGGAAACATATTCTCATGCCTACATTCCCTGGATTAGAGAAAGTTTGGAGCTAACAGTGCAATACAACTTTGGTGAACAAAGAGGTGAATCCCTTACAATTATTATTAATTTATTGATAGGTCAACCCACTCAAGAAGACATTTTCAAAATGGCTACCAAATTTCAAAATGGCTGCCATTTTAAGTAAATAATGTAATCTTTGATAATTTAAATACCAGTGGAGGGATTTTTCTTCAAACTTTATATGCTGATGCCTTGAGACAAACAAACTCTGTTTGAGAAGAAATTTTCAAGATGACAGCTGAATTTCGAAATGCCCACCATTTTTCGTTAAAAAACGTAAGCTTTGATAACTCAAATACCAGTGGACAGATTTGGTTCAAATTTTATATGCTAATGCCTAGAGATAAAGGAGCTCTGCTCAAGGAGAAATTTTTAAGATGGCACCTGAATTTAAAAATGGCAGCCATTTTTTGTAAAAAAACTAATCTAATCTAATTTGATAACCCAAATACCAATTGTCGGATGTGGTTCACATTTTGTATGCTGTGAAATGTTCAAGAAGAAATTCAAGAAGATGGCCACCATTTATCAAAACATTTTTTGTTCGTTGGGATTTGCTACTCCAAGGAGTTGCTTTTTTCTAGCTCTAATTGGTGTGATATTTTACACTTGATATCTTTTTGATTATTAAAAACATTTTGTCACAATTATGAGTGTATTTTTAGGCCTGGTGTTTGATAGATTTACGGTGAATTGCTTCAATCTTATTAGAGCGATACTTCGCAGTGATGCATACAGGCCAGCTAAAGTGATATCAGGTTTGTTTGGATAAAAGCCTAATAGGGCAAAAGGCACATCCAACAATATAAAACAAAATTACAGTAAAAATATTTAAAAGAAAAATAAATAAAATAAAATAAATATGAACTTTTTGTACACTTGGTAACCACCACTTAAGATAAATTTTTTTAATTTAATTCTATTTATTACCAATATTAGCCATTTAACACACTTTTTCGAAATCTAAAAATTTGCCTTACATTTTCAGAGACAGAAAATCCCAAAATTATCGAAGCATATAAAACAAAAGCTGAATTCTTCACATACAACACACTGGCAGAAATCTGCAAGAGAATTGTGTCCCAGTATTTCCTGCTGTCATCTGAAGATCTGAACTGTTGGGATACGTCCCCTGAAGAATATAGTAAGTACATTCTACCCCGAGGTGATAGGTTACAAGACTATCCTCCGAGTCTTACTTTAAGGCAATATCTATTTCTTTATGTTTTTAAAGTTGTAATTACTGCACTAGATATAGACTACTGACCAGGTGTCACTTAATTAAAAGTGAGTTTAAATGAAAAAGAATAAAATATATATTTTAATTCTTAAATATGTTTTTTAGATTTACTTATTAATAGTCTACAGCCCAACATTTAGTATTCATTATTCTGTTTGTTTTTCAGTATCTGATGAAGGCGGAGACTCCTGGAAGTTTAGCCTGAGGGTAAGAGTGGCATTCACTGGGGGGGAGGGGGTTGTGTGTACCATCAAAAGATAATTGTTGAAAAAATTACGTAGATGCTGGATGATAGTTACCAGTTTCACCAACAGGTTGCTCCGCAGATTAGAAAAACCTCAAATTTCAGAATTGATTAACAGTTTTCAAAGTCACATTTTTAGACATAATTTTGGACTTAGATTTCAAATATTGTTTCAATTTGAAATTTGACTAAATTTTTGACAGAAATATAATAATCAAGATTATTTCTATTCGCATCTAGTCTGAAGGAAACAATTTCCCCTACATTCCCATTATGCTTTAGAAATGAATTACTTGACGAATAAACTTGATACATAAACATTTGCTGTTCTTCCCTGAATATGATTATTTTTTCCAGCCTTGTACAGAGAATCTCTTCCTTAGTCTTATTAAAGAATACAGAAGCAGCTTAACCCCTGTCGTGTTGGAGATAATCCGTGAGTGCCATGGCCCTATAGATCCTGATGATGTCACGGCAGTGTTACGGAAAGATGCAGGTAAAATCAGCGAGCCTTTTTGGTAGTTATGGGTCAGACATCTGGTTGAATATTGAGAGTTCTTCAATGGGCAAGTTCACTGTCGATAATTTTATATTGTACTTTAATTCAAAGCAATCATTGACCTTATTTTGATTTGGACATGGGAATCTGCTGATTTCATTTGACACCAAGAGGTAAAAATATAATTACCCTCAATTCACCTCTAGCTCGTTCAGATTTACAATATGAAGTAAAATATACAACATACAAGATTTCTGATGCATTAAATCACACAAAATTGTTTCAGTATACAACTGTGTTGGCCTTGCATCGTTTGACTTGTATGACGATGTAGACTTTGACCAGTGGTTCAACACTTCTTTAATACAGGAGCTCAAGATTAAGCATTCCAAGTATGTATGTCTTATACAATTTATTGTTGTAACCATGGAACCAATGATATCATATAAAAACAAACAATAGACTAAAGAAAGAAGAATTCCTAAATATTTTGAGAAATATCTCAATATTCTTAAAGAGTGAAGCCCATTTTCTTTCAATCCATTTGATTATCCATCAATTCATTTGTCCATCTGTTTGGGCAATAACTCAAATACCAGTACATGTAGATTGATTTTCATATCCATTTTATTATTAATTCCAGCTATAGAATAATCAGACGAAGAGTAATTTGGCTGATTGGTCAATGGGTGGGTGTGAAAATGTCCCCAAATCTGAGGCCAGCTCTGTATGAAAACATACTCCCTCTATTGGCAGACACTGAAGACATGGTTGTGAGGATAGAGGCTGCAGACACTCTCAAGACTTATATCCTTATACACATGATTACTTCCTCACTCAGAGGTTTTATTTACTCGACTCTCAACAAGAGTTTACAGTTCAGAATTGTTCACATTGTTTAGAATTCATGAGTTCAATGGCATCATGCTATACACACCATTCTATCTTATGATATCATGTAAAGAACAAGGTCTTCTCCAGGCATGTACATGGTCAAAGGTCAAGTCAATATCAAACTGAATGTTGGATTGAATGTTAGATGCAAATGAGGAAATTTTAGGTCACTGTCAATGTTTAATGGCCATCATTTTCATTCAGGAAAAAAGGAAGGACTTGTTTGTTAATATTGACTAAGAAGGTATGATATATTGAAAATAGATGATAACTTTGATGAATTTTTGAATTGCTATCTTTGATCTCTTGGCCTTGGATTAATGGAAATGACTTAGAGTGGTATTAGTATTGTCCCTTTGATAAAACAAGATTCTCCTTGACTAACATCACGTGTGGATGATTTTGAATTCAAGGTGGAATCATTTTTACCTTATTTGGAGTCCATGTTTGGGCTACTATTTGGTTTGCTAAGACAAGTTGAGGAGTGTGAAACCAAGGTAAGAATATATTATCTATAAAATTTATGACTATATTTGTGCAAAACTCTATTTATTCCTTTTATTTAGTATATGACTTTTTTGCCTTACAAACAGCATGGTCTCCATTGATAATATTCCCCACTTTTCAGATGCATGTTCTAAATGTGATGTCATTTGTAATAGAGAGAGTCGGTGTTGAGGTGAGGCCGCACTCCCATGCACTGATTCAGTATCTCCCCCTTCTCTGGCAGGAGTCTGAAGATCACAATATGTTGAGATGTGCCATTTTGACAACTCTTGTGCATTTAGTACAGGTAGGTTATACTCTACACATGAAAATTACATCAGGCCCCGTACAAGCCTCAAGAATTATGAGTTATTACAGGCAAATTGGAGCACGATCCTCGTATGGAGTTGTTTTCAAGGCCCGTACAAGTTGTACAATGCTCGTAATTGTTGTTTTTGAGGCCCGTATGAGTATGTACGAGGCTCGTAATTTTGAGGCCCATACGAGCTCGTACGCCCGTTATGAGACTATTTTACAGCACAAAAAATGTCATGCTTCAGGTATCTATCTGTCAAAACATGTTATGTATGTTTAACCACTTTAAACATTTTTCAAACATTCGATAACTATGATGTTTATCTACATCACATTTCAACTTATTTCAATACCTCACGCAAATGTTTTTATATGCATTTACTTCACTTGTAGAGAAATATGGTGTCTCCTATTGGTAACCCTCCTGTTTATTTTGTTTATGCGTATACTTTGAAATTATCGAAGACATAATAATTCATAATTAGATATAATTAAAATGTAATTTCTCAAGTATGCTTTTTTTATTTCATCGATCTAAAAGTGTTCATCAAAATAGATGAACAATTACGAGCCTCGTTCAAGCCCCATACGGGCAAGTACAGTGCTCGAAAATTACGGCCTTGTTACGGGCATCGCACAGGCAAGTACAAGGTTAAAATTACGAGGTATTATGGGCCTCGTTACAGGCACCGTACGAGCAAGTACGGGGATCGAAAATTGTGATTTATTACGGGGCTCGTTACGGGCACCGTACGGTGAAGTACAGGGTCGAAAATTGCGAGCTATTATGGGCCTTGTAATAACAAGCTCTTACAACTCGAAAATTACAAGCAATTACGAGACTTGTAACGAGGCCTGTACGAGGTTGTACAGGGCCCGTTAACTCAAGGAGCTCTGTAAAGGCTTGCACGGGGTCTTATGTAATTTGCCTGTGTAGTGCATTTAATACAGCTGGTAGGTTGTTTTATACAAGTAAGTTATTCTCTTGCATTTTGAGAACAGGTTGTTTATACACTAGTGCATTAAACTAATGTTCTACTATTGATGAGAACATTCAAGTTACTCTCTATTGGGCAACATAACAATAAAAGAACATAAATAAAAGTACATGTAAGCATTTGATGATACTCAAAGATAATGGGCACTTCATCTCATAATATTTCATTTTATTCAAGTCTTGTTAATATCCGCTTCATGTGATCCAAAAATAAATTGTTACATTAATACAATTCGTTCAATGACATTACGTTCAATGACATGTTGACATAGTGGATAAAATGGCTGAAAATAACATTTTCCTGACATGATTGCCTGGTCTAAAACTTCTCTGGTAAATCTATTTTCGAAGCGAGGAAGTCAAAACGTTCATGACAGAAATCATATAAATCAATTGAAGATCATTTAGAAGCATTTAAAATTGAATTGAATGGCAGAAATTGAAAAAAGAAAATCGCTTATGAGTGGATGTTAGAGATCATACTTCCAGTTTTATATCTTGGTTTTGTCGATCATTAAAATATTTCATTTATTTGCCTGATATCTTCTTAGATGTGGTATGTATATTCAGTTGATTATTGAATTAAAAGATAGGTTGTCCAGTCTGAGTATTGAATGTCATTTGGTCTTGTCCTGGGTTATCCCCCAAGACTATAGTCCTGGACCGAGCGCAATCTTTTGCCTGTACGATTACAACTTGGGAGAATTATTTACGCCCCTTACACTTAAGATACCTCTTTCAATAGATTACTGGGTATTTTAGCATTCTTTTCGTGTACTTGAATCCACAATTGTCTGAGTATATTGGCAGAACAGGAACATTTTTCTTTTTCATCGAGAGAGATTCCATCACTTTTCAAGATGGCGGTTGGATTTAAAATGGGATTCCCCATTTTGACTGGCCTGGAAGTAGCAATAAATGGAGGAATTTGACGGTTGAAATAAGTTAAATATTACACACAAATATTGCGATCAAAAACGAAAATTTCTTTGTTCTGCCGATAAACCCAGACAATTGTTGATTCAATTACACGAAAAAATGCTAAAATACCAATGAATCTATTGAAGTAGGTATCTTAAGTGTAAGAAGCGTAGAAATTTCTCCCATGTTGTAATCGTACAGGCATTCTCAGGACTATAGTCCTGGCACGGGATAAGTCCTGGGATGTAATTAAACTGCTTCAATATCTTAGAATTCCTTAAATGGACATGTATGAGTATTCACCTTTAACTTATTTTTGATTCCAGGGTTTAGGAACCTTAAGTGTTTCAATGTACAACTTTCTGCTACCTGTGATACGACTGAGCACTGACGTCCATGCTCCTCCACATGTATACCTATTGGAGGATGGCTTGCTGTTATGGCTTGCTACTCTACATACATGTCCCACTATTACCATGGAGCTGTTGCAACTGTATACAAACATGCCAGAATTATTAGGTAGGGACTCATCAGCATCGCGTCTGTTCCAGTCAAGTTAATCAAAATGCACAATGTAGATTTTCACTAATTTGATCTTAATCCAATCATGCCAATACATGTGTTTTTAGAGCGGGGAGCAACCATACTTTGGCCATAGCTTCCCAAAATCAAGAGATACAGTATGAGATATAGGGATGGGCAGTACGATGTAGATTTTTATATTAATTTTGTGAAGCTACAGCCCCTCATGGCTGCGATAGAGCAAATGTGACTAAGGCTTGAATGTAACTTTATGCATGTGTTTTTATAGAGCTGGGATCTGATACATTGAGGGTGTGTTTAAAGGTGATAGAGGCCTACCTGCTCTTGGCCCCTAATGAGTTCATCAAAATGTACAACAATAGTCTGCTGAACTCTCTAGTCAATATGTTACCAGAAATGAGATCTGAAGGACAAGTCATGGTGTTAAAGGTATGTACAGATACAGGGTGTCCCAAAAGTTCATGTACTCTGATGTCAGTCATGTTTTGTACACTGAACCTACAGCCCTCTAATTTTCCCCCATGTATTTTTCTCAAGGCAATAGTTTAATTAGATACATATTAAATTAGGGTGGGACACAGCCCTTTGAATATTTTAGTATTGAACTTAATGTATTACAGTTCAAGTGTTATCAACCTTACCCTCTATTTGTTGGTTCAAGGGTGGGTTGTGGGGGGGGGGTTCAGTTCTACTCTCATTTAAGAAAACAAGGTAACTGCGCGTGAGGGGCTCTCTTGTTCCTGACATCATAATCATGTGATCTCTGTTCGGGATTGATCATTCTTACCAGTTTTGCTTACTTAACATATTTTATAGTACCAATTTCCCATTCCCCTTGGTAAATTGTTATATTTTCATGAATCCAGATATTGCATATTAACTCTTCCAGATCCATTTCTGTAATAACCCATCTATTTGAAACATCTGGTTATATCGCACTGAATTTTATACCATGTACATGTTCAAAATAATGTCAAATGTGCTCATGTGTTATACCATCAGTCATATGTCAATGTAATGTCATTCCACATGTTTCAAATCTATTATGAATTGTAGTTATAAATCAAGCAATTTAGTTAGGGTGTCTACTAAACATATGTTCAGCAACGATGTTCTCTATGACCAATCATTTTGACAATTGATATTTGCCAACATTTTTCAATATTAAAACACATGTTTTTTATTTGCTTTTCAGTTGGTTGAACTTGTTTTCAAATTGTTTCCATCTGAAGGTCCTCAGTTATTCAGTCCAATCCTACATGGTTGTTTAGAGGGCATGTTGGACGGTGAGGTATGTACTACTTGTAAACGTAAAAGTCAAAGGATGTTATTTCCCATAGTTCAGAGATTGCCACTGGCATGCAAGGATCTCCTTCAATGACCCACTTGATGAACTCAAATCATTGGCCTATAAATCATCTCCACATTTTCTAAACTTGCTTAAAGTTTGATTTGACATCTGTAATGTTACATTTTTGTAACCAATTGTAGTTAGTGACATTTTGTCATGGTAATGCCTGGTTTACAGATGTCATAGACCGTGTCATGGCAACTAGCTTTCTACCTTGAATTTCATCTTGAGAATCCCAAGTATTCTTATCAACAATTGACAATTTTAAGCATGATTATATGTATTATTTTCAGGAAATCCCTATGGTGATGGCAATGCACATATCCCTATTAGCCAGGACACTACTACAAAATTCAGAGTATTTCTGGAGTTTTCTAGAACAGTTCGCCAAGTCTTCCAATAATCAAGTATGTTATTAAAAAGAGTCAATGTATCAAATATGTGCAGTAAACCACAAGCTTGTAGTGTGATTGTTTAGGCTAGTATACAATTAACTAAATGCTTTAATCCAGTACAAATGGAATTTCGTTAAGCTGCTAAACACTGAAAGCCACAAAAAATAGAAATTTTGGGATCATTTTTTGTCTTTTTTGACCCTATATATCAAAATATTTGGTTCTCACAAATGATATTAGGATCACCAGTTTAACTAAGACAAGAGCGGGTCTAATCAAGTATTATACCGCTTTTTAGTCCAGAAATTGGACATAGATTCAAAAACATGTAAAATGAATATGAGTGATTAGCTTTAGTATTTGAACTGAATTGATTGAGAATTTAATAATGATTTGATTTTATTTGTAATATGTAATATAGCACGCATGAAATGAGCTGTCTGTATCTCAAGTTAATTGACTAACCACACCTGACCAATTTATTAATGTAATGCTATACTAAAGCCTACTTAGTTGCCATTTTCATTTGTTACTGCAAATTATTCAAAAGTGTCTGGATTACTAAGAGTTTTATTTTTTTCATGTCACCCTTGTTAAACATTTTCTGTTGCCTCGTTTCTTTTATTTTTATGTTCTTCAAAATTTTTCTGTACAATTTTTAAAAAAGGTTAATCCCGTTGTCAGTTCATCCAAAATATTTCATGTTAAACATACAATTAACCTGTTGGGACTAGAGATAATGAAATCCAAGTATCATAGTGCTATATTATTAGATTAAGTTAGGGACTCATTAGTACAGGTAGGTCCTACCCCAAGTCATCTAGTTTTATTTCAGAGTAATGTGATATTAGAAAGCTACCTATCTGTCTGGGTGGAAAGATTAGACAACATAACTCAGTCTGGTAGAAGGAAGCTCAGTGGTCTAGCAGTTGCCTCATTATTGACTTTTGACTTGAGGTATGTTAAAATTTGCATGCATTTTTTGGACAGAGGAAAAAGCCACTGTCCATCTTTGTGATAACTCAATTACTTATAGCCTTATTCTCTAATTATAGTAATATTTTATTAGAATATTCCCTATGGGTATGGAAGTTCTTCGAAGGTATAATGTGGTCATAACTTCACAAGTATTCTATCAATTTTCTTAAAATTGTGTATGTACCTTATTTATAGGTTAACAACAATGAGGATTCAAAATGGCTGCCACTTACATATATTATAGAAATATCACTTTTTATGTTATAAATCCAAAAATATATTGATTTGCTAAATTGTACAGACAGCTAAGTGTATAATATCAGATAACAATAATGTCTAGAATGTACTTTCACCATGTGAGCCCAGTACCTATGGTACTATTTTTTTGCATTTAGATATATCCGCATTCTTGGCAACACAATTAATGAAAGGATAAACATTCTTTTTGAAGTGACTACCAAATAATATTTGCTACTTGGTGTCAAAAACTGTAACATATTTTCCTAATAATACAAAAAGTGCATTGTGATTTATTTCATGTTATTTGAGCAGATACATTATCAAACAATATCTTTGGTTGTTATGGATTTGTATCTGAATCTAAACATGTACTTCTCAAATTCCTGAAATAAATACTAAACCTCACGCCTATTAGAGAGACAAGATGAACTCGCAAATTGAAAATCTAATCTCATTATTAGCTTACACAGTGAGCTATTGCAATCGCCCACTTTTACTTTTATGTTGTACTTCGTGATTCTCTGTTATTCTTGAGTTCATGGTGGCTTTGAGAATGCCTCTGTACATTTATATGTACTTTTATACATGATGTGTTCAAGGATCTGTTAATTGAGTTCTTTAAGCCTAGTTATGTCTCAGAGTTAACATAAATAACTCGTGAAATCAATGCAGGGAAGTTGGTGTTCCCATGGATTAAAACATTATTTTTTAACCCTTCAGTGCCCAGGTACCTGTTTTTAAGGAAAGAAATGAATTTGAAATTTACCAATAGTGACTTTGATATTAAATTAAGATGGAACAAGAAGCTTTATTTTGAATACTACTAAAAATGACAATGATGATAAGAAAAACAAAATCAATTTCTCAAATAACCTTAATTTCAAATTTTGAATGTATGGTTCTAATCTCAAATCCTAATGAATGGTGAGAACTGAATTTTAAATATATTTTTTGAAAATTTTCAGGCCTGTTATTGATAAATTCCCAGATCTCATCAACATATGTGTAGAGGTCTTGCATGATGTTTGTAACAAACAAGAGGATGAGGAATATTCTGAGTAAGTACTGGAGTAGAAGATAAAAAGTAGTTACTCACCAGGAGGGATTTGATATGGGAAATATCACAACGATGATATTAATATTCCTGAGGGAATGCCGTGACGAGGGAAATATCGATATCATCTGAGGAATATTACCCATATCATCCCAACAGGTGCATAACGACCTTATATCATGGTCAAGAGCAATATCTTCCCAAAAACTTCTGTTGAATGAGAGAAAAAAAGGATTGAATCTTGGAATTTTAAAGTTGCATATTATTCCACTCCAAAGTACATTGAGAATTTAAGAGCAAGAAAAACATAATGCTAAAAAAATTAAAAGATTAGTTTAATCAAAAAATAAAAATATTTGAAAAAAACCTTATAAAACAAATATGTATCATTTCATAGTGCTTTTATTTCTACTTTGAATATCTTTCTATTGGCTTACAGCCTTTTATACCACCCAACCAAATATCTTTACATACATAATACAATGTGTCTGATGTATCTCACAATGGGAATCTCTATGGTTACAGTTGCCTGGTGATAGCAGATGATGTCCTAGAACTCCCTGAAGATGCACTCGATACGGAACATGACAAAAGAAAACGTAATGTAAGTATAAATCTAAAGATTGGTCATAAGGTTTTTGATAAGAGTGATCAAGTATGTTTTTCATTCTGAAATGAATAAGATAAACTGAAGAAATATTTGAATAACTTGGAATTAGGAATAATAAGATGTATCCATTCTTGTTGAAATATATTATGAATGACCAATGGGGTAGTTACAATATTCTGGGCAATAACTAAAATACCGTTGGCCCGATTTTGTTCATATTTTGTACACATATACCCTATGGGGGTAGAAGTTCTGCTCGAAAGCCGATTTTCAAAATGGCCGCTCATTTCAAAATGGCGGCCATTTTAGTGCCGATTTTACAGTAATTTAGGTGTAATATGTAAAACTGTAATAGCAATATGTTTTAAATGTAAAAAAATTATAAAGAACATTAATAATGCTACAAATGTAGATATTAAAGAAGCACATGGCAGCCATCTTGAAAAATGGCGGCCTTTACTCGTCATTTTACGATTTTTGCTATAACTCAAAAAATAGTGAAGCGATTTTGTTCATATTTGGTATGTGAATACTATAAGCATTGCACACTATCTAAAGAGACTTTTAGTAGAAGGCGGCCATTTTGAAAAATGGCCGCCATTTTAACATATTTTACTATAACTCGAAAAGTAGTGGAGCGATTTTGTTCATATTTGGTATATGAATACTATAAGCATGGCACACTGTCCTATGACACTTTTGGTAGAAGGTGGCCATTTTGAAAACAATTTTGAGAAATGGCCGCCATTTTAACGTATTTTACTATAACTCGAAAAGTAGTGGAGCGATTTTGTTCATATTTGATATGTGAATACTTTAAGCATGGCACATTGTCTAATAAAACTTTGGGGAGTAGTCGGCAATTTTGAAAAATGGCCACCATTTTTATGTGTGTTATTTTACAAGTTCGTGTGCGATTTTTCAAAAATTTTAGAGGTGGCTACTTAAAAGCATATTATTTCTTCTGATGACAACTTGGCTAGTGAGCAACCATTTTGAAAATGGTGGCCTTTCTGGTGTGTTGTTTTATGATATTTGCTATTCGTTTGTAAAAATGCCAGCCATTTCTGTTCGATGGGATTCGCTACGCTTTGGCGTTGCCGTTGTTCTGGTTTTTATAGATCATTGCTTCATGTATTTCCAGATATCAAAAAGAGACCCAGTGCACTCTGTATCAATTAAGGACTATCTGATGTCACAGCTTCAAATGTTACAGACAGTTAAGGGAACGGCAGAATTTGATAGAATAATGGCAACTGTGGACACTGAAATTCTTGCCCAACTTAAGGAATTTATTCACTGATATAAGATATGGTACATTGGACCTACTCGTATGTTGTTGGGGATGATTTTACTATGATTTCAAGTCTTTTGTTTCAAGTCTCACTATAGAGGAACCTTTGTAAGTTGCCTCTCTAAATGGACTTCCTTTGATGGACTCTTGGTATAATGACCTAACTTCCATTTGGCTATACTGATTGATTTCATTCTGCATTCTGTATAAGCTTGAAACTCACAGTAGTATATGTCATGTATGTACCTACTTGAATATCCTGAATTGCCTTTTGGTTGGACCAACAGAAGATTGAAGTAAAAAGTACCCTATTTTAGGGACCTTGCCTGATTTAGAAAAAAATATTCTGAGGTTGTATTGTGAAAAACATGATCCAGTTTAGTCAGAAAAATATATTTTGTTCAGAGTAAAAATTTTCCCCCTCCAAAGTATAATGCTCTGTCTCTAATATTGTGTCTTTCGTAAAATATGACCAAGAATTTTCTTACCTTTGTCAAGATAAATCCAAGTCAGAGACATTTTTCCAACTGTATGAATTTTCGGGGTGAATAATACCTGAGTATAGATAGGGTCATATACAATGAGATGTTTTCGAGATTGATCTTATCAATACCCCCTCCTAAAAAACCTGTTGAACCATCCTTTATAATAATGCTTTTAGTGTAATTGCACTACGTGTAAATAAAAGGACAGTATGTCTTATAGACTATACATGTCTAATGATTTTTTTAAAAAGTGGTGCTACTGTTGTTCTTCAGTGACATAGCAAAATGATTACATATATTCTGCATGTCCTGTTCATTTGTCTCGTAAAGCCTTAGTCACATTTGCTTCATGGCGGCCCTACGGCTGGCGTAACATCATAAAATCGATATAGAAAATCGACATCATACTGCTTATCTTATTTTATGCTGGATATAACCTCGATTTTGGGAAGTTACAGGAACTGTATTGTTGCCATAATTCAAATGTGACTGAAGTATTACTACTGCCATGCTAAATTGACTCATGTACAGTTGTAATTTTCTCTTAGACTGAAAGCCAGGATTTCAAAGCATATTTTGAAGTAAAAAATGATCTACTGTATCCATGTTTAATTTAGGCCTTGCTTTAATTTGGGAATTGCAAAAAAAGTCTATGGGGAATTGGCCATCATGGGCTAAATTAAATCTTTACCAATTGAAAATGCTAAATTAACCATGGTTACTAAACTGTACTGTATACCTACAATTTTATCCATTTTAGTGAAATTGCTCCATCTTGTTTTTATATACTTATCAAGGCTGATATTTGCTGCCTCAAAACCCTTGCCCTGGTCCTAAGTGTATCTATGATGTTTGTTCACTCCTCCAATCAAAATGTTTTAGTCCATTTAAATTTGCCTGTAGTATTTATAAGCAAATTCACATGGGACTTGTTTGTGACTGATTGGGTTATTTGTTGAATTACATGAATGATTCAATATCAACCTGTGCTTGATATTACCAATTTTGATTGTGATGCAAAATTAACAAAAATGAAATACAAATCAATTTATTTAATACAATTTTTATTTATGAATTTTATCTATTTTGTTTACACTAGTAGCCTATACATAATAGTTTGTACCACTCCTTTAACAGTGTCACAGACATCAGACAAGATGGTGAAATATCTGTCTACTTTTGCATGTATTTTATAAAATTGGTGTACATTTTGAGCTAAAAATCATGTGTAAAATTTGAAATGTGAAGAATAAAAACATAAACCATAAAACAGAAGTTAAAATGTTCATGTCATGCATTGATCATGAATTCATTAAATTTGGAGATTTATAGCCAATTTGGTGTCTCCTATAATAATGCTACTAACATTAAGTTTATTTTATTGGGAATTTGGATGATTTTTCTATATTGTTATTCCTTCAAGAGATGTACCTTTCACTTAACCAGTTCTGTCAAAGAAATCTAGAAGATCCCAATTTTAAATTTTCTATATTCTCAGCCGGTTTCGATTATATTTTTGAACAGTGGGTAGTGTTACTTTTTCTCAAATGGTAGTAATTGATATGATGCTGGGGAAGTATCATGAAATGTCAAGATATTTGAATACTCGCTCTGCATTTCCATAATACTCATTGGCAGCATGCATTATCTCTTTTTTGTACTGGGCAATCAGTTTTGATGTTTGTCGTTGATCAGTGAAGTACCAGCCTAGTACCTCCCCAAATCGTTGCCATAGTCTGCCTTCCCCATTGTTGCATTTAAATACCATGAAATCAGGTCCTGAGACAGCTGCATGTATAGCATGTAGCATGATCTCTTCTGCATCTTTATGGCTCCCTGATAGAGGGCTCTGTATGCATAACAGGACTGCAGCAAATTGTTCCTCGGATTCCATTGGTTGTGTTGCTATTGCACCTTTAGCTGGTATAATTTCAGATGATTGGCGTTTTGTTCCGCCATTTGCCGTTCTTGGGTTGAAAAAGTGAGACATGTCTGATGACTGACTCGATATATTTTAAAAAATATTTGTTTGTCAGGTATAATCGAGAAATTCAGTTTATTCCTTTCATTGACACTTAGATTAGATAGAAACTAGTCCTGAATGATGTCCTAAAATAATTTCATAAACATACGTTTTTTATTCACTTCATAAGTCTCATTGTCTGGTTAAATCTGTTAATGCTGTGCTAAATATCTTGTTGTTTCAAGTCTGTTATTCCAGTGCTCAGTTTCCAACTGCTCTGTCCACTTTGTTATTTATGTGATCAATCTGTTATATTGATATGTTACTGCTATGCCCAATATGTTATTGCTGTGTCCAATATGTTACTGCTGTGCCCAATATGTTATTGCTGTGCCCTATATGTTATTGCTGTGATTGATATGTTACTGCTGTGTCCAATATGTTACTGCTGTGCCCAATATGTTATTGCTGTGCCCAATATGTTATTGCTGTGATTGATATGTTACTGCTGTGTCCAATATGTTATTGTGCTCAATACATTACTACGGTGTCAAAATCTGTTATTGCTGCACATAATATTGTACTGCTTCGTGCATTCTCTTATTGCTGTATTCAATACATTTCTGCCGTGTCCGATTTATTATTGATATACTCAATACATTGCTGCTAAGTCAAATCTGTTGTTGCTGTGATCAATATGTTGCTGCTGCGTCCAATCTATTATTGCTGTGCTCGATGTGTAACTGCTGAGTCCAATTTGTTATTGCTGTGCTCAATGTGTAACTGCTGAGTCCAATTTGTTATTGCTGTAATATATACGTTACTGCTGTGTCCAATCTGTTATTGCTGTGCTCAATGTGTAACTGCTGAGTCCAATTTGTTATTGCTGTGATCTATACGTTACTGCTGTGTCCAATCTGTTATTGCTGTGCTCAATGTGTAACTACTGAGTCCAATTTGTTATTGCTGTAATTTATACGTTACTGCTGTATCCAATCTGTTATTGCTGTGCTCAATGTGTAACTGCCGAGTCCAATTTGTTATTGCTGTGATCTTTACGTTACTGCTGTGTCCAATCTGTTATTGCTGTGCTCAATGTGTAACTGCTGAGTCCAATTTGTTATTGCTGTGATCTATACGTTACTGCTGTGTCCAATCTGTTATTGCTGTGCTCAATGTGTAACTGCTGAGTCCAATTTGTTATTGCTGTTACTAGCCAGTCTGTGATTGCTTTATTATTTGTTATTCCTGTACTCAGGTTGTTATTGCTGCGCAGAGTTTTTGCGCATAGTTAAGATAGCAATACCACTTCTATCATTATACATGTACATTGAAATTTATGAGTATTGCTTTTACTAGTATAAAACAATTGGCACCAGTCTTATAAAGTTCTACAGATTAAACCTGTACGTTAAGTTGAGTTGAACTTTAAGTTGAAAGGATATGTTGTCAGATAGTTGTACATTTGTCCACATACCGAGATAACAGTGCGCACAAGTTATATGAACATTTGTAGAATTCAATTGTCAAGATGATAGTGCAAACAATATACAGGTATCCTTCAATTGTCTTTGTGATTTAAATGTAGCGTCTACTGTCTTACTGAAATTCAATCAGAACATCATGCATTCATTGGTAAGACAAGATGACCTATGGTTAATAAGAGATTTCCAGGTATAATATAAAAAATGTGACATATAATCCAGAACATTAATCAAACCCATTGAATATTCACCGCCCTGTCTGGGACAGACTCACGAAGGAACTATTCCATCACTTTCAATGCGATGATAGCATACACCATTGTTTTACATAGTATATTTCAATTTGTAGATTACATTTTACAACAGAAAATATAGACATTCGCCTCAATTTTGTTGTTTTCAATCCTATCAAAGACCAACTTGAAAATGTTTTAACCAACATGTGCCAATTAATCAAATCCAGGATTCCTTGTAGCCACCCGGTATATTTTCCGAAAAGTGTAGGGTCAACCCAAATATGTTTTGTTTTGCCCTTATGTAGCAAACCTGCCAAACTGGATTTACTTCTGAGGGGATCTTGGTCGTTGGACATACTGTCTTGCAATGCAAATGCAAAGTTTGCATGCATGCATGGCTACATCACCTTTTCCTTTCGACTTTTTTATCTCATTTAATCTCTAAGATGTATTAAAATTGTAGTATGAAACGCCCGTGGCTTATATGTTTCGGATTGTGGTATTGATTCCTGAATAGTGGTGAGGGGGGGGGGGGGTGGAGACAAGATATTGCTTTTGTAAATTGTGTGATATATCATGGTTTGGGATATTAGTGGTTTGCTTTCCTTAAAACTGGCGGTGCTCTTTTCTTCTTAAACTCTGTTTTTGTAGACCATCTTAAAATATCCAGTCAAGTATTTTCTCATTTTTAAACTCTTTGATTCTCAAAAATCTCTTAATTTATAGAAATTACTGATCCTCATATTTTTGCTAAAATCTCTTTTATCCGAGAATCGTTAGCAACTGCAAAATGTAGTGCAATATCAGGGTGACATTGTAAATCTATATATGTGTTAAAATTCTATTTCTGAAGTCCTTGAGTTAGATATCTTTTATTAGATAGCCTTGTAGTAAATGATTAACAAAACTCTTCTTCGTAATTTGTCCACTATCATAACACAAGGAGTACCGTAGATAAATTCATCTCTGGAATTTAGGTTTCGATAACGAGAAGTGCTTAAAATCCCTTCCCCTCCACTCTTCACTTCTCTACAATCGTACACTTTCCAACTCATCCCTATCACGAATGCAAGCTGCACATAAAGATTCGTCCAGACATTGTGGCAGTTCTTGTTTTCTAGTCCTTTTACAGAAGGCAAAAAATTATTTTTATCACAAATTCATCTTGGTCAGTCAGAGACAATTCTTCAGCACGTACTGTACATTGCATTCATATATGTCATACGAACTCAACATTCTGCGAAAACGCCCATTCGTACTTGAATGACATTTTCACTTTCATTTAATCATTTTGTTCAAACGAATGGAATAGCCTACTGATTGGAACCATCAAACTATTTCTTCGATTGTTTCAAGTCTTATTTGATCTTCTAAAATGATTGATTTTTCGGGTTTAGGTGCAGGAGACACTCTTCTTGAGGATATTTTCAGAGAATTATTGATTACTGCTTTATTGGTAGTGCCCGCTTGTTCCGGTGCTATAGAAATGTCTCTCTTTTGAACACATTCCCCTTTAGATCTAGTTTGAGAATCAATGTCATTTGCATTTATCGTTTTCGTAGTTTCTACAACAATCTGGATTGGTGTAGCGGTTTTATTATTGCTATCAGTATTGAGATTACTGTTTTCGGATATTGTTTCAATATTTTCATTGGGTTTATAATTGGGGAAATTATTGCCTTGTGGTTTGGGAATGTTAGGAATACTTCTACTGGTAGTTTGTTCAATCAATCTCGCATTGTCACTTTCACTATATATTTCATTCAATGCTTCAGCTTCGGATATATCTCTTCCACCTTTTCGCCTGTACACAATGACATCTTTGGAGCATGGCAAGGATGATTTCACATTTAAGTAGCCTTTATACAGGTGCCGTATCACGGCTGGAAGGTCTAGTAGTATTATGAATCCTAGGCAGGAGAGAATGATGACCACCCACACTGTCCCAATAGCTTTGCTCACTACTGGCTGGTCCACAGCTTCATATACAATCTTCTTGACTGGAATATATGGAGGCTTTGTGGTTGTTACTGGGTGCTTTGGCGCAGGTGTATACATGAGGATAGTGGTGGGATATAGTGTCCTTGACGATGTTGTCGTGGTTGGTGAGGTTGCGGTAGTTTGTGCGATGGTTGGTGTTGTGGTAGGTATTGTGATGGTGGTTGGTATTGTAGTGGTGGTTGGTATTATAGTGTTGGTTAGTATCGTTGTGGTGGTTGGTGATGTTTTGCGGGTTGGGGTGGTTGTTGGTGTTGTAGTTGGTATTGTGGTTTGTGTTGTTGTTGGTATTGTGATGGTGGTTGGTATTGTAGTGGTGGTTGGTATCGGTGTGGTGGTTGGTGATGTTTTGCGGGTTGGGGTGGTTGTTGGTGTTGTAGTTGGTATTGTGGTGGTGGTTGGTGCTGTGGTGGTGGTTTGTGTTGTGATCGGTATCGTCGTGGTGGTTGGTGTTGTGGTTGGTATCGTTGATGTGGTGGTTGGTGTTGTGATCGGTATCGTCGTGGTTTGTATCGGGGTGGTGGTTGGTATCGTTGTGGTGGTTGGTCTTGTGGTTGGTATCGTTGATGTGGTGGTTGGTGTGGTGGTTTGTATCGATGTGGTGGTTGGTGTTGTGGTTGGTATCGTTGTGGTGGTTGGTCTTGTGGTTGGTATCGATGTGGTGGTTGGTGTTGTGGTTGGTATCGTTGATGTGGTGGTTGGTGTTGTGATCGGTATCGTCGTGGTTTGTATCGGGGTGGTGGTTGGTATCGTTGTGGTGGTTGGTCTTGTGGTTGGTATCGTTGATGTGGTGGTTGGTGTGGTGGTTTGTATCGATGTGGTGGTTGGTGTTGTGGTATGTATCGTTGTGGTGGTTGGTCTTGTGGTTGGTATCGTTGATGTGGTGGTTGGTCTTGTGGTTGGTATCGTTGATGTGGTGGTTGGTGTTGTGGTTTGTATAGTTGTGGTGGATGGTGTTGTGGTTTGTATCGATGTGGTGGTTGGTGTTGTGGTTGGTATCGTTGTGGTGGTTGGTCTTGTGGTTGGTATCGTTGATGTGGTGGTTGGTCTTGTGGTTGGTATCGTTGATGTGGTGGTTGGTGTTGTGGTTTGTATAGTTGTGGTGGATGGTTTTGTGGTTGGTATCGTTGTGGCGGTAGTTGTAGTTGTGGTTGATTGACAGGATATTTTTATGTCAGCACTCTCTGAAAATAAATGTGGTAATGAATTAATTGTAGACAAAATGCAAAAATCATAATTTGGATGAATGATGCCATGGTCACTAAAATGTTAAACATTTAGAAATGTGTAAACGCTCGGTGCAGATATATGCGTGCGCTGGGGAGTTAACGGGCAATTTTGAATTTGAATTCGTGAGAATTTATAAATCAAGCCGTGTTGGGTACTTCATATTCATATAGTTATGTAGATGATATTGGTGAAACGATTTGCCGTGATCCAAGCCCATTCATGATACAAAATATCATGATATCATCAAATTACAAAGTTTATTAATAAGCTTCTTCGAGTATTTAGGGGAAGCGCATATCTGATATTTTTCATATTCTTTATGTAATCACACAGAAACTATAGATGACTTTCAAGATGCAAAATCAATATCGTATCAACGGGATATCTTGCTCATCAATACTGACTGTATGCTGTGAACGGTGTATAAAAGCGTCAATTTTAAAATACAGGGTGGTAAAAACGGCAACCCCACTGGCGGATTAGGGGGGGGGGGGGGGGCCCGGGCCCCCCCCCCCCCCCCTTGGGTGGGCCCAGAAAAAAAAAGTGGGCCCAAAAAAATTTTTGGGCCAAACAAGGCCTTCAGGCTCCAAAAAGTGGGCCTTTTAAGGCCTTATTTGTTAATTTCAGGCCAAATTTTGAAGCAAATGGGCCTCAAAATTTCAAAATTTGGGCCCACTTTTGGATTTTAGGGGCCCAAAATTTTTTTCCGCCCAAGCGCGGACGTTTTTTTCTCTGACCTGAAAGTTGGGCCCCCCCCCCCTTGTTGGTTCCTGGATCCGCCCCTGAACCCTGCCGCTATTTTCCTCATATCTTTGCGAAATTACTTCTTGATATTTGGCACATATGTACATCATCCAATTTTCTATCGCCCTGCCACATTACATGACCATCGCACTGTCCGTAACTGATATCACCCGATTGCCAAAGATAGAGTGTACAAGAATGACCGCAAGACAATTGCATACCTCAAAAGGGAGATCATCCATGTCTTTCAGGCCATACCTGCTGAGGAATGGACTCGGGTCATTGACAACTTGTGCAGGTTTACGCGATGATAGCCACGCCTGGGGCATGCTGTTCAAAGTGCTGTAACATTGCGACTGTCGGTCTGATTTTCATGAAATATAATAGGATGGTAGGACATTGAATAATGTTCAAATGTGCCAAATATCACATGACAAAGATATGAGGAAAATTCAGAGTTGCCATTTTTGACCACCCTGTATATGAGTTGGAGAAAGGTTAATTGCTGACTGCGTCGCTGTAGAATGAAGTTTCAACTATTTCAGAGTCAACCTTTACTCAATGCTTGTATTCCTAAGGATGGTAAAGGCTCTGGATCCCAACATGCTATTTACACAATTTCCATTGTATCAGGTATAATCAAGGACATAGACGTATGGTCATAATTTTGAATCGCCAACACTGCTTATGGCTGCGGCGCAACATTATCCGCACCGAGCGTTTTCTGCAAGCATCCTCTGCATATGGTGCACCGTTAGTATACAAAATGCTTACCAAAAGTTGCCAAAGGATATGGTAAGTTGGAGTCATGCCAATTGTCATTTGTGTTACTGAAGACACTCGCATGACTGTCCCAGTTCCGTTCCACAAAGTCGCCATCTGGACCAGTATTGTTCTTCCGATGCGCCCAACCCATTCGATAATTCCAGGAATATTGTGGTGAGCTAGATACTTCGACAATATCACCATATCTATCATGGACTTTCCCATCTTTGTAGATGGTAACCGCCTCGTCATCCCCAACGAAGCTAATACTAGAGGTCTTGTAGAAGAAAACCGTGTAACAACCGAAAAATCCGGACAACGTGGACCTTTTACTAACATATATAAAGCTGCCAGCAGGAATGAAGAATTCTGGGATGAATCGGAAGGTTTTGACCAAGTTACTCACTCCTGTATTTGTGACCTCTATTCTATAGCGCCCGAGATCAGGGATGTCTATTGGCGTGTAAAGCTCCACTATATCCATAGACCCAGCTGATATGACTCCCGTCAACACCAAATCATCTGAAAATAAAATTGTCATTCAAAACGATGGTTTCTGAATAGTGGAGAAGGGGATGCTAGATGTTACGTCTATGCGTGTTGGATCATTGTTTGGAATACTAGAATAGTATTTGGGTTCCCTGTCATGATCTTTTGAATGGTTGTGTAATTGTGTATTGCTTTTTTGCTTTGTTTTGAAACACTCTTTGGTGTTTTCCCCTTGTCAATTTGCTTATTGTGCTTATCTAGATCATGGGCTTGTCTAGATATTGCGTATTTTTAATAAAGACGCAATTCCAAAATATACGATTATTAATATGAATACAATTACAATTTACAATACACAGTAAAACCTGTAAAAGTGCAACATGGTACTATGAAAGTCGTTCCACTTGCAAAAGTGTTCCACTTACACGGGTATTCTACATGACGGGTTTTATTGTCTATTCATTACCTGCAGATCCCATTACGGCAATCAACGAGAAGAGACACTGAAAATGAAAACACAATTAATCACCTTTATTAACGTACCATTCTGCTATTATGAATATCACTGACATGTGTCATATATACCCATTTAAAGCAAGCTGGCTACAATTGAGATTTAGAAATATCATCAAGTCGAATAAATCAAACAAGTAAAAATAAAATTGTTAATAAAATAAATAGATAAGATACATCGAACATCATTCCCATGTTGTTTGAAGGATTTTATTTTTAAAATAAGATATATAAATAAAAGTATACCAGTAAAAGGAACGAATAATGCTTATACTTGTTTATTGATTGTAATCCACGGTTCCATCATAAATAAACAAATGTTTTATTTACCTGCATGTATATAAGGTTTGTTTTCATAATCCTGACTTTGGTGAAACATCTCTCATCTTATTTATACACTGCATTTTACGTTATCATACAGTTCTTCAACTGGACCTGTTTTAAAAAGCACTTCTTCATTTGAGACTCGCTGGAGAAATAAATAGCTTGGGATCAACGTTAAGAAGTGAAATAAAAATGTATTTACCATATTAAAGAGGCATCAATGTTATCTTTTTACCAGGTCATATCCCTGACTTCAAAGAATTATAAGAAAGAATGGAAGAGTCTAATTAAGATATTAGAATGACGTCGGAATAAATAAGGAGAATTTTATCTGTTTCTCTGGTGGAATTAGCGGCTTAATGGCGTATAGATAGATAAAAGCCATAATAGACGGAGGAGAGCTTGATTAATAAGCTAGTAGAGTAGCCTATAACTTATAATATTATTTTCAATAGTTGATAAGTAAGTGGTATTGTCCATTAGGATTCGACTAGCCTCCAAAGGATTATCGAAACATTGTCATGCTTCTAAGCTGTCGATTTATTGATGTTGTTGTTGTTTGTGTATGTAGCATTTTATGTCCTCGACACTATAGTGTTGGATATATCATCAGCCAATAGTCTACAAGGAGACATGGCATGCTATCAGAAAATCTGATGAGCGCGACACAAACGATTTTTTGAGGCAAAACACAAAGGGTAAGAGTTTAATGAGGATATGCTTGAATGGCATACTTTAATACCAAGATATTTATTGATTCTACACATTTAGGGAACGCGACAAGTTTCACAGAGCATGGTTTAATATACAGTGATCGCGTATTCGTACAAGTGCGTGAGTAATGACTCGACATGATTCGCAAAATTCTAAATGTCGGAGGAAAGGTATGCTTGTTTCTCTTTTCTTTACCATTGTAATATTATTTTACCTATAAATGGTATTCCATATGCTCTACAGGGTGTCAAATAAGTCCCGTCCCCCCTTCCTCTACAGCCAAAACCAAGATATTTGGTACTAAGTGTAATATACCATTGGAAAGGTCTTCCAAAGTTACGTTGATTGTCATATATCTGACACATGTCAATCAATCTCACAAATTTTTACATTGTATCAATTGAGGAGACCATAGGCCTAGAAACATGGCAATTTGGTGCATTTGGCAGGATTATTTAGATTAAACATGCATATGGCAGTGAATTTAACCAATTTCTGGATAGGGTTATATATGCAGAAAATAGAGGTGCAAGGAAAGTGGTGAAAACCTTTTTGTAACAAGTGGAATGTGAAAAAGGTTAACTTTTTGACGTATTTCTGAGGTCATATCCTTGTCATTTTGACGCAAAAAAACTGCTTAAAGGAGGGTACGTTAGCCATAAAGGACATCATGAAAATTTAGGTAAATTTCATCCAAAATACTTGAGAGTTGGTGAGTTAACATTAAGAGACCCAAGAATCATTTGTCAAAAGGATCCAGTGATTGGCTTAACCGAAATACCTGAACTTAGTTGATAAATGAATCAAAATCAATAACCCGCCGAACGAAAATGTATATTTCACCAAATTTTCTGTTTTTAGATTACCAAAACCACAAAACCAACATACCTATGGTTAATATATATAATACTTTACATTCCATGCATACCAGACGTTCCAACTCCCCTTCAATACTGAGAAAAAAGGGATGTTATGAAAAATAATTATGATCAGCCAAGTGTGAGAGTCTGGATTCTTTGCATTTCAGAGTGCTCGGATTCACATGTTATAACTGTCCTTCTATATGAACTCCTAAATCCCCAAACATTATTAACTACATTGTGGAACATCATACCTTGGAATCAGAGGGTGAAATTTCTGGCCATGTCTTATTGTTTTGTCACAGATTGATTGAGGATTTTAATGAATGATCTTATTCAGTGTAGATTATGCACTTCTGGGTAAATAGAACCTGGTCAGTCAACCTCTATCTTGATTCTCAAGGTTTTAGTTTCTCGAACTTGGAATACAATATATTTTGCGGATCTTGTCAAGTCATCACTCACGCACTTGTAATAGTAGGCGATCACTGTACATGCAGCTAATTCTTATAAATGTGCACGTTGTAAAAAGCAGCTTGAAAAGTCAATTGAAAAAAAGAAAGAGGGACATGCACAAATACTGTATCAAATTGCTTTCCAGTTATAAAAATAATCCAAGTGTCTATTACATAATTGAATTTGACACATGATAAATCCAAATGCCACATCTGTGACATTCAGGTATCGATCATGCTTGTTGGATTGAAACTTGATATTTTAGAAATAATGACAAAAGCATGTCAATTATGATCACCAGACACTGAGTATACGATCCATTCAGAAAACTAAGATGAAGAGAATCATAGGCCATATACACAAATGAGCTTTGCGACTCTTCCTCTGACCTTTTTGTAGCGTATGACTGAATGATTAAAGAATAACGTAATGTATTTGACATCAGAGAGTCAATAAAAGATACATATATGACTTTTCAAGAAAAATGTATGTATATATTAGTATTTTTTGTCCGCTGTGACGGAGCATTTTCACAGTTCACATTTGCAACTGCTCCGTCACAGCGGACAAAAAAATTAAACATTATTTTTTATAAAAGAATTAAAAAGACCAATACATCAACATCTCATTTATACCTTCATAGTTCTGCTAAAACCATGTGTAAATATTATCGTGTCACTATATCGTGCCATTAGAAAGTTAAACAAGAAATAGTACATTTTGAACTATGATACTCCGGCGCCATTTTCAATAGCTTTTCTTCCCAGCGTAATTGGACTTCAAACAGAAGTGAAAGTTACCCGCAAATGATATATCCATTGCATGGAGTAAGTAATTTTGTATGGTATAACGAAACATATGAGTTAAAAAATAAATCGTGAAGTATTCTTAGTGTTTTTATGAAAAATAGTATGCTCCGTCACAGCGGACAAATATTTCGATACCAGCCTGTGAGAATACCAAATGCAAAATTAAACTGAATATGCACTTGAATATAAAATAATTCTTGGGTATAAATTCTTAAGATTGGTCTACATGTAGAATACACAAAATTCGAAAGAATTTGGTATTATTTCCGATCAAACGAGAAAATTTTCACTTTTGCCACATATGCATATTAATATGTGGTCAGTATTGCATTATTGTAATACACAATTGACACAAATTATCAATTTACTGCTACATACTACTTTCAGTGTTTGATACATTTCTGAAACACATTTCCGGTCCCATTTTCCTCCCATTTTCCTCCCATGTTAAATAAACTTGAAATCTGAACACCTCCTCATTCGAACAGTGGACACTCATATTTGAAAAATAACCTATCTAATCTGAAAACTTTTAACACAATATCACACATTTGAATTTGCTCAGATATTTTCAATTTAACTAAGTATGATATCAGAACTTTTGAAAAAACTATCAATTAATCTCAATCATGATGCGTCTTTCTATGTCATAAAGCTATATGGTCGATTGAATCATTAATATTCATTGAGAAATATTACTTCAAAATCCAAAAATCTTGCGGATGCAAACACCTCGAGGTAAGTCTGAACACCTTCTAATCCGAATGCTTTTAGCCGGTTCCAATGCCGTTCGGATGAGAAAGTTTTACTGTACAAGGTGTACAGTAGAAAAAGCTGTTGCTTTTAAGCCTAATTTCTAGGTCACGGTTGGGAAGTGAACATGTCAAGCAAAAAGAATTTTTATTCCAGAGTAAGCAGCATACAATTGCAATACATAAAAAAGGAAATACAAAGACAATTTAACAAGGTTTTTGTACATATTAATGTTTCAATAGGCTGCAGAAAGTGCGAAGAGCACAATTTACATACATCTGATATTATATATATAACTTTGACGTATTGACATTATTATTAGCCTATACTTGAGTATGTAATCAAAATCCCGGACAATCCCGTCAATTTTCAATTATTAGTAATCGACATATTAACGTATCTTGTGAAACAATCACATGTCTTACTTGTTTCTTGTATCATTATTGTATCAGGCTTTTTTAGGAACATTCTGTCAGATTATACTAGATACTAGATATAGTATTCATTTGGTGCATATTTTGCCTTGTTATTGGAATATGTCAAACAAACTCTTCTATAGGTTCAAGGCCCATCTGATGTTCCAAAACAATCGACTTTTCAGGAAAAGGAATTACTGGCGACGTTCTATGTTTAGATGGTATTTTGAGTGTATCACTCTCACATATAACCTTATTTCCATGCCCTAATTTAGCATGGAGGTCAGTATATGGATCATTTTGAATTTTATCAAAACCGGAAGTTTGATTTGCATCCTCTCTTTGTAGTACAATATGAATCCCATGAGTTGGTTTGTCAATGTTTTCGGCAGTCAAATAACTGTCATGAATATGCCGACTCTTGGCCGTGTCATATTTTGCATCATCTCTATCATACGTTTGTGATTTAGGCGGTTCATTGATGAGATCAACACTACCAGCATCATTGCTTATCACAGTAATGAAGCTGTCATCATCACCAATATTAACGATGTTTCCTTTCTTAACAAATGCAGCCTCCGATGGTCTCCTATTTCCATTACGCGACCTCTTAGTTACGCCATGGGTACATGGCATACACGACTTCACATTCAAATAGCCCATATGTATATGTCTAATAAGGGCAGGTGCATCCAACAGTATCACTAATCCCACGCAGGAAATCATTATCACAACCCAAATTGTCCCTATGGCTTTACTGACCACCGGCTTGTCCTCTGCCTCATATACTATCTTCTTCAATGGTGCATATACAGGCTTTTTAGTTACACGAGGAGGTGGTGTTAACATTATGATAGGTGTTGTACGTTCTAGGAAATCATCTAACTGTGTGCGTTTGAATGGCCTCTCAGATGTCTGATGGGTGCTAAATGTTGATATGGATGTGATGATTGATAATGGAAATGATGGAGATATTTGCTCTCGAGTTGTCATGGACTCAGAAATAGTTGTTTGTTCTTTTGTTGTCGTTTGCTTTGGACGTGATGTTGTAGTTTGGTCAGAGGTTATTTGCTCTAGAGTCAGTGTTGTAGATTGTTCAGTTGTTGAAGTCCGTTTTGGAGTGGCGGTGGGTTGTTCAGTTGTTGCACTTTGTTCAGTAGTTGTAGCTTGTGCATTGGTTGTAGGTTGTTCAGTGGTTGCACTTTGTTCAGTAGTTGTAGCTTGTGAAGTGGTTGTAGGTTGTTCAGTAGTTGTAGCTTGTTCAGTGGTTGTAGGTTCTTCCGTAGTTGCACTTTGTTCAGTAGTTGTAGCTTGTTCAGTGGTTGTAGGTTCTTCAGTAGTTATGGTTTCTTCAGTCGTCGTTGCCTTAGCAGTTGTTGGAAATAAAGTGGTTGACGCCGTGGTTAAAGGCGGACAAGATACTGTGATGTTTCCATTTTCTGAAAAATACAAAATTCATTTGATGTTTTCCAAGCAACGGGCATTCACAACAACGGTTTGCCATTGGATGTGGTATAGTTGCCTGGTTGATGTTCTCTTGAAAAGTAGCTATATAGTGAATGTTATGAGCGAGTTCGAACTTCGAACCCCTGGTAATTTCCAACCTTATTTTTGGATGACAATGAACTAGCTCAGAATGACTGAGTGTATTCACAATTATTCATTATTATTTATTTTTAACAGAATATCATCTGTATAAGTCTGCCAATTAGATACTAATTAACCTACTTACCAAAACTGGCAAGAGGATATACTTTATTATTTGCGTTGTCCGTGTTGTCATTTGTTGTAAACACTTCTTTGTTGATCACCCAGTTGTCTTCCGAAAAGCCAGCGTCAGGTCCAGTATTATCTTTTCGATGGGCCCAGCCCATATTATAACTCCAGGAATTGTTAATACTTTCTTCGGGCACAATGTCCCCAAACTGATCATGTACAGTACCATCTTTAAGCAAGATTACAGCTTCATTATCCCCTTGGAGTTTAACTTTTCTATCTCTATAGAAATGGACCGTATAGCAACCGAAAAAGTCATCCAATCGGTCCCTATAACTGCTGACGTAGATGAAACTTCCTGCAGAAATACTTGCTCCAACAGGAAAGCTCATATTGTTTGTTCTACTTGTCAAACCCTGATTCGTAATCTCTATCGTATATCTATCAATGTCAGGAATCTCTGCATCTGTGTATAGTTCAATGATATCGAACATTCTGACGGATATAACACCTGTTATCACCAACCTCTCACCTGAAAAGAAATTGAAATGTCCTGTTCACATACAGCTAGTATTTAACTCCTTTTGATTATTGTTTAAGAGCAATACAGCCACCAGGAAAACATTTTGACAAATCACCTCCAGGCGACTGATAAATAGAAATAGGGACTCTGATAATTTCTATTTGGAATGCTAAATAAAGTATACATGTAGAATAGATATGTAAATTTCTAATTGTATTGTATTTTGTTTACCACCAATGAAGGCGAGCAATACCTCTTGAGTATATCCCGTATATATACGGTCGTAATTTACGTAATTAGTTTGGAAGATAGACCCAGAAACCACCCTCTCAAAGGAGCCCTGTGTTCTTTTATGTGCACTTATACATAGACATACAAGTACACACCACAGCCTTTTGTACGAGTTGCGGACTACTCAGTCAAACACCCTGAAGTACTTCACGCAAACAAGCAAATTAAGTTTTGCCTGAACCGGGGATCGAATCCGGACCTATTGCGTAAGAGGTACCTGCGCTACCGCTGAGCTACACATTAATCACACTAATGATACGAAATAAAACAGATTTGAAGACGATATTTACAAAATCTATCTACAGTTTATTACCATATGCACTAATTCTTAGAGGTCGGGAAGGACTTACGAATTACGGCGAATTACGCGGCAGAAATATACTGTGATTACTTCTTAAAAATGAGTTTTACTTCAGTATCATAATGTGTTTATAATGTTCCATGTACCAATAGTGACAACCTTATTTGATTCAAAACATCAAGAAGTGTCCAACGGCATAACGGGGACCTATCAACTTTTAAAAATAATTAAGACCAAAGCCATTAAAGGGTCATCATTGAGTCAACTTGACCTGTCAACTCATGAAGTTACCTTGACCTGACAACTGATGAAATCACCATGACTTCTCAATTGAAAAAGCAAGAATGACCCATTAGTATAATTTATTGAGTCACCATGACCGTTCAACTCATCAGTGAACATGACATATCAACTCATGTAGTCACCATGACCTATCAACTCATGAAGTCAACATTACCTATTAATTCAACACAAATTAGTTCAACACAAATGTTAAATTGATTAACTTTGTTGAATTTTCATGATATTAAATGTTATAATATATGAACTTGAAATAAAAATGATTAATAAAAAAACTATTAATTCATTGGGTTTGCACGACGTGTCAACTCATAAAGTCACCATGACGTGTCAACTCATCAGTCAACATGACCTATCAACTCATGAAGTCAACATTACCTATTAATTCATTAAGTTAGCATGACGTGTCAACTCATAAAGTTAATATGACCTATCAATTCATTGAGTTAGCATGACATGTCAACTCATAAAATCACCATGACATGTCAACTCATCAGTCAATATGACCTATCAACTAATGAAGTCAACATTACCTATCAATTCATTGGGTTAGCATGACCTGTCAACTCATAAAGTGAATATGACCGATCAACTCATTGAGACATCATGACTTGTCAGTACATGACAATTGACAAAGTCGAAGTTATATAAAAATGTTCTCTTACCAGTCGAAACCATTATCAAGTTCAGCAAGATGACCGTCTGCAAATAAAAAAATATATATAATTTAGTATCAAATAAATAACTTTTCTGGGTTAGCCTGCTGTTGAATTGTTCTAGTCTTCACCTTAAGTTTGTCATGGGCCAGAATCTCAAAAGAAAAGTATCTGGACATGGATTAGACAAAACTACCCTGTGTCTGGTGAAAATTGAACTTTGATAGGAGGGTATGCGATGTTCACCTTTTATTGCGAAACCATTATTGGTTAGGTTTCTACTTGGAATTGCTTTAAAAGGCTATGTTATAATGAAATTGTACATATCTAATAATAAGGTGTCTTGAAGACGGCTGTATCAACATTTAATTACTACTTTATAAATCGGGGCAATGTCACCACTATTACGCGGTAAACACGATACAAAAATATGTCATATTCCGCAACGAATATGGCATATTCACTTGCGGTGTATGACAAATTCACCTGCGGTATATGGCATACATACTAACCAATGAGAATGTGATACGGAAGTACGCAATTGTCAATTGCATCGATTAAACGAACTAGTAAAACGTTATGAATTATTATAATAATTACTGAATCAACAGTACTGTGTATCGAATATATTAACTTAGCAGAAGTATCAGTCACCAATCTCGCGTAATAAACTTACTCAATCAATCCAGGATTCATATATTAGTACTCGACACACTAACTATATTGGTAATCCAGCGTAGTTTTACATTTAGAGTCGATTCTCGCAACCAATCAAATCAAGGCTTTCTGTATCACGTTTTCACCTGCCGTATATGTCATATTCACCTGCGGTATATGGCATATTCCGCAAGTGAGTATGACATATTCCGCAAGTGAGTATCGGCTATTCACTGTAATGGATGTATCGCATATTCACTGCGGAATATCGCATACTCACCTGCGGAATATGCCATATACCGCAGGTGAGTATGGCATATTCACCCGTATCACAAATACCGCGCAACCATGAATGTATGCCATATACCGCGTAACAACCACGATCGGATAGTTTTTCGCATGATGGAAATCTACATAGCTCGGCTTTTGAACTGTAAAAACAAATTAAATTATTTATTTCTGTAGGGAACGAAACAATATTTTTCTTTTATAGTGAATGAACAGGAATGTTCTACTCTTCCCTGTTAGTTTAGTTGAAATGTTATCATAGATACCCTTTGCATTCGTTCGACTTCACTTCTTAAAAGAGAGCTTCGTCTTCAGTTTATATAGTTTTGACTGTGCGCAGGGTAATCAAACACCAGGTAGGTGAATTACGACCAACACAAAGCCCAGTACATGGTAGTGTCCGTCAATTCTGTTATTATAGTAAAACACTGGATTAATCTGAAGTTATCAGGGATGCTTCTTGGTCTACAACTGATTAATATTTGGGCATTCTGAGTAATTTTTTTATCTAGAACTAATTACATTTTGAAGTTTGATTTGAAATTCCCAGTGATGTTCCTTGGCACAAAAGTCTAGAACTGAGTTTTGTAGTATTAGTCTGAAGGTTTACATTGATTACTTAAATCCTTAACATCCTACACAATTGTTCACATCATCATAATATTGCGCACGTTGTATGCCGGGTTATGTGAATCCCTCTTGATATTTCATTCAATGGAAAGTGTCATGTCTGTATTAATTTTGTCGATAGTTTGATGAAATTTTGTGAGACCGTGCCAAGTATGTTCAATAAGACGATCATTTGAATAAGAAACCCAGATTTGTAACCTGTTCGTCATTCAATTATTATGCATCAAAAAGAATATCCAAAGAAAGTATGGCCTTATAATCAAACGGACCCTATTCATCATTCTTGATTAGCTTGCTAAACCTGCTTGTCATTTCATGTACATTTATTGGAGCAATGTCTTATAAAACGCCACAAAGATCTGTTGAGGAAGATAATGAATATCTAATAAAAGATGAAATTGTTCAGGAAAATCATTAGTTTAAGAACTTTAAATTTTTACAGCAAACATCAGTACTGCATTTGATACATGTACAGTATATTGCGTTTGAAAACATTTTAAATTGCAATTCTGTATATCAATCACATGTTACATGTCATTGTGGTACTCAAAAATAAATGTCTGATCCCTCAATCATGAATATTATGACATCATCTAGATAAACCAACGATCGGATTCAGGTTAATTTCATAGAATTGTCACGTGCTAAATAAATGCTGCAGAACACATCCCAAACCACACTCGTTTTACTCATCGGGTAATTTGTCCACGCAATTATTTTGTGAAATATTGTTTTCTCCCTGTTTACGCCCACCGACGTAACTTGTGATACTCATATTTTGGCTCGCTACCTGAGAAGTATCCTAGATACGGATGCGGGATGACTCGCTAGTGTTGTCTATGTATATCCTTAATAATTGTAAAGTATATCTACAGGATCATATGACACTTATTTGTGCTAGAAATATTTATTACTTGAGATAATGACTAATAGAAAATGAATTATCCCCGATATCAATTCAAATATGATTTCAAAGCAAATTACTCCAGCTTTTACCACCAAGACAATATCTGAAAATAGCCAAAATGTGAAACATAACACTGTAAATGACAAACTTTTTATTCGAATACAGTTTTTATCCTTGTATTACATTCTTACTCATGCTATGCCCAGAATAAAATTAATATTAAGAATAGTTTGGTCGCAATCAAGCATTATGATAAAAGATTTAAACCCAGGGCTTAATGAATTGTGGACTTTAAATGAAAGCGGGAGCCCAAATTCAAAGGCAAGAATGTCTAAATCACCCAATGTAATGTGCTTTAGTTCTTATCACACATTGCAAAAGATTTTGTACAAAAGGAACTCGACCAGAAACTATCTGCAAGGGTTTTGAATTTGAATTTCACACATAGCAAAATGCTACTTCAAAAACATTAATTTGATTGTGCCATTTTGAAAATCCTAAATTTTGCTTAAAACCAGATGATTTGAAGAAGAGGATCTTTGGTCCACGGGTATTGCACTTCATTCCATTCCGAACCGAAAGAGCAACGGCGCCTTTTGATGAAGGATGCAGAAGGGCGTTTAATGTAAAGAATAAAGAGGTATCATTTCATCATTAATTTTTAAGACAAAAATAACCTAACCGTATACAACCAGCTCCGGTTTGACATTCAAAACGAGGCTATTAATAAGTTTAATCAATCCTGGATAATGGTGGAACGGATTAAGAGCATTGGTATTCATAAGTTTAATGAATTGTAGCATCCTTAATGTGCAATGCCTTATGCTTATGGAATGAGAAAACAATGTTTTATCATCTGCGAGCGATTTCAAATTACTTTTAGTTAGTTACTACCTAGATGGGGTGTTGTTGTTTCAATTTCATTATCTCACCTCGCTCGCTCGTAAATGCAATAAATAACATTGATTATGGCTAAAGTTGGGTCATAGTATTTCGATGGCTTTTTACACGAAAGCAAACTATTTTTCTGATTAGAACAAGGAGGACTGGCTCCCAGGATCGACACTCGATATTCTCAACAATTAAAAAGTCGAAATGTCAATTTTCTGAAATTATAACCGACCATAAATTCAAAATAATCAGTTCAAAAGATTGAAACCAATATCTCGATCATTTCTTTTGAGTTTTTGAATTTTTCGTTAGGAAATAAGAAAAAAATCAACGATTCAAATGTTGAAGTGAACAAAATGGCGGCTGTTTGAATTCGAATTTTGTATCACTGCATGCCCATACGGCATATGGGACAGAATATCGATGTTGCACTCTGGGAGCCAATCCTCCTTGGATTAGAATGGGTTTGTATGATAACGACTGGACAACGTATTTTCCTGTCAATCATATGACATGTAAGATGTTTTTCATGCCTTGTATCCAGCAGTGTTACGATATGGGGTAGAGATTTTTAATTTGTTATGATTGTGACATTTTCTCAAATTGACAGGACACGCTGGAATATTGTCAGCTTAGCTTAAAAATATATACTTTTTTGTAGACCATCACAAATGGGCCGGGGTAACTGAAAAATGTACCTTTTTGTAGACAATCACTAATGGTGTGCAAACATCACATTTTTAGAATATAATCATAGTCCAATTTTTCAATCGGAAAAAATACCTTTTTTCTAGATCATCACAAATAGGGCTAAAACATCACATTTGCAAAAAATTGCAGAAAACAGAGTCCAACTTTTTGATCGAAAAGCTTCTCTAAGAATATGACCAAGGAAACAGAATAACGTGGTTTCACACACGGAAGATCCAGTTGCATTGGAGTTTGGCTCAGTTCGAATGGTATTAGTAATACAAGCTGTAAAGAAGCTTCTATGGCAATTAATACAACACACTCAACGACCCATTAGATAGTAATATCAATCTATTGTTAAAAAACAAATCTGATAAATATTTCATGTAATTACTAAGAGTACGGTCATTACATGTTCATTAACTGACAAAGACATGTTTATTCTTTTCTCTGCTGTAAAGAGCACAGTCGATCCTTGAAACCAATTTATGAATTGATTTATGAAAAAACTCTTGCGTCCATTGGCTTCTATTCACTCACCACCACGAGCTCGACCATGAGCTTCACTGGTGATCCGCTCGGTTACGCTGGTAACAAAATGTCGGAACGTCGAAGGTTCGATTTTTCTTATTTCCTTATTTCACGCGTTGTAGTAGGCAGAATCTCCAAGACGTTCTTTCTGACAAACGTGTATCAGCATCATTTATTTTAGAAAATGTACATGTTTGCGAAAAAATGGCTTAGAAGACAACAGAATCGTCGATTTAATTCCTCACTTAAGTTCCATAAACGGTTTGGGTTAAAAGTGCAGATCTTAATTGTTTTCGAAAAACCGTTTATGTAACTTAAGTGAGGAATTAAATCGACGATTCTGTTGTCTTCTGAACTATTTGTTCGCAAATATGTACATTTTCTTAAACATATGATACTGATACACGTTTGTGTCAAAAAATGTCTTGGGAATTCTGCCTATAACGTGTGAAATAAGGAAAAAAGAAAAATCGGACCTACGATGTTCCGACATTTTGTTACCAAAACGAACCGTTTCGGTAACCAGCGCAATCGAGTGGATCACCAGTGAGCTTGTGTAATCTTGATTCCTGAGTATATAATCATCCATTATGAACACTTGAGTATTGGAATTGAATATACGAGGTTAGTTCAATAAATGTTTGAATCTGAATAATAAGAGTTCCTCTTTATCTGACGATCGGGAGTCTAAGAAAAAATAGATGCTGTGGGTAGCACAAGCTGATATGGCGTTTCGAATGCACTGATCTCAGAGTATTTTATATGAAGTAAAGTATGATCTTCGAATGGTGAATGATCAGATAATGACAAAATGGGGAAAGATAGCGTAAGGTAAATTATGAAATACGCCGCAGTGAATTTCATTCATCTTAGAAATCTTCGCTATGAATGAAAGATAAATCTTTAATGGCACACTAAAATAAGCTATAGCCTCTTTTATAATGAATCTTTTATGTTCAAGGTGTTCAAAGTAATCCAGAGTTCAAATGTAAATGTAAATTATTCAACTGTTATTCACTCCGATAGTGGTGATAAACATCGTCCCCTGGATTATTAGAATTCTACTGAGTTCTGCGAGATTATCAACTAGTCTATTATTGAGTCAAATAACTATACAAGGTGTCAAATAAATATGTTTTCCCCCCAAGCCCCAACATCCGCGTTATGTTTTTGTCTGCATGATATCTACAGGGCGTCCAAAAAAAGTATACCCAACTTCAAAGCCAGGATACTAAAATTCTGAGCATTTAAAAAAATACAAATGTAGCAGTAAAATGCCTATTTACTGTCATGCATGACTGAGCAATCGTGACTTTTATGAAAGGTGGTAAAATCAGCACTGTGCCAAGTTAGCATTCAAGTAAGAATGACAAAGTGGATGTTTTTTTGTGTTCAAAACATTATTAATGTTCAAATTCAAACTTGTTTCGTGTTCTTCACACTTTTACATAATTTTCCATAACTTTTTGTTTGTACCTCCCTCTCAAGGAATTGGATCCGAAGAGCCTTTTAATCAGCAATGCAACCTCTACTTGATGATATGCAGCTTTGAAGTCAATTGTAACCCCCATGTAAAGTCAATAACCCTTGCTGAAATCCTCATTTTCTGAGAAGAACTCAAGTTTATTGAGTCTAAACAAGTAGATTCATATGGGACAGTATTGCTAGAACTCATTTCAATAGTAAGAATAGGGGTTCTGTAAACAGTACATGAGACTTGCTGCTCAGGTGTCAGTTGAACCATTTTTGCAGGCCTATTTTAAAAGTTTAAGCTTTTTGCCAAACCTTTCTTCATATGAGAGTTACCCAGTCCTAAAGTCCTGTTCAGTATGGCAGGCCTGTCATCTCACTTATTGTAACAGAAAAAGAATACTAAGCCAATTACACATCAATTGCCACACAGGAAGGTAAATTGGCATAGTGCTAATTTTACCACCTCTCATAATGGTCAAGATTACTCAGTCATACATGACACTTACATGATGATCTTGGTACCATTTGATGGAGAATAAATCAGGCTTTTACTACTACCTTTGTATTTAAAAAAACTGCTTGAAGGATTCTAGTAATTTGGTTTTAAAGTTGGGTATACTTTTTTGTGGACGCCCTGTAAATTGGTCTTTAGCACTTAGGCTTGATGGAGCAACTTCACAAGAAGTTTCAGATGACTGGCTTAACTAGATGCACATTATTGCATTAAATATCATACTTATACATATATTTATTTGACACCCTGTATAAGAAACGTTGGTGGAATTCGGTGAAAGTGTGCACTTTTTTGTGCTACGACTAAAAAGTGGTCATATATACATCATTTAATTTTTGTACTTAAACTGTTATTTTTATTCACTTTTCATGCTTATCAAATTTGAAATGTAAGTGAATACATGTAGGTGATAAATAAATGAAAAAATAATTTTGTTTCAAACTATTGTATTACAAAGTCAAACTGTTTTATAGGGCAATGAACCGTTTATGGCAAAACTGACTCTAACACGATTTATCAGCTACAGGCAATCACTTCACGGAAAGATATAATCATAATGATTTTTTATGTTTATCATTTATAACGCTTGAACACTTTACGTTAGCGTAATACATGATCTTTCTGCATTGAGAATCATCCGATAATTATCTATTAATTAATCTAAAAACATGCTTAACGACATTGCATCGATTCATATCTTCAGAGTCATTTTCCATTATTAAACAATATCAGTTCATATATGGAAATGATGTTGTTTTACCATCAGATTTACATTTACGTCATGCCTAATTAATAAGTTAAAACAGCAACAAAATTAATATAACGATTTATTGTACAATCTTAAAAAACTAGTTATGAGCCTTTCTCGATAACATTTTCATCCCTGGTCTCGAACGCACGCATCTCTGCTCGAATCCATCAAGGTAATTTAAATCAAACCAATGATTCGAATGCAACATCTGATCTGTGAAAAAGTAGAAAGTAGAACAATCTCTAATATTCATATTTTTTCTAAAATTGCTCTATTTTCACGGAGCTTGGAAATCAGACTCATTCAGATATTTCCCCGAATTTTTTGAGGTGTCAATACATGTTTTGCCCCCAATCCAAAATTTCTCCCGAATTTTTCTAGAAATCCCAATTTCTGATTTTCACCCGGATTTTTTTCAAACAACTCAAATTTTAAAATCCATATTTTCTTCCAATTGTCAATATGGATTTTATAATTCCAATTTTTCTCCTGATTTTCTTTAGAATATGTAGCCTATATAATTCAATAACTTTATGACTGTCATTCACCATTTATTAAGCAGTAAAAATAATTTGCTACATTGGTGACAAAATGATTTTCGTTTCCTGTTGAATGTCGAGTCTAATTGTGTTCATCGTTTTTGACAGTTCAGTGCAGTCTGATGTAACACCATGCCCCAGACTGTCGTTACAATAATGTCATTTATACTTTATAATTATCAGTTCATAATAACTTTTTTCAGGAATCATAAGCACTTGGTACGATGTTCAAGAACATAATTTGGCGTTTGCGTCGTTCAGAACTTGTGCTATTCACACTGGCGGATCCCTAGCATGGGCCTAAAATATTTTGTAGCGCCTCAAATTAGTTGGCCTTTTTGGCCTTATTTTTTATAACAATGACACTGGTCCACAGCCAGTTGGCACAGTCACAGTTCATCCCGACAGCAGGATGCATGTAACCCAATATAATTTGAAAAGTTGAAAGTCCGATAATCTTATAATTTTATCTCATGGAAGAAATTAGTTCACTGACTCTAGCATATTAAAATGTATGATCTCTTCACTAATTGTTAAGTTGGTGTACCATCTTTCTAGCTTAATATAAACTACGCAGTTTAACTTAACAGTAATTGTAAACTCGTTATACTCACAGCAGATACGCAGTTAATTCCACACATGTTTTCCAATGTCGCGAACCATGCCTGAAGAATCCATTTCTACATTTCCGGCCAATATTTTGGGAATACGTTTTCTGTTTTGCAAGAGTGCGTTATCAAGGTTTTTACGTAATCATACATCCATACTGACATTTTTGTGGGTTCATTGACTTGTGTTCATAATTTTGTTTTATGTTCCCCACTTTAAAAGAGTTAGCCTGAATTATAACGAATACTAAACGCAGCTCGTCTATAATTGGTAGCTACAACAAAATCCGTACAAGCGATATAAAGCAATTCCATTGTGCGATCATCTGATTTGACACGAAGAATTATTTGATCGGCGAATTCTCGCAAGTAATTAAAGTTGCTGATAAACAGTTATTTACGTCCCATGGTTTTTCTGATCAGTATCATATGCCGCAGTGATCATTTCCATGGAAACAGACTTTTGATTCAAAACGGCTGTTTAATGGATTTTAAGATGAAGTCATTATGAATCTTCTAATTGATAATGATAAATTGCAATTCCATGTTTTGTTCAGAGACCGTAAGCGACAACACATCAATTCAATTCATTTCTTACCAATAAGGTGAGCTGATAGAATCGCCCACTCGTCTGTCTTTCTGTCCGTCTGTCCGTTAACAATTAACTGAACTAAAGCTTAGATTTATTTATAGGGGTCCATACTGGTATTTACACCATTGGGCCCAGGTCTTACCTTTGTCTGATTTAGGCATCTTCGACGTCCAGGGTGGTTATACCGTTATAACACACCTTGGATGCAAATACTTGATTTTTCTGTCCTGTTACTAGGTGGTGTGTCAGTTATCAAAGTGAAGTTGTGGTTTAGGAATAATCGGCTTTTTACTCGTTAGAATATCACATTTCACATTTTTCACATTAAACAAGACTGTAACATTTCTTCAAATAAAATGATTATGTTGCAAATGTAACTTAGACGTACTATATCTTGTATCAGTATCAGTGTCAGTTTAAGCTCCCTCGGTTTTGACATAATCTTTAAAAATGTCCAAAGTATGCCCATGATATGTTATATTTTTAAAGGATCTGACACTATTCTGTAAGTGTCACTATAAATAAGGTAGATATCCAATGTACAATCATATGTTAAATTCTTAAGAAATAATAAAGATAATAGTCTTAACTCACTGATACCATACTTATTTTGAAATTAAATCAACCCAAGAACACGTTTCGGGCAATTCAAAGAGTGACTCATTTCTCTGCCAAAATTGTGTTTTTCTCTTGATAATCATTTTTCCGACGTCTAAGAATATATTCACATTCAATATTCTAACTATATATAAGGGTTATGTACTGGGAGGTTTTGGATATGGGGTTTATCCAGAGGGAGATATGCATATATACCTGAGGGACCGTATTGTATGTATGTATGTATGTATAATTTATTTACCTCTTAAATAAAAGAGAGTTACATTCATATTAACATGTAGAGAAAATTAAATAAAATTATAAAACATATTTGTGTAACTTGATGTAAGGTAAAGAGGATAACTAACTTTTATCCACAAGAAATTGCCTATGCCTGTGTAACTCGTACACATGCATAGCTATGAGTAACAGAGTCTCCTTATCATCATTGTATACAGTTCCTAGGATCACTCTAAGGATATAATCGTCGTTCATTACATTCATATTACCTCTCGCTAAATTGAGTAAGGGTTTTCTAACATCAGTAAAAGCTGGACAAGTAATCAAGAAATGCTTAACACTTTCTCTTTCGTTAAGATCACAAAAAATACAGATTTCTGATAAAGTTGTGTCACCCTCACGGCGTTTACTGTTAAAATATGTCGAGGTTAATAATTTGACCATCATTTTACACAGGTATAATACATTGGGGTTTTCTTTTGCGATCACCCACCATACATTCGGTTTTAGGATAGACAACGATCCTGTCACCACGTTTAGATTTTTATACATTAATGATGATAAAACAGTACAATAGTTGTGAAAACTCTTGACATGTCCGTAGACTACAGTTCTAAATTCTTGTTTTGAAGGGATTTCTGCATTAAAAATCATGTTCTTAACATAGTCTATGAGGTTGTACTGCACAACAGTATCCAACATTTGAGATAATGGAGATTTCAGACCTTGAGATGGTGATTTTAAATACATCATCCGTATTAACCTTTCTAAACATATGACCTTATAAATACAGCTTACAGGTAGCCTTAACAACATATACAGAAACATCAATCTATCACAGTCAATTTTTGCTTTAACAGACATCCATCCAAGCAGACTAGTGGCGACAGGGTCTGGCGTATTCTTTGGTAATGTCTGAATGCGTTTTCCGACCTCTTTGTGCAGACCTTCCATTAGATTAATGTCATTGTTAGTGTAAGGTATTACTGCACAACCATAAGTCAGAGTTGGATAGGAGAATGACCAGTACAGCTTTGATCCAAGCAAGGGATGTATACCACCGCACCCATTGCCTAGACCTAAGAGTGAACAAAATTTTCTTCTTGCACAAGATATTGCAGTTTTAACATGTACATTTGTACTACCTAGTGGTATTCCAACATGCTGAGCAGAGTTAACAATTTTAAGCGAATTTTTACCAAGTTTAAAATCTTGAGCAGCCCTTTTCCCTGGACCAAAATACATGATGACACATTTGTCTGGATGAAATTATCTCCCTAAAACTCTACTTGGCATAAGATATATCCCGTATTCTGATTTTGAGGTTTCCATATCAAGAACCTCCATATCTCCCGCCTCGGTGCATATCTTCCCGCTTCGGTGCATATCTTCCCGCTTCGGTGCATATCTTCCCGCTTCCGGTAAGTAGTGGAAATGCAATAAAATGACTTTGCATATAAATGATTTGTTTATTTTTACACCTTGTACTATTAAAATGGCCATATGCCCCTGAAAACTCTACTTAGTATAGGATAAAGCAGTTATGTACGGTCGGTTTGGATATAGGGTTCATCCCTCGTGAGATATGCACATCTACCTTCGGTCCCTACGGTCCTTCAGGTATATATGCATATCTCCCTCTGGATAAACCCCATATCCAAAACCTCCCAGTACATAACCCTTATTTATTCATGCCTTATAGTTTGGAAGCACTATACTCATTGGATGCAATCAAATGTGACCCAGCTTTTTTATATCATGGAGTGTAGTTTTAATGTGGAAAAAATGTCAAAATTTCTTCAGACAAAAAAGTTATGAAACATTATGTGGATCTGTGTCAGTTTTTGTGGCCCACGGATTATGCCCTTACTGCTTTTAATAGTAAAACGGGACACATACCTTATATTAATGATCTAATAATGATCAAATGCATTATAAAGAAAGAAAATTTAGGACAACAACTAGGCCAGTGCAATCTACGATAACCTGTTTTATCCCATACTTGGACGTGTTACAGGTACATAAAGCCAGTTTGTAAAAACTTATATTTTCATCAGCGGGCAGATATAGCTTTACGTCCCGCTCCGAGCGGGCAGATATAGTATATCTGCCCGCTACGTCATAATCGTCGCTCGCAAATTTGTTCATAATTTGTAACGTTCGCGTAATGACTGTAAACGACAATGGAGAAAACACAGACAATCGGGATCTGCGAGAAAATAAATATGGGAATATTTGAGAGAACAGGGAAAATCCACCCACGGCCAAGAAAACAAAACTGGACATGAATATTCTAAAATATTTACACGATTGAACAATGTGAACCAGATGACCAAGATTGGTATGGGATAAACATATTATCCTATAGTCGGTTCAGGATATTGGGATTATCCCTTGGCCAATATAACATATTTTCCCTCGGGACCTGCGGCCCTCGGGCAAATATATTATATTTGCCTCGGGATAATCCCAATATCCTGAACCTCATATAGGATAATCTCTATATATATTGCGACGTTTCCTGTGGGAGAAACGGCTGGCTGTGAACTGATCTGTCACTATAAATATATAAAAAGTGCCCCCAGAGCATTCATAACCATTATGTCATATAATATTTATTTAGTAAGGAGTTAATTATGGCATAGTGTTCAGGTACATCCTAAGTGTTATTGAGGTCATCGTGACCTTGTAAAGGTCAAGTCAGTGCATATCTGCAAATCAAGCATTCTTGTGTGCAAAATCATAATTTATGAAATCTAAAATGTGAAAATATGATAAAGAATGTTGTTAAGAACATTATTTTGTGTTTAATCGAATGGACTTCATTTCCCTGAAAGTACAAGCCAAAATCATTAGTATTTACAAAGTTATGATACAAAACCTGATTGGCATTTTTGTGTAGAATCCATGTGCGTCTGCATGGAATCGAATGGACGACAATTAGAGCAAATGTTGTTACGCTCATAAAATTTGACCCACTTGAGCTACACATCTGAAATTCTTTGAATTTGGCAAAGGACAAGTTATATATTAATGGACAAACAAGTTATACAACGTAAGGTGGTCTCACCCTGTACATAACCACTGAAACAAATATGTATTGATAGTGATGAAATCAGTTATTAACCATAGTATAATTTACAAATACGGTTCATTCACAAATACTTTATTTCCTTAGAGTTGTCCATGAGTTTAGATGTGAGGAATTTTACAAGAAAACAAAAAGGGCAACATGTAAAATACAAATCGAAATTAACTCAGTGGCTGCCTTTTGATTAAATGCCGCGGTTGGTGCTTACGTATGGTATTCTGACCTTTGATTAGAGTTAATATACTTTAAAAGGTTCTTTTAATAGTATTTAAAAATAGGAAGGACCAATGATGGTATGAATTACCAGCATTCTCCAATTGTAGTCTCGTATCAGCAGAACTAGCGGTAAATACCTTCCAAAGAAGACATGAAAACATTTAGAATGACGGAAACCATCCGAAGGGTCAATAATTAATTTACGACCGGAGGTGTATGTGCACCTGTGTCATGTAAAATTACCCTTTCTGATAGGGAAATATGTAGTATCTTAAATATTTTCGTACAAGATTGGAAGGCATGGTGTTATCGCCCACTTCTCTTGCCGTCTGTCTGTCCGTATGTCCATTGGTAGCTAATTCGAAATCCTCAAGCCACGACGATTGAAATAATTTTACTTTTCAAATGTGCCTATACAAAGGAAAAATACTATTTCAGCTCGTTTCTTGTCATAATTTCATAATTATTCCATCAATTTGCTTAAAATTGTATAGGTTCCTTACTTTCTAAATAAGCAAATTGTGGCAGATCTGTGGCAGCTCTGATTATCATTATTCCACAAGTACTTATCAGATTTTCAATGATTTCTACAAGTTTCAGAAAAATAGGTTCCAAAGCTTCAAAATGACCGCCACTTTTATTTTTAGCTTTTTGATTTGTTATCAATAATGTGTACACGTTTCGGCAAAATACTGTACAGTGCATCCCCAAAAAACGCAACAAAGAAATACATTGTAAAATCACAAAACCAGTGATGACTATATCAATTTCATTTAGTTTATCATGAAACCATGTGTCTCCCCTTTCCAATGATATGTCATTTGTTCATATCTGATCATGGAACACTGAAAAATCAGTGTTTTTTCATTTTCATGTCTGTCATCTTATGAAAGATTACTCATGGAAGATTACATTCCATGCCCTTTCACATGACCACTATTTCTCTACACACAGAGACTGGCTTGTGTCTCCATGTCACACACCTCTTTGAATCATCTGGTGTTCTGGCGGAGAGCAGCAACCTCATTGGTGACTCTTTGTTTAACTGTTGCAATGTCTAAAACTTGGTCCAGAGTAGATTTTGGAACGTTTTGCAAAAGGAATAATTATTCAGTGGTCTGTGGTCGTATATGAATAATTGACATACCATTGGAAAGAGGAGACACATGGCTTCCTGGTGAACCAAATTTATGTCATCACCAATGGTTTTGTGATTTTACAATGTCTTTGTTTGTTGCGTTTTTTTGGGACGCACTGTATGGCAATTCAAAATGGCCCCCATTTTGAAATCATAAAGCTCCATATAAGTGTGGTTGTGGCTCAATCAGTTCTTTAAAGGGTGGCAAAATTACAAGCAACGTATACAACTGAACTCCCAATCTATTCTTTACAATCTCAAATACAATATCTACCAAATGATTCACGATATGAGTATAAATTGCAAAAATGCAAAATGGGTTAAAAATGTTCAAATTTTCCCAAATGACAAAACTGCAACCATATTTGTATAAAAAGAAAAAAATCATTTTTTTAAGACTGGTCGCTTTGTCTGATTTTCTCTTTAATTACTTCTAGCCTGTGGTTGTCAGGTTATGTATAGTACTGATCATATCCCAAACAAATATCGTGTCCTAATCGGCTGCGTCATTTAACAAAACGATATGATGCCGAGCCATATATTATTAATTTTGAAATAGATATTGTTTCAAATGATCGTGAAACCGAGTCGGATATGCGACGAAGGCGTTATGAGTTGGGATAAAAATGATCATTCTTTGAAGGCGTCAGCCGTCAGTGAGCGAGGACATCCTAGAGTGGACAACACAAAGGAGGACACTTAATAGTATGCTAGGCGGATTATCTAAGGAGTGCCCTGTGTTCTTCATAGTGGCATTTCTTTCTCAACTTCAGGTATTTTAATCAAATTATTTTCTTCATCGTTTATTCGTGCCTTTTTACTTAACAAACGTAATATTTTCTCATGTAAAGACATCTTGGTTAAGTGTGACGATTGTATGGTTATACAATCTGACAAATCAATGTTAATATTAATGCTTTAGACATCTATTTTGGTTAAACGAAGAGTAATGCGAACTAAAAATAAAAAAGCAGGGAGGTTATCGCAAACAATTTCAGACGATTCTAATACCTGAATTCTAAATATTTTCTGATCATGAACACATGTGAACCTTTTCGAAACATTCAATATCATTATCTTCAAGAAAAGTGTATGTAATGATAATTTCGCTAATTAGACTTGGTGATATTAAAGGGGCGATGGACCAATTAACACTCATTTTCAAATATGTCGACCTAATTTTCACTAAAAGTGGAACCTTTTATAATAATGTTGAATACATAATTAGAATGTGCTTGGAGAATATTTTATTTCCTAAAAGGAAACGTGGATTCCTCCAGGGACTTTAAATATACTGAATTGGGATGACCAAAATGAGTCTAAACCAATGGATAGCATGAGTTTTTTTATTGGGAAAATAACATGGGGAACATTGATCCTAGAGGAATTCCGTTTTTCTTTCAAGAACTAATAAATACATCAAAATAACGAATTGAAGTGCATCAAACATTGTAAAATATGAAAATATCAAAGTTAAACTTAAAGAGACAATTAGAAATCAAATTAAACAGAATGAGGTGTTACTTATCCCTACGCTCAGATTTTTATAGACATAATTTTGAAAATGTTTCAGACCTAAAATGTGGGTATAATAATCAGACAAAGGTACATTTCTTACTTCATTGCCCTCTTACACTTGAAGCAAGGCAACAATACATGAAAAGTTTATCTCTGGCTGAACGAAACTCATTCAACTTTTCAGATAAAAGTAGTCCTGACAAAATAGAAATGATTCTGTTTGGCGTTTCAAATGTGACAAGAGATCAAAATTCAATTATTATATTTTTATCAGCAAAGTTTATCGATAAGATAATTTAGGATTTTTGAAGTACTTTATTCTGTTCATCACTCTTCATTTCATCTCATTCTCATTATCAATCTTCCAATAGAGTAACTTATATTATTTTTGTTGTATACCAAGCCAAAAATGTCTGTTGACCTAGGTTGGGTTTCATTCACATTAGTTTTATGCAATTTATGTGGTCTTTAAAGAGTTAGTGAAGGATAGATGGTGCTCACTATGTAATTGCAAGTCAGAAATTAAACATAAGTGTAAATGTAAGAACATTTTTGTTAAATTTGAATGTATTTGTGTATATTATGTAAGAAAATGACACAAATTATTGGTCATGACTGTATATTTTGTAACTATTATATTGGTAGGTAAGACCACATGTACAGGGTGGTCAAAAAAACTGGAAACCCTTACACCATTTTCCTAATATCTTAATTATTTTACAAAATAACTTTGCACATTTGTACATCACTCAATTTCCTACCAGCCTACCATATTTCATGAGCATCTGATTCATAGTCACCGTGTTACTGCACTTTAAAGAACATTCCCGGTGGCCACTATTGCGCTGAAGACCAACCTGCACATGTCGCCCAATATCTCCCTACCTATGGATATATGGCAGAGATAGAGTGTATAATAATGACCCCAGGTCAATTGCAGACCTCAAAAGTGAGATCATCTGTATCATTCAGGCCATACCTGCTGAGGAATGCATTTGGATCATTGACAGCTGTGCAGGTTTGCCTCCAGAGCAATGATGGCCAAACCTGAAGCATGTTGTTCAAAGTGCTGTAAAATTGTGACTATCAGTCTGATGGTCATGAAATATGGTAGGGTGGTAGGAAATTGAATGATTTACAAATGTGTGAAATATCAGCGAGTAATTTCTTAAAATGACAAGGATATGAGGAAAATCCAGGGTTTCCGTTTTTTGACCACCCTGTATTTGATTTAGAGAGTCAAATATGTAACTTTCGTTGCACTCATGACTTCTCTTATACTTTTGAGAAAATGTTTCTATGTATTACAGCTACACTCATAAAAACTGTCATTACAGGTACTTCTGGCCAGCCAAGTATCACTGAATCAAATACGACAGACTCACGACCAACTCTCAAAATATGCTACCAAAAACTTTCAAATCCCGCCTCTGGAAGATTCCAACACTCAAAATTCGCCTCCAGATCACGATGAGAAGATCAACTTTGAGGTACGGGAGCCTAAAAACGAACATAGAAGTGAAGACAGTGATATTAAACATGATTTTATCGGCCCAGTGGATGGACAGATTCGTAAGAAAAGAACTACTTCGGGGTGTCCCGATCCGACCCGCGATACTTTACATTCAATCCTTGGTCAGTCATTCAATCCCAGCATTATGGTCGATAGAAGGAGCGACCTTCCAACGGGAACACTGCCCCCCACGGAATACCGCCCTTACTCGAATAATCCAAAGAGGTCCTCAAGGAAAAATCTTCTGCTCGACTTGGCCCATAATTTAGGACGTTCAAAACGCTCCCGTCGGGGTCAAACAGACCCATTCTCGGCAGCTCTTCCATTGCCATGGGAGTGCGAGTCTTTGGAAGTCTGGCGAGATTTGGGAACTGATTATTACCCACGTTATATTCGAGAATATGAATGTATGTCCAATCAAAACTGTTGGTATGGACATTATAAATGTAAGCCTAAGTACTACAAGGCGAAGGTGTTACGTCGCAACACGGAAAGATGTGCCCCAGATATGTCTCTTCCAGCTGAAATAAGGAACAATTGGTTGCTCAGGGATATCGGTATCGCCATCTATTGTGAATGCGGCAGATGAACACGTTACCATGCTTTAACGCTTATACATTCTATAAGGGTGGACCAATAAAACTCTTGAAACCACATGTTTTTCCTGTTTAATTTCAACATACATAGTATATATAGCCACAATTTCGGTGGGGGGGGGGCGTATTTCTGTTATACCGGTTCTTAAAAGGTAACGCATAACGTTTAAAGTCCCCGTCTAAAGTTTGAAAATATTTTTTTATCATTCATTTACTATTTGTCAGGACTTAAAAAGTAATTTTAGAGATTTTTGAACAAAAAAAAATTTTTATAAAAAAGTTGTGAGCATTTCATTTCTCAAATATTCAAATTTCCCGCAATTTTTCAAAAAAAGTTGAAATTTCTTAATCATCAAATATTTCTTAATGCATTTCAAAAAAGATTATCTTTTTAACACCAATGCAAAGATTGAACAAAGGACACACCATTTCAATAATAAAATGCCATATTTAATGGGCCACTTCAATGTTTTAGCATATCAAAACTATTTTGAAACATTAGTGATGTCACTAAGGTACCAAAAACTTTTTGAAAAAAATTGAAATTTTTTTTCGATGTCAATCTTTTCTAAATATATATGACTTTCACAAAAAAACAATGTTGATTGTGTAACCAGATTAAAAGTAAGAATAAATTATGTTTTAGATATCATTGTACCATTGGTTTCTATGAGAACTAAAATTTTGAAATGCATTTTTCTCAGAACCATTTTCATGCACTGATAAGTTCATTTCTCGCTTATTTATGAACCGATTTTCTTAATTTTTTCGGCAAAAAACATGGGAGGATGAATGCTATGCATTGGTATGAATTGTGGCTAATTAGAAGATATGAGTGACCTCTAAAAGTTGGTTTTAAATAAATTCACAAATTTTGGAACAAAAAGTCTATCAAAAACCACATTTTGAAATTTAAAAAAAAAGTTTCACATATCACACTTTGATAACATTGGGTAAAACTACAATATAAGCCAAAGTGGTTTAAACTTTATATGGGGCCTTTAAGCTAACCGTACACCAATTTGGACATGATCGGACATCAAGAGATATATGTGAAATATTTTCAGCGGACATGAGCGGACAAGTCCGGACATTTCCATCAAATATCAACGGACACTGTTGCTGTTGTTCGCCGGGCGTTGTCCATTGTTGTCGGGTTTTGTCCTTTTATGTCCGATAAAAATGAACGCGTTAATTCTTTTCAACGAACATTACCGGACAAATCAAGACAAGTTACAACATATGCCCATTTTCTGACAAAATGGCACTGTACTCCGGCCAGCATCGGAAAACAGGACACTATCGGACAAAACAGGACAACGCCGTTTTCTTTGTCAGTGGACCGGGCTAACTGTAAGAGTCGCCGGTAATAGACCGTCAACGGTTGTCATATCGTGAACCATTCAGACAACCGCAGTTATACTGTAAACATACTGACATTCGGTCTTACCTAATCTCAGCTGCAGTAAGAATCTTAAATGGCGGAGACTCAGATATGTTTAAAGTGGCCCCCTTTAAAAAAAATGCGGGACGTCCATCCTTTCAATTGCTTATTTAGAAGTATATTTGCAAGTCTGATTGGTGGTATTTGTCGACAAGTGCATACATTTAAGAAAAAAGATATGGCGAAGAAGACATTAGGCCAAACGTTGCACTTATAGCTCGGGAAAGGTAAAATGATTTCCAAATTTCTTCTATGGTCTTTATTGAACCTTTAAGAAATGGACCTCTCGGGAACCTCTATCTTAACAACATCTTGCTTCATCAAGCTTCGGACCTATCCTCATATAGAACCTTTAGAAAGTAGTGATTGAGCGTGGGAACCGACGATGTCTTAAGAAATCGAACGCTCGTTTTGGTGTTGCTCGTGTGTATGTATGTATAAAAGGCGCAATCCCGCAATATACAGTTGAGGTCAACGTGTCTGTTTATTTTGCAATAGTACAGATCGCCTCGTATTTATATAAGGTAATCTCCCGGGTAATCTTTAACGTTTTACCTTTTTATTAGTGAAGTTTCAGGATCTTTTAAGGGAACAATTGGCATTTTGATTTCCTATCAAGATTACGATGATATAAATGGGATACCCCGCCTCTATTGCTATGGTTGTGCCTTCAACTAACTTGAGAAAAGTACTGCATTTTCTGAAAAAGTAGGTCACAAAATCAAATCAAATCGAGGTCAACATGACCAAGAGATGAAAATTTGTGATGGAACTATGATCAAGGTAAACGCTTTTCAATAACTGCTCTTTCAAAGAAAGGAGGTATCGCGAAATCCCATTGAAACCAATGCAACGTGAAATTGAATAATCAACAATTTCAAGTTAAAATTTTTTGTCTTTAGCATTTATATTTCAAGATGTACAATTTTCAACCAGAGATTTAGCACGAAAATACAATGTAGATAAATGCTTGACTTGGTAATTTTGGTATTATAATTTTGGTCCATCATTTTGCCTAGCAACCACCTAGCATTAGCAACGGCATAAACATCAAATGATTGTAGAGCATTTGTAATTTTACGGTGCGCATGTCAAGCTGCGCGCGTACTAGGCGCGCAGTTTGAAACCCTGACAAACTGCGCGCATATTTCAAAATGGAAGACGGAGAGGACACGACTCCCAAAAGACCTAAAATACCAAAATACAAGGTTAGTCTCGCTAGTCTCGCTCTTCAGACAGTGCCATTTTGTGAAGATGAACATTATAGTATGTTGTTCCCGATGTAAACCTAGTTTTCTCAAGTTAAACTAGTCAAACAGATGTCATGGTGATGAATGGATTCTTCACATTGGATTTGATGACCCTTGCAAAAAAATCATTGAAAATGTGTTCTTCTAGTGATTTTGTTCCTTTTAGATGATTTTAAAGAAAAAATTGCAATGTGTGAAAAGAACTTAAGACCAAAACTCAATGCATTGTAGCTGCTTCATTCCACTCAGAAACAAACTACCCACCTCGCGCGCAGGTTGACATAAGCATCGTGATCATAGAGTATTAGAAACAAGGTAACGATCAATATTTTATGAATTTCAATTTTATTGGCATCATACCCTTTGCATTCGTTTGACTTTACTTCTTAAAAGAGAGCTTCGTCTTCAGTTTCTGTAGTTTAACTAGACTCTGCACGCAGGGTATTGGCATCACGTTCCAACTATCATAACTTTGCGTCTTTGCGCCAATCACCTTGGTTTTTACGCCAAAAAGTGTCTTGTATCTGTGGCTTAAGCCAAAAAGTAACGGAAAATGTGCAAAAAGTACTGCTGAAAAAAATCAAATGGGGGTCGGATTGACACAGATATGGGAGTTAATCGAATCGAATCGAATCATGCAAAGCCAGATGCCCATACCTTTTTCAGATTTCAGACGAGACCATACCCTCTGCCCTCAGTAGGGACAAGTATGACGACATCCGTGCCAATATAGATTTTAGATTTAGATTCATGTGACGTCGTCATGAACAAGGTAACATACGACGGAAAAGCATTAAATTGTTGCATGTCATACACCTACAACGAGTTAGTCCTGGTTATTACCCGATATTATTTAGCAATACAAAAAATGATATTCTTTTGGCATACGAAAGCTAAAACGTTCGTTCCTAAATGAAAAGGGCTCACATAATAACAGGATAAGGCCAGGATAATTGATTCTGATCTAAAATAACAGATCTCTAAATATGTCCATGGTCTGGTATGATTTGAGATTTTGTTTCATTGTCTAAAATTACAATTCAACGATTTATTCTCTGTTTGAACTGCCTACGCCAATGATCAATTTGTGATCGTGATCATACGGTTGCGGTTGATAAACATTGTAATGATAAAATGTTATAAAATTCAATGAAAATTCAATAAAATCAGAATGAAATATAACCTAAAATCAAAATTAAGTGCGCATGTGAAACATTTGTGTAAAATAGTCCTAAAATAGCATAATGTTGCAGTAATTTCATAATTTGTAATATTAAGACTTATATTACTCAGTTACATCTGTATGCGTCACACTTGTGTTATAATTCATAACCTGAACAAGACTGCAACGCTCACTTAAATTATTCTGTCATTCCTGAGTTATAATTTATAATCTGTACAAGATCGTCACACTCACTTGTGTTATTCTGTCACACTTGTGTTATAATTCATAATCTGAACAAGACTGCAACCTTCACTTCTATTATTCTGTCATTCCTGGGTTATAATTCATAATCTGAACAAGACTGCAACCCTCACTTCTATTATTCTGTCATTCCTGGGTTATTATTCATAATCTGAACAAGACTGTAACCGTCACTTCTATTATTCTGTCATTCCTGTCCTGGGTTATAATTTATAATCTGTACAAGACAGTCACTTTCACTTGTTGTATTCTGTCACACTTGTGTTATAATTCATAATCTGAACAAGACTACAACGCTCACTTATATTATTCTGTCATTCCTAAGTAGTAATTTATAATCTGTACAAGACCATCACACTCACTTGTATTATTCTGTCACACTTGTGTTATAATTCATAATCTGAACAAGACTACAACGCTCACTTATATTATTCTGTCATTCCTGAGTAATAATTTATAATCTGTACAAGACCGTCACACTCACTTGTATTATTCTGTCACACTTGTGTTATAATTCATAATCTGAACAAGACTGCAATGCTCACTTCTATTATTCTGTCACACTTGGGTCATAATTCATAATCTGAACAAGACTGCAACCCTCACTTCTATTATTCTGTCATTCCTGGGTTATAATTCATAATCTGTACAAGACAGTCACATTCACTTGTTGTATTCTGTCACACTTGTGTTATAATTCATAATCTGAACAAGACTGCATGACAGTTCAAAATCTAAACAACACTGCCACACTCCGGTGTATTATTCTGTCACAGTGTTATAATTCATAATCTCATACCTACACGATTACACTAACTTGCCAAATCATGTCACATTTGTGTTATTCTGTCAGAATTGTGTCACAAATTATGATCTGAACTACACTGTCATACTCACTTGTATAATTCTGTCATATTTGTCACACTTGTGTAAGATATTGTGATCTGAACTAGTCACACTCACTTGTATTATTCTGTCACACTTGTGTTATAAAGCCATATGTTGCAATTGAATTGTGATAGAAAGTGACCTAATAATTGTAAGTGCCAAAGGGAAAGGACCAAGAAGAAAAAGAAAATATCTAAGTGTACACCCTCCAGTAAGGAAAAACAAACCCCAACTATCCCAAACCATAATCCAATGTGAAGAGAAACAAAGTCTAATACTCCTCCCCTGCCAATCAAGTTCCATTATCACAATCCAGTGTCCCAACACCAATTAACATTTCTTTCAGAAGCCATTACAATATAAGTTAAAGAATTAATTTAAATTCATAAGGAATACCCATAAGATCAAAAATAGTTGTAGATACTAGTATTCATACAAGATAGGGCATTCAGTTTCAAATGATGTGGGATAGACATAATCCAGTATCAAAGTCCACATTAGGATATCAAACGGTCAACATCCATCTGCAAAGCAGACGTCATAATCCATAAAACACAATACTTTGTGACAATGATTTCCTGAATAGTGAGAGAAGAAGATGGGGGTGTTATATGATGGTTTGGGAAAGTGATCGGTCTACTTGAAACCACAATGATTAATTCTGCTCAGTACTTAAAGGCCCCATGCAAAGTTTGAAAATATATTTTTATCATTTATTTACTATTGTTCATGACTTTAAAAGTTTTTTTAGAAAAGTTATTTTCGAAAACATTTTAGAAAAGTTGTCAACTTTTTATTTCTCATATATTCTTTCCCTCCATTTTTCAAATAAAAGTTGAAACCTTTACAGTGCACAATACACTATCTTCTTAACACCATTGTTAACCTCTTGACTACCTGGAATGATCCTGAAACCCAGAGTGACAAGAAAATCTGTCACAAAACTTTTCACTAAAATTGCTCTTGTTTGAATTTTCATCCAATATACACAAAAATTGTTTTAAAATGTGTAGAAATGATTTTTGAACCAGCTTACAATATTTTTTACAGTTACCACAAATAGAATCTGGATCTCTCAAAAAGGTTCATTACTGATGGTATTTTAGGAAAGAGTACCCGTGAAAAATACCACTAGCTAAATCTAAAGCCACAAAATGAAAGAGTACAATTATATTTTTGATGATCTTACACAAGGTCATGCCTAGATGGAAATTTATATCTCTAAAATACAAAATCATTGGTGCTATATATATATATTTACACTACTGTTTCAGACATTGGACATTCTATCTTTACAATCTAAACAATAAAGAAAGGATATCATCATTATTGAAAAAGCAAAAGTGTTGCAATTCTAATCACCCTGTATATAACACTCATATATTGTTCACATGGAGGTATGCCAAGTATTAAAATAGAACTCATGGCATTTTAGCGTTAACTGAGTACTCATTTCAGTAAATATTAGTACTAATTGAGCACTTATGACATGAGTACTAATTTATTGCATTTTTAGTACTAAATGAGTACTCATATGATGAGTAATACAATAGCACTAATTTCATTGATTTTTCAATTTAATCAATTTGATACTCATGCATATGCAAAGTGCTCAGTTAGCACTAAATTAGCACTTGTGGCATGAGTGCTCATGAGCAGAGTGCTAAATTACTACTAATTTTGTAAAAATTGAGTAGTCCGCACATCTCCCTGTGTATGTAATCCTAAAAACTAAAACCCCTCAGTTAAAGACTGCAACAAAAGCGTGTAATTTATCAGAAACAAAGAATTGAGTATTGTGCTTAAATCCTTAATTCAGGAGCTATTTAACATTTCTGAAGCATTCACACATTATTATTATTAAATACATTGTATTTCAAAAGCATATGCATTTAAATATCGATATATTTCTAAAATTTCTACACATATTCTTGTTTAACAAGTATCGCTGTTATTACATCATTGGTTCAGCTAAAGTAACCACATAATATTTATTCTGTATTTTACATCCCCTCAATTCCTTGATATACACGTAACAGAAATGAAAGTGTCTGTCTGAATAATTATTGAGTGACCCTCTTATTTCTGAAGACCATGTCTTCATATTTCTGAAGTGTTCACACATGTTCTTCATGTTTTTGAAGTATTCACAAATATTCTTCACAGTTCTGTATGTACAACTATTTATATTTCTGAAGTATTCACATATTCAGGATAAATCTCTAGCTGGTGTTTATGAGGTCTATTAGCATGAAGAATCTGAGAATATACCACCGAGTTCTGAGCTTTCAATTTATTCACTTCATCAACCTCTTTCAAGGTGTCCTTTTTATCAACTTTTGGAAAATTAACTTCAACATATTTTAATGATTTTGGAACGTCATACTTATTTTCCATCACAGTTGAAATCGTGGCATAGGAGCTGTCACTCATATCACTTTGTATTGAGTGAACCCTTGCTCTGGGTTCAGGCTTTGGCTTTTTCTTTTCTTTGGTCATATATAGTTGACTGCAACAGCAACTGACCCAGAGTTTGTATTTTATACTATTGTACAGTCGCCTCATACAACCTTGTGTATCATCCAGTGATTCCTGACATCCTTTCCTCAGCGCCATTCTATTGGATTTCTTCCTGCATATGATTGCCCACACAACCACAAATACTATAAGGCACACACAACACAGAACAATACGCATGATTAACACCTCTATGCGCTTTTCAGATTTGATATCATCATCCACGTCGTTATACCAATTTGGCATGTACATATTTCCATTGAGTACCTCATTGACTCGACGTAGTAATGGGTAACGTGTGTCGCAAACTGCATTAAAGTCATCAAAATCTAAACTCCAAACCATCACACCTGCTAGTTTCATTTCTTTAGCATACTGTGTCTAAAAGAAAACATGAACATATACTACCTTAATTGAATATACACAAAACATGCATCCTTCAACATGCTTGGTCCAATAGACACAAAGAGGTTAAAACACATGCTCCAACTGGTTCAATATGTTTAACTTGTACAATCACAATGTGTCAGATTAAATTATCACAATGTGCTCCTCTTAAATGATCAAATCGGCCAAACTTGTGTTTTGCTTAGTTTGCAAGCTAGGTCAAGTGAGCAAGACACAAAAGTTCAATACATCAATTTAAGGACTCTCACCTTTATTCCAATACTATCTTGATCCTCATAGCCTATCCATTGCTTTTGATTAACATTGTGAAGGTATGGCGTCTTCTGATTTTCTTGCCAATGTCTTGTCCATCCCTTGTCAAAGTTGGGACAAATCTATAAATCATTTTTAATATGGGTCAGTTTATTGTTGGGGGATAGACCAATCTAGATGAGCATGCTCCCTTTTGGCTATGATATCAATTTAACAGTTTTGGGGCAAAAATAGAGTTAACATATTTTAATATTATCTTATATCAAATGCTGCTTTCAGCATAACACAGCCATTAATAAATAATCAATCATTTGTTAAGATGGTTTAAACATAGCAGGTGCGTGAAAAGGTGATAAGAAAATGACTAAACACGACTTTCATAATATGGAGGTTATATATAATGATTTATTGATGAAGGTGGTTTGTGCAAATTACAGTGTACTATAGACTGATGAGGGGAAGAGTTTACCTCATAATAAGAAAGAGTGCCGGCTGTGTTGGTGTATTTCCCTGGCAATCCTGAGGCGCAGCTCCTATCTCCAACATTTACCTCTGCAGAGCTACAAATTGCAAAACTTCGTCCATAAAATGGCAGTCCCAGGTTTAGTTTCTCTCTTGGAGCACCCCTGCGTATCCAGTCCTTTACTGCCCAGTCCTGAAGAGTATAAGAAAATCACAAATCACAAATCAATGATCCAGACCCTCGAAACAGACTTTACTGTCCCCTAGAGATGGCTTCACCTTATCAAGAAGGCCTAAGCTCAGAGGTAGATTTAGAAATTAAGCCCAAAAACTGAGGACAAATCATGGAGCATACATTAATCATTCAATTGATTTAATTTTGCATAAATTTTGAAGAGAAAAAGACAATACAATCTGGGTAATTTCCAATATCAACTAACCTGAGAAAACTCATCATCTGCACTGGTACCATATAAAGGACTATGGAGTCCAAGCTTTCCATCCCATGGTCCATGAAGGTCATATGTCATCAAGCTGATGAAATCAAGGTAACTGCAAATTCATAAAGATATCTCAACTATGACATCTATCTCCTCAAATGAATCTATATATGTCTGAAGGTAATATTTACCATCTACTCTAGCCTTGATTAAATTGGCAGATATAAGACATCCGAGAAATATCAGAATACCCTGTCATTTAGGATTTTCAAAGGCACAAATCATAAGGGCAATGCAATATTTAAGATCTAATACATCTTGATACATAGTTCTACTACAAAAACTTTGTAAAAAAATATGTTAGTTTCTTACTGAGATATTTTCTCTACTTCATAAGCAGTGTATGACACAAGTCTTCCAACCCCTACTGCAGCTGTCAACATAAGCTTGCTATCTGCAGAATTTATTGAGCCTTCAACGTCAAATGCGTATCGAAATTCCTGTAATTACAGATAAAACTTCAATCAGGCATTTATGATTTATTAATGGCATATTCTTTATTTTGGTCAAAATATGTTTTCAGTACATAATTAACCTGAATTGAGATGACATAAAATTCTAAACAAAGCCAAACATAATATGTAATTATTACATCTAAAATAGGCGTTAATGTTGTTTTACTGTATCATATTACAAAAAAATAGTTTGTACTCAGAGATATAATTGCCAGTGATGTTTGCATTTGACAATAAGCAAATGAGAGTTAGTAGGTCAAGTAATTAAACACAGAAAGCCAAGAGACTGTTACTGAAGAACAAAGGCAAAAAAGCAAGTAAACAGGAAAACTGAATGGGACCAAGAGATTGATTATAAAAAAAGGCAAAATATGAAAGTTAAGGAAACAAGACACTGATTGTGAAAAGCAAAGCCAAAAAAATAAAATCAAGTAAACACAGAAAACTGAATCAGGATTAAAATAAAAATTCATAAAAACCAAAGCAAAAGCAAAAAAAGCAAGTCAAGGAAACAAGGAGAAACAAAGGCCGGCAAGAAAGTTCATATAAGTTCAGTAAAAAAAACAAGGAAAACTCTATAAGAGACTGGGGGTAGACCACTAGACCTAATATCTGACTTATAGTATCAAATATGAACCAAATCCAAATTACAGCCAAAAACTCCTCTGACACTTCGAGTTACATATTTAAGTTAGAAAATGTGTGTTAAAAGGAACTCATGGACAGCCTCTATATCCATCTACAATATATAAGCGCAAATGCCAAAGGGAAGGGTGACTAAAAACTTTAAAGAAACCCAACAAGAAAAGCAAACTGTAAGTGGAAATCTGTCATAAGAAAAGAAGCCCCAATATATCCCAAAACCATGATCTAACGTGAAAAGAAACAATGTCTAACATACCCCTCCCCCTCCGATCGAGAACCAATATCACAATCCAGGACCAGAACACCAAGGGACATTTCATTCATACTAAAGTCATTACAATACATGTTGAAGAAAAATTGAAAAAATTGATAGCCAATACTCATAACATCAAAAATAGTTGCAGATACTATAAAAGATAGGGTTTTCAGTCTCAAATGATGTGGGATAGATAAAATCCAGTCTCGAAGTCCATAGGCAATTCAAAGGGTCAACATCCGTTCGTTTTTTCAAAATACTCATAGACAAATCTTTGTTGGATTATATTCAATGACAGTTATCCTACATGCTGTGCAATGTTTCTCTTCAAACAACCTCAAATAACTCAAGTATAATTGTTTCATTTTCCAGTATAGACTAGAATCATATGATGATAAAAGCCTCTAGAAAGTGAAAGTACTTATATTTTGACGAGCCGGCAAGAGACCTGTATCAAAATACTCCTTTATATATAACAAAAGATTTGTGAGATTTAACATGGTGAACGAGGTGTCAAAAGGCACTAATTTGACAATTAATTAAAAGAATATTCCTCATTTCTTGACTAGTTCAACATATACAGTCAGTGTTGATCACCACATAAATAAATGTGGTCAACTTGTCAATATGCCAGGCTGGAGCCCTGCCAACCAATCAGTGTTTTGGATTTTGCACACTGGTTTCATATAGATTGTACTTTATCTGGTTTGATTAACTTTATTGAACTAGTACCAATAATCACCAAACACAATCAGCTCCCTATCAAAACAGATTTGTTAGCCATTGGTTCAGTAAATGGGATCTGTCATTTATCTCATCTCAACCTATCGTATAAAACAGAGAAAACAGGATGTGTCTTCTGTCCACAACATGGTTTAACTTTATGAAATGCTCAACACAAATGCAATAGAGGGAACGATGAAAATATGATTGATGCATAATATCCAAACAGAATAAGATAACAGATAAATGTGATGACATTTTCAGCAATGTGAAAGGTATAACTCCGGAACAGTAAAAATGGCACAATACACTTCCAGTGATACGAGTTCACACAAATCAGTAAATTAAATGTAATTCTCAATGGTACATCCATCATAGGGTGTAAGACTAGATAATATGAAAGACCTTATGTCAAGAAATGTATAGATCACTAAGACTGTTTTTTACAAATTTAAAAGTGATATGAAGAAGTCTTCCACTATCACCAGTAATTATTTGACATGCTGCATTCTCTCACAAGTGAGCTATCTTCTGCTGCTAAGAGGAACATGTTCTTAAGTTGTCAGCTGTGACAGAAATATACTATATGTATGAGCCGGTGATTCTAAACAATAACTTGACAAAAAATCTAGGACATTTGCAATTGCGAAAAGCATTAGAGCTGCACATTATCTACAAGATAATTGTCCCATTACAAGGTGGTATGGCATAAACTGTTATTTTACCCGTAAACTATGCTGATCAAGACTATGGATTATCATGCTATATCATTGGTGCAGCAAAATACCATTTTCAGGAGATGGTGCACACAGCACTGCAACTTAGTAAGACTGATGTGCTAAGGCTGTCAAAAATGATTTTATTGCTCCATCCCCATTGTTTGCCCTTCCCCAGTGTTCATAGTTTTTTAATCAAATAAAAGAAGTCATAATTGTTTGAAGCAAGAATTCTTTTTAATCGCTATTTAGACTATTACTCAAAATAATAAACGAAAGCCTCCGCTAAAAACGTTAAAAATTAATAATGAAAAATGATCGTTTTGAGTGGAGGATGTTCACGCCTTTTCATTAACTTCGTATTCAGTCATTAAAGGTTTCTTATTGTGCAGAAGTATGATTGACAATTGTCACTGCTTGCGCCGGTTCATTTTATCTGAGAAAAAGAAGTAGTTTTCGGTTAAATAACAAATTGTGCGGAAACATTGAAACTTGTAAAAATGACCTGCTCCACCTCATTGTACAAAATAATCGATGATAGGCTGTGATGATGATAGTGACAATTATGTTTCCACATAACATTATATGTTTGAATATCCATTTTATATTACATGTAATAGTAAACCAACCATCGTATCTGCAAATGTTTTGAGGATATATCAAAGTATACATTGGTGACATACACCACATTCGAATATTTTACTTATATGATCATTTGAGTAGTATGACATATGAACTGGAATATGACACAATGGAGTGTGAAATAAAATTCAATTGAAATATATTATATATTTCTTGGTGAAGTGCGAATTCGGGTTGTAAACCTTAATAATATCTCTATTATTAATGCATATAAATAGTACATTGACAATTTAATTCACGTATGAGCCAACCACAAGCAAATTCCCTAAAAGCTCCCAAAAATCTCCAAAATAAATCAAATATGGTTTATTTTCACTTTTTTATAGTTAAACAGACTGTTTGTACTAAAACAAATTTTCAAAAAAAATCTTTTAATTTTAAAATTTTTTTCTGCAAAAAAACACAATTTTTCACCCAAAAACACATTTTGACACCTATTTCTTCTTGTTAAATCTCAGTTCCAATTTAGGAACCCTTTACCTTTCAATTGGTAAACATGAATTGCCGGCTCGTCAAAATATAAGATGTCATGATATTTTCAACCCTCTGATTCTAGTCTAGTAGCCATACATAGTTTGTTTAATAAAGTAATGATATATGAAACATTAATATGTGCTGACAATGTTTTATTACTGCCCTTCTGATATTACTTACTCCATCACTATTATTACAAGTGCTTGTCTTATCCTGCCCCACACTCGTGTGCGTTTCATGTTTAATTTTAGAAGAATAAACATAAAATGGTAATGATAGTATTGAATCTCATGCTGTTATTACGTTCAATAAGTATTGCTAATTTTGTTATATTTTGGTTTTCTTTTTTTTTCTTCATGAAACAATACATATCTTTGTCAATTCTAAATTGATTGTCATGAAAGGAGGAGGGAAAGTATCGCAACAGATTACGGACAGTCATATGTTGGATTTTGGCTATTTTCTCAGGACTAAAACAGGTACATATGTTAGGCCAATGCATTATCTCCAGGAAAAGCTCTCATAGAGATGATAAAATAATTTTGACTTGAATTTTTGTTGCATCAATATGTTGCGTTTTGACGCACAATTAAACCAAAGGAATAAGTAATTCCTCCAGGAGTTTTAAAGATATCCATTATGGGTGACCAAAATTAGCTGAAAGCAATGGATCGCATGAGTTTTCCTATGGGAAAATAACATGGCTAATATTATTTCCACTTTATCGAAGAGGAATCACTTATTCCTTTAAAGGGGTAACTGTGTCTTAAAATGCAACATATTGATGCAAAAAATTTGAAAAAGCAGGAGTGGAAGGGGTTGAAAATCAGGACAACATTTCAGAAAAAAAACATGTGGGTGGGTTGTTTGCATCTCACCTGTTTCAAAATCGAAATTATTTTATCTGCTCTATGAATGCTTTTCCTTGAGATAATGCATTGGCCTAACATATGTATCTGTTTAAATCCTCAGAAAATAGCCAAAATCCAACATATGACTGTCCAAAATCTGAAGCGATACTTTCCTTCCTCCTTTTAACAGAATAAGGTCAAATATATGTTCCTTAAGTTGGGAAAGTTTCATGAAGTAAAAAGCAATAAAAGTTATAGCAAAATTAGCAATGCACCCTATAAGGGCCTGTATTGTACCAATATATAGATCATTACATTAAATAATGGGTAGCAAATAATGATATCAAAACAATTTAAACCTGAATGATGATCTCAAGACTATACAATTTTACATTGAGAAGTTATTGTGTTAACATAACCCATTCCTCTGTCTTACCTTAAAAAGTTGTGTACCCTGTCTTCAGACTTACCTTTTGAAGTAATGTGAACATCAGCCTGTTCTCTGTCTTACATTGAGAAATTGTGTAAAATTACCCTGTCTTTTGTCTTACCTTTACAAGTTGTGTGGGCATTTTCTTGGCTTCTGTTTTACCTTAAAAAGTTGGGCAAACATTTCTCTTTCTTTTACCTTAAGAAGTTGTGTGAACATTTCCCTATCCTCAGGAGGGCTACCTCTATTTGCTGGATACTCCCAATCAATATCCAATCCATCAAAACCATGGTGGCGTAAGAATGATAAGGAATGTGTTATAAACCTTCGACGACCTTCAAGTTTCTCCACAATGTTTGTAAAAGGCTTTGAGGCAGCACTCCATCCTCCAATTGCAAGAAGTACCTTAAGGGTAGGTACAGTGTTCTTAAGTTTTAGGACTTCTTTGTACAGGTCTGAAAAATCAATTTCAATATGTAGCAAAGCAATAGATTAATTGATTAACTGATGAATCTCTTAATTGTTTATACTCAAGTGATGAAAGGGTAGACAAAAAATGTTATAGAAAAATGCTATGTTATATAAAATGTACTTAAAAACTGAATTTTAAGAGTGCAACAAGAGCATAATAGCAATCAAATATGACAGACTTGCCTAACTAGTACATTTAAGTTATTCATCAAAACACAATGCATTATTATTGATGCATAATACACCTGGTTGTCTTGACACCTTCATTGTACCTAAGGTCATACTTAACTTAGATGTAATTCATAATACTATGTAATTCAAACAGTCAATTTATTTAAATATGAGAACCTTCATAATAAATTGTACCATGGGTATTAGATTCACATGGGAATTAAAATAGCTGCCATTGCGAATAGGTGAGCTTTTGAGATTCCACTTATGATATAACTGAAGATTTATATAAACATGTTTTCAAAGTGAAACATTTGAGAATTACAATCATAATTGAAGATTACAACTGTGCCACCAATGTGTTGACAGATAGAAATATGGTTGGACAGACAGACAGATGGACAGTGGGGGATTACAATAGCTCACCCATAAACAGTCACAGGGAAAATAAATGCCAAATATTCCAAGCTTTGATATTTTGATATTACACAGACAACTGAGACAGACAAAATAGGAGGTACAATGGAATGACTTAAAGTAAAATTTACAATTACAAAAAGGTTTGGTACAATACAAGGGGGATGTTAATATATAGATTTACCTTCATCATTATGTTCAGCAGTTTTAATTATCTCATCCACATTAGCAAATGCAAATATGATATGAGTGCAGAGTTGTGGCACAATATCACGAGGCTGGAATTTGGCAGGTTCAGCTCTATACTGGGACCAGTTGGTATAATAACAGAATATGTTCTTGATAGGCTCTGCAATACAAATACAGTTGCTACAACCAGAATACAAAGTCAATATTTCACCCAGTATTTATTCGTCAATAAATACCTGGTCTGTACTAAGTGTTTCGTTCAGTGCACTGGAAGTTGGAAATTAAGTGAAGATTTTGCAACATTTTGGTGAGTTTTCATGTTTGAATTGTAATATAGACCTCAGATCAGGTATTTTATCGTGTAATAAAGACCTTAGGCCTAGGCACAAAAACTTCTGTACAGAAAATGTTTGTGCCTAGCCCTGTGGTATTTATTTGTGGATATATAAGTACCTTCTCTTCAGTCTATATTTCTTAATTAGGTAACAGAGAGCTGAGTATTGTTGCAGTACTGTTGGTATAGGGCCCAATTCATGATAATTGATATTTCAAAAAATACAAAATTCGAAAATTAAAATATTCATTTGGCGATGTTTTTTCTTGAATTGCAAAGGATACACATTATATTTTATAAAATCGTAAGCGGCATCAATGGAACTATATTTTTGTTGCATTTCGTAACCTGAGCTATTTTCAAAGAAATGGAAAATTAACATATTTTCGTTAATCGTTCAATAAGTCTGGTTTTATTTTGAATAAGATATTGTTTATTAAATTTGTGAGTGTCAAACAAACAATAAACATGTTTCCTTGGATATACGTATTGAATTGTAAAAATAAAAATGTAAATAGAGTCAACGTAATCGCAAGATACGTTCATACAATTTCACATGTACAGTTCTTCCCCGATACCCTCCCTATAGAACACAATTTGTGGCTTCATTTAATATGGTTTTTCAAGAAAAGGGTGTTTAATAATCATGAATCCTCCAATTTTTTAAAACATCTGTTTTGGAGGACATATTTATATTAGACTCCATTAATCATGATTACCCCTTTTACAACGACATTTAGTTGAACAGTTGAATGTGCAGACAAGGTGATGACATTTGAGCAAACTGATGTTTCATCGTTTCAGAAAGATCTGATCTAGTTTCTCAATATCTTTTATATGTTAATGTTAATGTCTGTAACAACATCCTAGACGGTGAACTTGACCATGAATTTATTAGTTCAACCTCCACAAACTATCAATGTCAGTATACAATACATTTAATTAACATGATAAAAAATATCAAGGCAAAAGATACATTATAGTGAAATCCGAGTTTATATTTGCCGAAAAATAAAATATTTGTTAATTGTCTAAAAATCCATCATTAAAGAGATTTTTTTACAAAGATAAGCAATGTTCCAAATAGGTACCTTGTGGTAATGATTACTTGAAGGCTCATCAACAAAAAATAACACATTGCTTGTCCATGAAATAAACATATATGTGCAGTTTTACAACAGTTTTTTAAAATATCAATTATCGTAAATTGGCCCATATTTACAGAATATGTTCTTGGTAGGCTTTGCAACACAAATATGGTTTGTATTTGTTTATAATGTATATCATTGATTGTAATAAGTGAATAAAAAAAAGATGGTACAACATAGAAAAAGACTCACCTGTTTTGTTTGTATCACTGGTTACTATGGACACAATCTCCATGGAGAAAAGAAAAGAAACTAAGCATGCTTTTAACCAAAACATTTTGCTGAAATGCAAATGTTTAAACTCCAGACCATATTAAATCCATGGTTCTATTTCAATTAAATTTGAATATCGTTTTGAGACAATATTCAATACTCGATTATATTAAAGGTATGTTAATGTATTCAATTCTGTATTGTTGTTAAATCATCAGGCAATCTCTAAAAATATTCTAATTAAACTATGTGTATCCAACTTTCACATGATCACAAATTAAAATAATGTTGTTATTATAGGCATTGTCCATTTTGCTAATATGCCTAAGGGAGGCCTCTCAATCCACTTGATTTCGGAAAAAGTTATTAAAACATAATTGTTGATAATGGCCTTATGTAATTACCTCAGTAAATTGGTCTATACAATATGGCAATTAAACCCTGGCATGTTAAACTTTATTTTAGCATATTAAATATATTTGTTATATGTTTTTTAATATGGTAAAAAAGAATACATTTGATTTTTATATGATCAACATCAGCCTTTGAAAATACAGACAAAATCTCCATATGATTACAAGAAGATATTTTACTGTATTCCTTCCCATACTAAGGAAATCTCAACTTGTGTATAAGATGGCACATCTTTTATCTATTAAAATAATTTCAAGTAATAGTAACATAAGTAGCTCACAATCTGCTTACATTTTTATTAGACTCCTATATGTTCTTCTCAAGTGACTGATTAATAATACAGGGTGTCTATTTCGATTAAAATACAATGTCTGTGCAAAGTGTATGAGACTTTATGGAAACCCTGTATGATAAAAGAAAGCATGTTATGTCCCACTCATGCATCACTTTCCATATATATAATGGGGACTGTAGGGTATGGAATGTGAGCGGGAGAAAATATGGTATGTAGGGAAAAATAAATTTCAAAAATATGAAATGTGACATTACAAAATGATAGGAAATATATAAAATATTGCTATTCCTGATGCATACTCCCTATGTACATGCTAGATAGATTTCCTCAAGGTTATCTAAAGCGTGTTGCTGTGACTTGATTTCTGTCATAAAAAATGTGATTCAAGGCTGATGGGCTGTAAGGGGATAAAGAGGTTTCTCTTTACCTCCTGTAGAAAATGAAACATCATATTGATTGTTCTTCTTTATTGTGGCATATCACGATCTCAAACAAAATGTATATCTAGGCCTACTCAAAAATATTAATTCTATCATATTTCGCCTATCAGCGAGGGTATCACTGCTATTGAGGCTGATTGAATGGAAATAATATGTTTAATATGATATGTCTGTCAGAAAATGACCGCATATTTCATCTATTTTAATATCAGAATTAACATAATGTACTTTTGCTGCTAGTATTAAAGTGTGCGCCAAAGTTTAAAACTGCGCAGGCGCAGCACTCACGCTAACCTATATAAAGAGATTACAGGGTACAGGCTTCAGAGGTAAGCCAGGAAGGTGTACAACTATCGTCCCGTGTTGATTTCCCGTACAATCGTAACCAGGCAAGTTTCACCATTGGAATTGAAAATGACTATTAGATATACTTTGTAGATGTTTATATATGAAGGTATTAAGTGTATGCATCAAACAAATGGCTCATTTTGAACATATAAAAAGTATTTGTGTTTTGTTTCCCAGGGAATTGTATTCCCATGTAGTTCGTATACACACATAAATAGTGTACATTATGTTGTACTTGAATAGCCTGGCTTATATAATATTGAAGGGCATGCTGATTGTACACACGAGTACATGCATGAAGGCCTAATATTGATATTGCTTGCATACCTAAGTAAAAATAAACTCTTCTAATCCCCTAATGTAAACACGGCGGTATACGTAGCCCGATTTATCGGGGGCTTTAAGGATCATAGTTCGTAAAAAGTAAAAATGTCCTCCATAATATCTGAAATACTAGTCTAGTACCTTATGAAATAGGAAAAATTAAGATTCAAAATGCAAAGTGTAAATTGGCATCATAATAAATGTATATATATATGTACATGTAAATGTACATGTTCAAGTACATGTATCTACATTTATATGAGAATGAACAAAATCTTCAGTTTCCATGTACAAAGTATAAACTTTTTAAATACAAACAAGGAATAGTATGAGCCAAAAATATTTCAAAATTTAAAAACTATTCTTAAATATTGCATATTCACATATATCTAAAGATCTAATGACAAAGTACATGGAAATGAAACCAATTTTTTTGCTTGATTATGAAGCACGTATTTCAAACAATCTTATATAAAATCATGTACACTTTATTGTTTAAAGTAATGTAATAGGCCTCTCTGTGTATAACCACCTTAATAATGTGAGAACCAGTCTAACTGTCTTTTCATGACATTCAAACCTCAATATCTGAATTAGTTCCTTGACATTATCATCACAACATTTATTGAAATTTATAGAAAATGGCAATTCCACGGAGTAGCAAATCCCAATGAACACTATAACTATTTTTTTTAGATATATATCAGAATTTCTACCAATTTAAGCATTTGGGTGACCATTTAAGAGTTTCAAAGGTACAAATAAATGAGACAATTTGAATTTTCTGAGGCACACATCAGGAAAACAATACCTAAATAGTGATCTGCCCTAAATTTCCTTCAAGTTGAGAATAATAAAGCCATACTTTGAAGAGATCAGAAAATAATCGCGAACTCTCACATAAGGCGGCCATTTTGAATCTTACGAGGCCCAAATGACAAAAGCGATCTACTCTTAATAGCCGTCATTTGAGCATAATAAACCTATACTTTAAAATCTAAAAAATAACGCAAATTCACGTTTTCCCGACCCCCAATTCATGGCCCCTGGGGGTCATGGTGAAAAACTCGGAATATATATGAGATATATATAGATAGATGTTGTGAATATACTACCGAAATTTCAAACAATAACATTTATTACTTTGGTTTAGAATGAAAAACTAAAGATTTTCTCAAAAAATTCCCCCAATTTTTAAAGCGTTTCTTGGGATAATAATGTATGAATGGCTCTAAAAGAAAGTGATCAGCTTTTCAAATACTTTTTATTTGAAATAAAGCTAAATTTTGAAGATATCTCAACGTTAACACAAAGAACTTCCATAAGGTTGCCATTCTAAAAAAATGATGTTGTAACAGAAAGAAATGTGTTTATCTATTAAAACAACCTTGTGTACAGGCGTTGTTGTTGTCTACATTTGAAATTTACTCATATATAGTCATGCATAACAATAGATCAACAAATTATTTTATAAAAATTTATAATACAGTTTATTAATAAAAACGAATGTCCCACTGTACAATTTACTTTATAAATTTCCTTTTTTATATTTTTACTATCTGAATTACGAACTAACATTACACTTAAAGGAGAAACATACCAATCTGTTTGGATTAAACACACCAGTGACTACTCACTTTGGGCAAAGCTTCCCTTTAAGTGCCAAAGATCCAACTATTATATTCAATGAATATGCAAATGTAGTAATGCAATGTAAATGCCAATAAGTGAATATCTATATAGTACATACGCATTGTACATTTCATGTTTAAAGGCATTGATCATTGATTTTATTACATTTTATCTTATTCTACCAATAATTATTGCTGGCACAATCATTTATGTATGAACCATATTCTTAAAAATTATACTGTGAGTCTTATGATACGCAAAACTAAATGAAAAACCAAACAACGTACAACTTACAAAAATTATTAGATTTCGGTACAAACCCTATTTTACAGGCTGTTGGGACGTTTTTATGTTGGGGTATTTAAAGTCAGATAAAGATACTAGGCCCTTTTAAATGTAAAATGTACCTACATTTCAGAGTAAAATCATATCTTAATACAGAAACTGAATTTCAATAATTATTGATACATACTTACCGGTAGTCATTTTATATGGTAGTGTAAGCATCTATATTGTTTCATTGAATGTGTATACGCTATATCATATCATATCATATCATATCATTCAGCAACATATAAAAATATTATATATATATACATCATTCTAATATATGGTACTATATATTCACATGTTCTTTATTTTGGGTAATATCCATAATTAATTGTGAAAGCAGTGAAAATATCAATGACATCATGTTGAACATGGGTTTAAATAAGATGAAATATACAGATGATGTATGCAGCTTTAAAATGGTATATAATATACACTTTACAAGCACCAATACCATTTCTAATCTAGATTCTTAAAGTATGAATAATAGTAATATGTACTTGATTTATCAATAACTAAGAATATTCATTAAATACTTGATTATAGGAACAAGTTTGTTATAATTAACAAACAAGGCATAAACATGCAAAGTGTCACCACCTGCCATTTGCTACAGATGCCAAACACTGAAATCCAAACACTGACCAAAAAAGTTGGAGACTATAACAATATGTCACCACATAATGCGCAAATTCAAACAAATTCTGTCAAAAGCACAACTAAAATGTGCATAAAAATATGGATAAAGCGGTACACTAAAACCTGTTTGAGTCAACATTTCAAGAATCACAGAGAAGTGACTCATGAAAAACATTCAGATTCTTAGTGTGATCACTGGCATCAAATTAACACAGGGAGCATTTATCAATGTTATAATGAAGTCCACTATATAAAATATCCAATGAAAAAACTCCTGATCAAAGTAGGATCATTTTGAAACTATACAAGTGCAGTAATACATCAATATGGTCGCTAGTTCTGATCCATTGAATAAAAGAAATGTGTAGACACTTCATCCACATTTCTTGGTGTTTTTCTTCAGTGCTTTGATTCTACTGTACATCTTACATAATATACTTATAATGTCAATAGATCTTTCCAATAAATCCTGACCCCTTTTTGGTGATCCAAGGAAATTTATACTTCTGCCCTGAACTGTTAGAATGACATCATGACCAATAGGTGTCATGATATAATGGATTGGTCTATTGTTCTTGCAACCTCACAGTTTTCTTTTTA